TGTATCAATCTTAATTTCCAGCATCGCTTATCCCTTGCAACCTTGGATCTTAAATCCTCTACTGTTGGTTCTATAGAGAAGAGACTGTCGAAAATCGGGTCAACTCTAACATATTGTTTGGATGATCTCGGAATTTTGCTGGCGCAGAAGGTAATTTGGTTCGTGGTGCTGTTTTTAAGGTTTTAGATTACAATACAAAGTAATGAGTATTGTAATATTTATGTTTTTACGACAGGCTGCTCAGTCATTGTCAGCCAGTCAGAATGACTTTTTCCTGTGGGGCGAACTTGATATGTCTAGTGTGACTTTGGTGAAAAAATTCTGTTCTGATGCTTTACAGGCGTTTTTAGCTCACATACCCCATGGTAGTTCTTTATTTTGCTAACATTTTGTTTTTGAAGATTCATACATTTCTAAAATTTTCTCACCTTTTTGGTACTTTTGTTATGTAAATAGGTCTTAATTGGAGTGTTGCTAACATAAAAGGAAATGTGGAGGCAGGTCTCCTAACATCAAAAACACTCTGCCTTGTTGAGACTCTTATTGGTTATAGGTTTGATTCGCTTGCACACTTTTTGGTTTCTGCTTATAATACTGGAGTTCGATTTGACAATCTGAAATGAAAATCCTCGAATGTTTGACATTGCTATAATTAAAACATATTGGAGTACAATGTTGTTTTTTACAATCCTGTATTGTTTTCCGATTCTGTTTGTCTGAATTTTATTGATACAGCTCCTTGGAGAACATACGGTGCATTATTTTTGTGGATAGGGTGATAACAGCCATTGTTCTGGAATCCCTTTTGGCTGAGATTCTTCCAAACTGTAATAACTGGAAAACCAAGTACGTTGCAGGCAATAATTCTGGTCTGCAGAATCAAACTCGGAAGAAGCAAAATGAAATTGTGGAAGACTTCCGGAGAGGCTTGGTATGGTCAAATTCCTGTGAACTTTTGTAATTATCTGATTACTGTTATCTTTAGTTCTGAGTAATGTGTTCTTATTCGTAGGTAAACATCATTGTAGCTACATCTATTCTAGAGGAGGGTCTAGATGTTCAAAGTTGCAATCTGGTTATCAGATTTGACCCTGTATCCAACATTTGCAGTTTCATACAGTCTCGTGGGCGTGCTAGAATGCAAAATTCAGATTATTTGATGATGGTGGAAAGGTCTGCTACATTTATGGCTGGACTTCATAGAGTTTACAGCTCCATGTTTTACAAAATCTAATTTCTTTTTCACTAATTGCCACCGGCAGCGGAGATCTATCAACTCAATCTCGGTTGAAGAGATATCTTTCTGGTGGGAAAAGAATGCGTGAAGAGTCTTTGCATCATTCTCTTGTTCCCTGTCCACCTCTTCCAGATGATTCAGACGAGCCATCCTTCCGTGTCGAAAGTACTGGAGCAACTGTAACTCTTAGCTCAAGCGTCAGCTTAATATATCATTACTGCTCAAGGCTTCCATCAGATGAGTAAGTCTAATACCAGCTTGATCAGTTATTTTTCCTTTATTCAAAATTTTGCTTCTTTATATTTCCTTTATGATCTTTGTTTCTTTTTTTGAAAAGGTACTTCAAACCAGCTCCTAGGTTCGAGCTAAACAAGGATCAGGGGAGTTACACCCTTTACCTTCCTAAGAGCTGCCCAGTAAAAGAAGTTAAAGGTCATGCAAATGGTAAAGTGTTAAAACAAACTGCCTGTCTAGAAGCTTGCATTCAACTGTACAAAGTCGGAGCGCTAAGTGATCATCTTGTGCCTGACATGGTTGTGGCGGAAACTGTTGCACAAAAACTCGGTAATCTTTTGAATTTCATGTAATTTTGGGCTGTATAATAAATCTCTCATTTAATAAGGTATGAGTTTGCAGAGAAAATTCACTACAACACAGAACAGCCATGTTACTTCCCTCCAGAGCTAGTCTCCCAGTTTTCAGCACAGCCGCAGACAACATACCACTTCTACTTAATAAGAATGGAGCCAAACTCTCCAAGAAAAATTCATCTAAATGATGTTTTGCTGGGCACTAGAGTTGAGCTTGAAGATGACATTGGGAACACAGGCTTCCAGTTGGAAGATCATAAGGGTACAATAGCTGTGACACTGAGCTATGTGGGAGCGTTTCACCTTACACAAGAGGAGGTATTTTATCTTTATTTTTATTCGTGAATATCATTTCTTATTTGTAAACTCCAAATTGAGCAGTCTATGTATTTCTTCTTTTCAGGTCCTTATGTGTAGAAGATTTCAAATAACTCTTTTCCGAGTTCTGTTAGATCACAGTGTGGAAAATTTGATGGAGGCATTGGATGGATTGCATCTCAGAGATGGAGTAGCACTTGATTATCTACTAGTTCCATCCACTTATTCGCATGAAACATCTCTTATTGATTGGGCGGTGATCAGATCTGTGAATCTAACTTTTAATAAAGCTCTGGAGAAACACATACATTGCTCTACCAGCGGTGCTTCTCGCATGCTACATACAAAAGATGGCTTGTTGTGTACCTGTGTCCTACAAAATGCATTGGTTTACACACCACATAATGGATACGTCTACTGCACAAACGGTGTTCTCAACAAACTAAACGTGAATTCGTTATTGATGAAGAGAAATACCGGAGATCAGACTTATATAGAGTACTATGAGAAACGGTACATATAATGTTTAGAAAATCCAATATGTTAATATAGTTGTTGCTCCTTTTATTCTATTTTCAGATGCTGAATTCTATAATCTTGTTGCAGGCATGGGATTCAGTTAAATTTTGTGGATGAACCCCTTCTGAATGGAAGACACATTTTCACGCTGCACAATCATATCCACATGACCAAGAAGAAAAAGGAGAAAGGTCTAATCTTTAACCAGTCTTTTGATTCAGTTCATCATGTTGTGTTAAATTCTTTTTCCCTAATATATTCTTTTTACTGCAGAGCATGACAGAGAGTTTATTGAACTACCTCCTGAACTATGTCATATTCTTTTGTCCCCAATATCAGTCGATATGATCTATTCATATACTTTCATCCCATCTGTTATGCAACGCATTGAATCTTTGCTTATAGCATACAACTTGAAGAAGAGCATCTTAAAAGTCAATATTCCAACCATCAAGGTAGAACTTGGGATTTCCAAGCTGATACACATATTGTATGGGTTTTCATTTTGTTCTTTCACCAAGTGATTTTGGTTCACTTGTGACTACAGGTTCTGGAAGCTATAACGACAAAGAAGTGTCAAGATCAGTTTCACCTGGAATCACTAGAAACTCTTGGTGACTCTTTTCTGAAATATGCTGTATGTCAGCAACTATTCCAACACTGTCATTCTCACCATGAGGGTCTTCTAAGTACGAAGAAAGATGGAATGATTTCAAATGTCATGCTCTGCAAATTTGGATGTCAGCAGAAACTTCAGGTAAATACTGTTCAGGCTTACCTACTCCCAAACCTCAGGATTGTTACACCCAGTGCGTGGAATTTTTTAATTTTCAGCTGGTTAGACTATCAAATGATTTCATATAGCAAGTGTTAAAATGTAAAATTATCTTCTTTGAATACAGGGATTTATCCGCAATGAGTGTTTTGAACCTAAGGGATGGATGGTTCCTGGTCAAGCATCTGCAGCTTATACTCTTAATAATGATACCCTACCTGAGTCTGGAAACGTATACGTTGCTAGTATAAGGAATTTGAAACGCAAGTGTGTGGCGGATGTTGTAGAAGCTCTAATTGGAGCATATCTCAGCGAAGGAGGTGAACTTGCAGCTTTGGTATTCATGAATTGGGTGGGTATAAAGATCGATTTCACAACTACGAAGATCGAAAGAGAGTCCCTGATACAAGCAGAGAAGCTTGTGAATGTAGGTTATATTGAGTCGTTGTTGAAATACAAATTCGAGGACAAGTCTCTTCTAGTTGAAGCATTGACTCATGGCTCGTACATGATTCCTGAAATTCCAAGATGCTATCAGGTCCGGTCGCTTCTTGATTAAATTTAATCATCTGCTTTATATTCTTTTGGCGTTTTGACTAATACTAATTTGACTCTACTGCAGCGGTTGGAGTTCCTCGGTGACTCAGTATTGGATTATCTCATAACCAAACATCTTTATGACAAATTTCCTAGTCTGTCTCCTGGACTGCTAACGGACATGCGATCAGCTTCTGTTAACAATGATTGTTATGCTCAAGTGGCGGTGAAAGCAAACCTGCACAAACACATCCTGCACGCCTCTCATGATCTCCACAAACACATCTCTAGAACAGTCAGTGAGTTTGAACGGTCGTCTTTGCAATCCACTTTTGGTTGGGAATCCGATATATCTTTTCCTAAGGTAACACATTTTAATCTAACCACACATCGTAAAACATGTCCTTTAACGTCTCATTCTATTTGTCTCACTGTCGTCATTGCCGTTGTCAGGTGCTTGGAGATGTGATAGAATCTTTAGCAGGTGCGATATTTGTTGACTCAGGTTACAACAAGGATGTAGTGTTTGCGAGCATTAAACCACTTTTAGGTTGTCTGATAACTCCAGAGACTGTCAAGTTGCATCCTGTGAGAGAGTTGACAGAATTATGCCAGAGAGAGCAGTTCGAGTTGAGTAAAGTTCAAGGTTTCAAAAATGGTGAAGCTTATTTCGTGGTTGAGGTGAAAGCTAAGGGAATGAGTTTTGCTCACACAGCAAAGGCCTCTGATAAGAAAATGGCCAAGAAATTGGCTTACAAAGAAGTCTTGAATTCACTTACAGAGTGTCTTGTCTCCTAAACTATTTGTCTCTGGTGGAACTGAACTAGAGTAGACTTTATTGGCTATTAATAATTATCTTCATTATTATTTTTTGATTAAATTTTTATTGGATTGATCATAATATTAATATTATTCTCCCAGGGAACTCATCTATTATTCTTGATTAGAATTTGATGTTTTTATTGTTTTCTCCATTATAACTTAATAATTAACCAATTTTTGATTTTGCTTTTATCAGCATGGCTTAGTCAAACCAGAACATAACCAAACTCTAATCAATTTCAACAAATAATTAAAAACGATATGCAGAGACAGAAAATTCTTGTGACATTTGACTGTGATCAAGTAACCACCAAGCTTAATTACAGTTCTTTAGTTTAACTGCACTGGTGATACATGAACCCTTCTCTAGGCAATACTTGAGAACTCCTGCTCGGCCTCTTCGTTTCCTCCCATCCACATCTCTTTAACAATCTCCAAATGGGTGGTTTCTTCTCTTCTCCAACCACTAAGAGACTCCCTTGTTGTTCATTAGCTTCTTCACTATCTTCTCTCCTTTCCCCTTCTCTTTTCCTTTAGCCTTCTTATCTCAACCTCTACTTAACAAGGCTCTCGGTTTCTCTTGACTAGTGTCTTTAGGTGGTGTGGTCTTCTTCTAGCTCTTCGTTTTCAATATATGGTCCTTTTGTTTTGCAGGTTGGTCTCTGCCTAGCAAGAATTACTAACCCTGTAACCCGTTCCCGGACATATCCTATAGAGAGAAATCGACTCTGCATCTAGTTGTTACTTAATATGTCCAGTGAAAAAACCTCTTGAACGAATATTTCTTCAAGACCCACAACCCCTAAACACTGCATCACTGTGAGTCGGCAAAACCGAGCTAATACAATTACCAGAGACGTCAAATGAGCGAAGAAAGACGAAAAACAGAGTAAAAATATATAAAAACGGAGCAACATGAGAGCTATATCACTACTATTTCAATTATTTCAGCCAATCAGAAGGCTCTATTTCCTACCCACGCGCACCAAACGCGAGTTGCGCGAGTGAAGGCAATTCCTGTGGGACCCACCAAATCATGCCTTTACGATTCCACGCACTTTTTTCTAAAATTGCCGTCGCGTGGCTTTTTCTTTTTGTTTTCTTCTTTTCAAAACCAATGTAAACCGAACCAAAATCAATTGTAATTCCAAAACCATTAAAACCACACCGAAATCAAATTGTACCTGATTCGTGAGTATAGTGAGAGCTCTTCTGACGGCATAGCCTTTGAATTCACCCGGTGGTATGGGATCTCCGTCGGACAGCTCCGGGTCATCCTTCCATGGCTTATTTCTTTCTTCTGAGGATCCTTCTCCAACAAAACTCCAATCCTAATTTATGAGTATAGTGCAATAAGAGAAAGCCTCAATGATAAGAGTAAAGAAGAAGAAGAGGCGTCGGAGAAGAAGAAGCTGTCGCGAAGGAGTCAACGCCAAATAGAAGTCAACAAGTGAAAACAAGGCTTTTCTGTTTTGCAGTATTAAATTAGATGGGCTTCGCAGAGTTGGTTCTGGTCCAATAAGGAAATGTCTATCGGGTTTAGTCTGGCCCATTCATCTAGTTGCGCTGGAATAGCTAGCTAGGTGTAATAGGCTTGTAACGTTAGTCTAGACTTACGAGGTGTAGTGTAAGAGTATCCTCGTGATCGATCAATAGCAAAATGTAGACGATTAATGTTCTTCTCTTCTTCTTTCTTATGAAAAATTTCATGTCTTTGTTTTTTTTTTTTTGTATATGTCTTTGTTAAAACAAGAAAACTAAACAAATGACAAGAGAATGAAGAGAGAACAATCTAATCTATGTTTCAACAAAGAAGAGAAACAGAGAGATGCTAAAGAGAATGAAAGATGGTGACTGGTGAGCCTCTTAAGTATAAAGAGGAACAACATAAAAATACAACAGTTATATAATAACCAATTTGGAGAATTGTACTTTGAATATGCTTTTGTCGGCATGTCTTAATAAAACAAAACTAAAATCAATCTCTACAAACAAAATAAAAAAAAATATGCAAAGACAGAAAACAAAAAATCACCTAAAAGGGCTTTGACCAGAATAAATTCAAGCTAAGAGCCAAAAGTTCTTGTGACGTTTGGTTGTGATCAGGTAACCGCCAAGCTTACGGTTCTTTGGTTTAACCGCAATGGTCATACATGAAGCCTTCTCTAGGCAATACTTGAGAACTCCTGCTCGGCCTCTTCGTTTCTTCCATCCCCATCTCGTCAACAATCTCCAAACCGGTGGTTTCTTCTCTTCTCCGACCACTAAGAGACTCACTTGTTGTTCTTTAGCTTCTTCCACTATCTTCTCTCCTTTCTCCTTCTCTTTTCCTTCTAGCCTTCTTATCTCAACCTCTATCTGTTATTATATGAACATGATATAGCGTTTTGAAACACAACAAACGCTTTTTGTTAGCATTTAATTTGGACTCACCCCGGGTCGCTTGGTTTGGCATAGTTTCTTTAGAGTATGGACGAGTTCATCCGTCTTTACTTCACGTCTCCGGTTCTTTCTTTTGCCTACACAAATCTCATAATTCTAACCAAAATTTTTCTAATTGAACTCTTGTGATTTAAAGTATGGAAAACATAACCTTTTACTTGTGATTTTAAATTAGGAGATACTAACCTTTTCGAAAGGGTTTGGAGAAATACAAGAGAAAAAGATAGTCTTGTGATTGTAATGTATGTTTCAAAGCCCATTCAAGAGCTCCGGTTGATGCAATTACTTTATCCACCACCACCATCACCCTATTCCCGGCCTCAGTGATCTCCGCCTCTGCCGCTTCAACCACGGCTTCTGTCTCTTCACGTTCACTTTTGTCACCGCTGATCACAACGCTCATGCCATCATCTTGTGCCTCTTCTTCCCCTTCTTCCTCCTCTTCAAACTCTTCATACTCGCTGCTGCTGTCGCCATCATCATTTCCTTCATCCCCAGTGCCCCTGTCTCCCCCGAGAAACTCGATTCTCTGATCTCTTTCTATGGAAATAGAGTCTGGTTTAAACCTGATGGTTGAAGAACGGACTCGGACATGTCTTAGGCTTAACTTGACTGATTTCTTGAGCGATCTTGCCATGTTCAGTCTTGATGTTACTTGTGATCTTGATCATGTCATTGTCCGTTTATACGTGCAAGAGAATTAAAGAAAAGGTAAATAGCACAAATTTGTTCCTAGGACGTGCGTACCATGAGAATATATTAATCCGTAATTTCAAAGACAAAAAAATTCATAAGTTGTAACGAATCTTTAATTAAATTTGAAGATCTTATTAATGCAACACACGTTAATTTGTGTCTCAATTGATATAAACTCTCGTTCAAGTGTTTGTGATACCTCTAATATATGATATCCACACAAATTAGTATTAAAAATATGTACACTTTACATATATAATGTAATCACATAATACCAATTCTCAACTAATAATGTCTGCTTCCGTACATTAATACCACAAAAGCGACACTTTGGTGAAGAAAACTAAAAATAGCATATTGAAAAGAAAAAGACAAAAGAAAAAAAAAGGGATCGTTTCGTTGAGTTAGGGCACTTCTTCAGCGATGGTCTCCAACTGTGGTTTCTTAGATTTGGAAACAGAGATACGATGAATAAACTCCGCCGCCGAGAACTCTTCTATGTCTTCAAGATTCAGCTTCGGCCCGATCAGCCTTACGTCATCACCTTCCTCTTCCGGAGACACTCTCCTATTGTCAACGCTTTTGGCGCGTTTCTTGCCGGCTTGGTAGAGCCGAGCCATGTCGGAGGCGTTGGCTGCGGAAGTGACACGCATCATCTGGAAAACGACGTACACATGGCAGCCTCCGAGGTCGAGGTCGTCGTCGGCGGCGAGTGGGATAAATTTCCGGCCGATTTTCAAGAATTTGGCGTCGACCAGGAAATAGCTTGGCATCTCCATCATGAGCTCGGCTGCCTTGGTTGGCGCGTGGATATCACGCACCCCACCATCCGGGAGAATCACTTTGGCCGACGGTGATGACGAGTGTGACGACGGTGTCGTTTTGTTGAGAGCGCATGAAGCGTAGTTCCCCATTAATGTTGAGTGTTGCTACTTGTTACTCTCCTCAAGAGATCGAAAGATTATACAAGACAAGTGTACGTAAGATGAATTAAAATTTGTTCCTGAGAAGAACGAAGAAGACAACACAGGAACGACTATATATAAAATACGAGAGCAAAACATTTAAACATTAGAATAACAAATAAATATAATAATTTGTATAAAATATGGACAGCTAGCGTTGCAACATAGATAGAGGTTGACATTTAGGAATTAGGATAGTTAAATCCGCGTCTTATATTTTATTCGAACGTATTATATATAGCCGTGTTTAATGGAACAAGTCTCTATGGCCATTATTATCTTTTTTTTTCTCAATTTACTCTGCGTCAAAAGGTGATTAAACGAGTTAATCAAGTCTTATCAGTTCACATGGTTATTAACTTACTACAAAGTTTATTATGAATGCAAAAACTTGATATCCTCCGGTGGGGAGATATCTACCCTTAAAAAAAATATATATGTTTTAATAGTTTCCGAAATATTAAGTATACATGTCTCTTTGTCTACAGAGAGACTGATAATGGTTCTAGTTCTGATTTTTAAAAAAATACGGATTGTAGAAAATGTAAAAGTCAAAAAACAAATTTATTAAAATTTGAAAAATATTATTTGAATGCGATGAGTCAACGAAGCTACCAGTTTATTTATATACATCGTGAGGAGACGGTGACAACATAATAATGTATATAGTGTATTAATCAAGTATTATTGTAAAGTGTGGAAGCAAATGACGTAAAATAATTATTGTACATTCACCGGTGTAACCAAAAAATTATATTTTGCTTACTTTCCGGTTCCAGTTGTGTTACCTCATCACACGATATGATAATATGACCGAACATACACGCGTTTGGACCAATGAAAGCACAAAGAATTGCGTTATAATGAATTATTATATGATAATTAACACCGTTACAATGATGATGCTATTAATCAGGAATATATATATATGTTAATGTTGCTTCAACGAGGCCTGTTTAACGTTTACTCGTAACTCAATTTAACATCGCTTTTCCCAAATTCAAACTTTTGAATGTAAACAGAATACATTGGGCTTCTCCTACTCTAAAGGTATCATATCCGCAAACTAAAAGATCTTTTCATATTTTTTTAAAATGTACCTAAAAGATCTTCTCTATCTAAGACCTTCAATTTCCTATATATATATGCAAAACCCTAAAAACCTTTGAAAATTGAGCCAAGATCCAAGCCACTATATATCCAATCACTCCTCACATATCTGTTGTTTCAATAATTAGCATTTGCTTCTTCTTCTCTTCTTCATCATAATGAAACAAATCACTCTCATCCTCGTTCTAAGTCTCCTCTCATCTTTGTTTACGCCTCAAACCACAACGGCGTCTTCCTTATTCCCGTTTCCATTCCCGCTTCCGCTTCCATTCTCGCTCCCTTCCATCTTCGGTGCAAGTATCGGAGGTAACGGTAATGATAATGATAATGGTAGTAGTGACGATAACGATAATGCAGGTAGTAATGAAGAGTTAGCTAGGAGGTGTTTCCCAGACCTAGGAGACGGAGAAGCCTGCGTGGCGGAAATCTTCGGGTCATTCTTTAACCGTCAAATCACGATAGGACCAGAATGTTGCAAGGCCATCGTTGAGATCGACCAAGACTGCACACAAGCCGTTTTCAAACCATTCACCGATTCTTACTTTAGTACTTCTGTCAATCAGTATTGCACTTACATCAATAATTGATCTAAATTCGTTTAGTTCTACTCTAGTGCTCTCTTGTTTTACTTAATTTATATTGTTTCTTTGTTCTAGATTGTTATAATGTCTTTTTTTTTTTTCTATGAGGAATTTCATGATTTCTAAAGGCGCTTAGAGTAAATTTTGATTAATATGTCGCTATTTATCATCTTTTAAGATGGTTTACAACGATTTTTTTTTTCAAAGATTAAATGAAGAAGGGTTTACAAAATTATGTTTTATATAGGTCTTTGTTATTACTTTTTATGGTTGATTATAGAGCCGCGATACTGGGGCATTTTAATATCGACAAATTGTATTCTTTAAAGCAAATAAGAATATAAGATGTAGTAATTACTATCTTTATATGAAATAAGTCTTGGATTTTGAATTGCTGCTGGTAGCCGGTCTGCCGGTCGATAAGCAGCAGCTACAGGCCGAAACCCACTACCAACTCCTCCCATCCTATTCTTTTAGTCAGTCTAGCTAGTATCGGATTCGGAAAATGAAAGTGAGATCCTTGTACTGTGGTACTTTGACAATGTTGTCAATAGCAGCCAGAGCAGAGGGGTTTCTCGCTCGGCGCCTAAAGCTTGCTGTAATAGCTTGGCAGCTGCAAGTCAGTCGGTTGGCTTCCGGACACCGGCACAGTCTTGGATAAATCTTGTGGCATGATAGTAGCGAAATTATATTTAGTTTAACACTCTGATTGTTTTTGATTTTTCTTACGAAATAATCACCTAGTGGCTTTTTTTTCTTTAATCCAAGCTGTCAGTTATTTAAACGAATGTTAACTATTGCATTTGCATAAAATTAAGAGGATAAAGTAGGTTTTGATATATGTTGGTATCTATTCCATCAATCCATGAATAAATAAAAGCTAATAAAAGAAGAAAAGTTGAAGAATAAAAATTCGCCTTTGCTGAAAAGTTGACGAAGAATATTACTTTCTTAGATAGCAAGTGAGATAAAGAGAAGTCACTAATACAGTACGTACGTAGCTAATGCTACTATACATATCTTGAATCTTCTGGCCTTCATTATTACACGATTTAAGATTTCGATTAAACTTCCTCATCTATACGAAATGAATAATATGTTATGCAAAGAAAGAAAAAAAGTGTCGAAAAATATCGAAAAATGCTCTCTTCTTCTTTATTTTTTATTTTTGTTTTATTACTATTACTTTACAGTATATTCAAACTTAAAAGAGTAAATAATGGAATTAGTCATTAACAAAGAAAAGAAAAGAATTAGTCATTAACAAAGAACTTTGTTGCGTTTCAACTTTTAAGAAAAGAAGCAAGAGGAGAGACCTAGTAGCTTCAAGTATCTACCCATCACAATCCAAAAACAGTTTATAAAGAAAAAGACATATCTCAATATTAAACAATCTCGAATTCTGTGTGCGCCAATATTCTCCAAAAACCATCCAACGTGGTTATATATATATACAAGTACTATAAACAAGACTACGTACCGTAATTAACTTCGACTTAGAAATCATCGACAGAGAGAGAGAAAGAGATGGGAAAGACACGTACGGTGGGAGTAGGAATGGACTATTCTCCGACGAGCAAATTAGCTCTTCGGTGGACGGCTGAGAATCTCCTTGAAGACGGCGACACCGTCATCTTGATTCACGTCCAACCGCAAAACGCCGATCATACCCGCAAAATCCTCTTCGAGGACACCGGTTCACGTATATGCATGATCTCTTGATTATATTATTAGTAGTTTTTTTTTTTGTTTCTTATTTGGAAATTTGTATTTTGATCATTTAAATTTACAAAAACTGATTATTGCAGCGCTGGTTCCTTTGGAGGAATTTAGAGAGGTTAATTTCTCTAAACAGTATGGACTTGCTTACGATCCTGAGGTTCTTGATGTTCTTGATACTCTCTCTCGGGCTAAAAAGGTAAATTTCTTCTCTTTCGTAATCTTTTCTCACAAGTAACTGCAGCTATTGTTTTAATATCATTTTCTTTTTTTAAAAATGATGATTAATTCATTGTATTTTGAAACTAAAACAAAATTTAAAGGTGAAGGTAGTAGCAAAGGTGTATTGGGGAGATCCAAGGGAGAAACTTTGTGATGCCGTCGAGAATTTAAAACTTGATTCCATTGTTCTTGGCAGTCGAGGTTTGGGTTCTCTCAAAAGGTAATTTTTTTTATTATTATTCTTAACTATTGTAGTCTAGTTTCGTCTCATTTTGGTTTAAAAGACCTAAACTGAGAGCAAAGGGAGTTAATTAGTACTAAACTTCGTTTTAAATATGTTTTCTTACAATTAATTGTAGGATGTTGCTGGGTAGTGTGAGCAATCATGTGGTGACAAATGCAACATGTCCAGTGACAGTTGTTAAGGCTAATTAAAGCCTCTCTCTCTCTTTCTCATGTCCTTCAATTCGACCCGCTTAATAATTTAATAACATTCGTAGTTACATGTGGCACTCATGCATTGTTTACATATTTTGCAAGATTGTGAAACTGATCAGTGTGTGTCAATCAATAAATAAAATTTACTAGTACTGATGTAAACTGATCAGTGTGTGTCAATCAATAAATAAAATTTACTAGTCTTACGTTTTGTCTCTGAACGAAGAAATGACAACAAACCAAAAAAGAACTTTTCGTAGTTTAATCCGTTAATGATAACCCTAGTTGGACTAAGATCAAACTGGGCTTATAATCATGGCCATGATGGGTAGCCTGAGGTCATTGTGTCGGATCATAATCTTGATCTGATGAAATTTGGTTTTCTGAAAATATTATATTGGGCCTTTAGTCCACCAGTTGTTGTAAACTAAAGGAGAATGAGGATCCGATCTTCAATGATGACCGTTTGGAAAATGATTTTCTATTTTTTTATCCTTCGCTTTTTAGAGAAATTTGTTCGTTCATGAAAAAGAATATGGGCTAAACAATGAATGTGAACGCGGTGGAATTAAAAATCAGATGGGCCAACACAAACATGGTTTGGGTGAATCCAATTCGCGAATATAGCCGTTGGTGCCTCATGTGTGAGTGTGACCTTCGAAGTTCGAATATAGAAAGACCCGTTGAATTTAAACTTTGGTAAAAAGAAACTATGGTTTATGTTGGCTAATCTAGGTATGTAATTATGTATTATGATGTTACGTACGAATTATTTACGTAGTTTTTTATACAGTATATGGACTGTATCTGTTCAACCAAAAAAGAGAAGTAAATATATGGACTGGATTATAGCCTTGTAGGCTTATAGCTTGCTTAAACTTGAATAGCCAGCCAAATCATTTCTTTTCTTTTTTGGGTTAAATAATGAATTAGTTGATTCAATCAAATTAACATCACGTGTGTTTCAATAGCTAAGATAGTTCAATCTCCTCGGTTTAAACATAAACCGGTCTCTCGGTTATATGTATTTTTGAGAAGAAAAAAAAACCTTATAATTCATGCTTTTCGACCTAGTTTATTTGCTCAATTGCTTGAACTGGGTTCTCGAATCATGCATCATAATTATAGTTTATCCATTTTAGTTGTATCACAGATTAGTAGTGTCATCCTAGAATTTAAGAGGGGTTTAAAACGAATTTAAAAGTGACATAACTTACAGAAAATTATTTGAAAAATTAATATCATAAACGATAAATAAAATTCCGACAAATAATTTCATCGATATTAAATTAAAATAAAAAATTTAATAAAATGGAATTTTTAAAATATGCAGTGTATACTAAGAAAAATACAGACTATACAAATAAAACTGACACGCGCTTTCGTAGATAAGTCTTACTAATTATTAAAATAATTATATAGAAAGCCCGAATAAAATATTTCTTTCCTCATACGATACACTTCTTGATAATGTTTCTTCGGATTTTTTTCCAAATTTTATTTCTTCACTACATTTAGTATTTAAAAAGTGTTGAATTAGTTTTCATTGACTATAGAAAAAAAAATGTAATATTTTTTTTTTCAATTCTACATAAAGTTGATGATATCTTTCCATTCTCCTATTTTATAAAATAATTTACATAAGAAATATGATTAATACCAATTAACTAATAATGAAAACATTAATTATTTAATATTTTAAAGCTAAAATTTCACTTAAACAAAAAATTGTAAGATAAATAAAATATATTTACATACTTTTTTTTTGTGCAACAGACATTTAGATATCAAATTTTAAATATAATAATAAACAAAATTAGTTGACAGTTGACATTAGAGATCAACTCTTTCTATCTTCAAATTATATATAAATTTATGTTTAATTAATAATGTGGTTATAATTAGGTCATATGTCTGACCTGCAATTTTTTTTAAAGTATATATTAAATAACACAATTATTATATACAAGTTTTAAGATGAATATTTAATATTATATATAAATATACATTTAATTTTAATTTTAAAAAAATTTGACAATTGTAAACTAATTAGAGAGAAAAATGCTTGTGTGATTGGTTTGAGTTCACCCTCAAAAATAAATCGACCAATAAGATATATAGAAAGCTAATCTGATGTATATAATATATATCTCTAATACAGTATTTGAATTAAATTATCTTTGAACAAAAAAAAAATCATACCTTTTTAATATATAAATTTTACCCACTCCATTGGTAACATTTATCTTGTCCCCTTCTTCCCTTTTATGATATAATGTATTTTCAAAAAAAATAAATATAATTGGCCTTCTTACCACTCATTTCCCCTATAAATATTGATTAACTTGGGCACTGAGAAAAAAAAGATTTGTGAAGAAGAAAATGGAGATTGATGGTAGTGGGAGCTCAAGCAATGAACAATATGCTTCGGAAGACTCCAATCAAGACGAGAAGAGGGTCTCTCATCGCCACTCCCCTCAACAGATCCAAAGACTTGAAGCGTAAATCCTTTTTTTCTTTTTTTTTTTTTTTCTTTTGTTCAGTTTCTAAACAAATATTATGAACTTTTTGATTGAAAAACTGATTTTTATTTCTTGAAAATGTATTAAGTTATTTCAAGGAATGTCCTCATCCAGATGGATCACAGCGACGACAGTTATGTCAAGAGCTTAAACTCGAGGCTAACCAAATCAAATTTTGGTTTCAGAACAAAAGGACTCAGTGCAAAGTATTCATCTTCACAAATCTTTGTTCGTTAAATCTTGAAAATTTTATGTGAACCAGTTGATACTTTTCCTAATAATTTTATTGTCACATGCTATATATAGGCCCAAGAAGAACGATACACTAACATGCAACTTCGTGGAGAAAACGAAAATCTCCAAAATGAGAACAAAGCAATGCTTGAGGTACTAAGAAATGTGAAATGTCCAAAATGTGGAGGTCCTTCTTTTGGCAAGGAAGACCGCGAACCAAATCTCCAAAAACTGCGTTTGGAAAACGCTCTCCTGAAAGAGCAGGTAGTCGTAATATCTCTTTTCTTTTTGGATGTTTATTTGACCCGTCATCATATTTTTCATTTAAATTTATACGAAGAAAATGATAATACTCTTTTTTTTTTTAAATGATTCGCTATCTGAAAATGTACTTATAACAAGTAATAAATTTTGATTGTGAATCCATATACACATATGCCACTATAAAACTAGTTTTTGTGTGAATTATAGCATGCCCAGATCTCCACTTTTGTATCCAAGCACTTGTCCAAACGACCAATGGTGGAGGAGGACTCATTCTCTTCTGTGCCTAGCCAACAAAGCTTTCATCACAACTCCTCGCATGGAATTAACCCAAGCAACATGTTCGAGCCATCTAGCTCATTCGGACCACCAACTCCCCCAATGGATATAAACTTGCTATCGGAAACCGCGGCATGTGCGGTTGAAGAGCTCAAGCGGCTGTTTTTAGCTGAGGAACAATTTTGGGTTAAGTCGTCTATCGATGGGACATATGTGATTGATTCAGAGAGCTATGAAAAGTTCTCGCGCTGTGTGAAACATTTCAGGAGCACGAGTGCTCATGTCGAGTCTTCCAAAGATGTCACGATGGTTCCCATAGAAGCAACAACCTTGATCGAAATGTTCTTAGATTCGGTATGCATGTACATGTATTTTATATATAGCCGTGAAAATAATGCTGCATATATGAAATGTTACTTGTTTATTGTAGGAGAAATGGAAAGAGTTTTTTCCAACAATTGTGAACAAGGCCAAGACAATACATGAGCTCGGATCGGAGCTTCCTATTAGGGAAAATTGCAATGTTTTGCTAGTGGTAAGAACTTATTTTATAGTGGAACCAATATTTACGTGTTGTTAGTTTGATAACATATACTCATCGTTTGATGTTTTGAACGTGAATGAAATTTGATAGATGTGGGAGCAACTACACATTCTGTCGCCGCTGGTGCCACCAAGGGAGTTCATGATCGTCAGGTGCTGCCAAGAGATCCAGAAAGGGCTCTGGATTATTGCTGACGTGTCACACAACGTTGGCTTTGACTTTGTGAATGCTTCTTGTTACAAACGTCCTTCTGGTTGTCTCATCCAAAGCTTGCCCAATGCTCACTCCAAGGTATACCTCTCGCATATCCATCGTCTCTTGATCGGCAAACTCATATATGTCATTTTATATATTGCATCCGACTGATGCTATCAAATTATTACAGGTTATGTGGATTGAGCATGTGGAAGTGGACCATAAACTGGATTCACACAAAATGTATAGAGAGGTTTCAAGCGGCGGGACAGGCTATGGAGCTAAGCGTTGGATCGTCACACTTGAGAGAATGTGTGAGAGGATGGCTCTCAACTCCATCCAAACCCTTCCTGCAAGTGACTGGAGCGATGGTACGTACGGTATATCATCTTTACGACTAACTTAACCAATGATTTCAAATCTGTGAAAATGAAAAAAAATGTTTTACCTTTAAAAAAAAAAATTTAATCACTTGAGTTGAGGGGTATAAAAATATATCATTTTTATTATAATTAAAGTTTACCAAGAATTTTTTCTGTTTTGTTTATATAAAAAAATACTAGTCAACAATTTTTTGGATTTCTATAAAAAAAATTAGGAAAACATGTGCGAGTCAAAATTTGGATGACAAATAAATGGAAGTTTCTATTTCCAAAAGAGTTGAATTAGACCATTTTTATTGGGGTACCTTTTGAGATATCCCCAATGAGGATGTCCTTAGTGCGTGGTGCAAAGGCTTTTTTTTTTTTTTTTTGTGAAGAATGATCTTTAGATTTAAACGCACATGGCACATACAGTACATGCAACTTTACTTTATTACGTTAGTTTTTATTTTATTTTTCACGTATAATAAGCATCTAAAATAATGTGACGTTAATTTGATAAAGTTATTATAATTTGGCAGTCGTAACGACAGGAGAAAAAAGAAGGAGAGTCATGAAATTAGGTGGGAGAATGATACAAGATTTCAACGGGATGTTGACCATGTCCGGAAAAGTTGACTTTCCGAAGCAGTCCAAATGTGGTGTGAGAGTCTCCATCCGTCTGAACCAGGAGCAGGGTCAACCACCCGGTTTAATTGTCAGTGCTGCCTCTTCCCTCTCAATCCCTCTCACTCCTTCCCAAGTCTTCGACTTCCTCCTGAAGCTCGACAATCGTCATCAGGTTTCTTTCTTTTCTTTTATCTCTCTGTCTCTTTCTTCGGTCTGTATTCTTTATGATTATCAAATTTATGAACTTTTAATTCAAGTATATGTTTAGTCCAACTCGTTACATATATGCATATATATATACGTATTAATTACACCGGTCGTACACTAGCCCGAATCCATGCATAGCATCGAGGATGGTTATGAATGGAAAGGTCTAACGGCTCATGTTAGAATCACGAATAGTTGTAAAGTTTTTGTTTTTTCTTCTCATATATATTGTTGTCTTAAATCACGTATTAACACACACAAAAACATTTACGTGTAACAGTGGGACGTTCTTTCCTATGGAACCGCAGTCTCTGAGATTGCTCGCATTGCCACCGGATCAAATGAATCCAACTGCTTAACCATCCTGCGGGTACATGTATGTCTCTTTTCAATGACTTTTTTATATAACTAGTCGTTACATTTATTGGCAAGTGATATAACTCTAATAATCATAAACCGTCTTCGTGCGTGGTGTATACAATGTACATTTTAATTAGCCAATGCAAGAAGAGAGTGATGACAAGTCGATGATGGAACGAGACCCAGAAGAGGGGGACATGCTGATGCTGCAAGATAGCTACATGGACGCCTTGGGAGGCATGATAGTGTACGCTCCTATGGACATGGCTACAATGAATATGGCTCTCTCCACCAATGTCGAAGCTCCCAATATCCCAATCCTTCCTTCTGGTTTCATCATCTCAAGCGACCGCCGTCCATCCACTACAGAGGACGGTGGGACCCTACTCACGGTGGCCTTTCAGATCCTTGTTTCTGGCAAGACCACTAGCTCGATAGAGGTGAATGAGAGGTCTGTGAACATAGTGAGTGCTTTGATCAGCTCCACTGTTCAAAAGATCAAAGAGTTGCTCAATTGTCCTCCGTGTGAGTGAGGGCATATGCTGTGGAAGATTCCCTTTTCTTTTCATTATTGTTTTGTTTCGAGATATTTATTTCTGGGTTTTTTAAGACTTTCGTTTGGTTATAATCGATTTTAAGGACATGATTCCATTTCTGGTCGGTAATATTACAGATCGATTTATGAAAATAATAAAACGACCCTTCTTTCATTCTCTATGAGTTCTTTTTTTTTTTTTGTGTTGCTTTTGTTTGGTTACAATAATTTTTACTCATAACTTGAAGATATATTTTGAAAGCATTGAAGACGAAAATATTAGTTCTATAAAAATACACAAGTTTTTTTTTTTAAATGTCAAATAAACATAATCATTGTTAACAACATACTGATTCAACATTTTGAAATAGTAAAAAATCCTCTTCTTGATAATTAAAAAAAAATCAAGTTTCATTAAAAAAATTATTACATTTTCTAAAAATATTTAAATTGCTTACTAATTTTCTTAAACAATTCTTTTATAACAAATTACAAAAATCTTTTTTCTATATCTAATATTATTAAATAAATCTCTAAGAATTACATTAAAACTTTTGACTAAACTATTTTGTATACTTGGATGTAAAATTTGATGATTGAGAGTAAATAGAAGTAAAAATGTTAAAACCCATAAATAAAAGGAAAACTCTCATATCACAAAAAAAAAAAAAAAAAGGAAAATAGACTTTGAAAAACTGTGGGAAAGAAAAAAGGAAAAAATATTGACGGTAATAAGACGAAACCGGACGCTGGCCAAAAAAAAAGGAAATAAAATTTGACGGTACTAAAGACGAAGCCGGACGGGCATGCAATGGGACACGTGTAGGGTTTTTATTGGTTTTCAGAAGACGAGAGACAAAAATATATATGCGGTAACACCACGCATCGTCACTTCATCACCACTACTCCCTTCCGCTTCGCCTATAAATATTTCTCTGCTTTAATTTCCATATTTCTCTCTTCATCTGCAAATTACAATCCTCTCTTCGCTTTCTTTTGTTTCTTCTCTCAATCGTAAGCTCAGAATCTATAAATCAACAATGGCCGCCACGACCGAGAACCTCCCACAACTCAAATCCGCCGTCGATGGCCTTACTGACATGAGGTTCGCTTCCGGATTCGATTATTTTTAGTCTCGTTTCTTCCTAAATCTGTTGGATCTTTATTAGTTTCAGGATTCTAGATCTGATTTTTTTTCGTGTGATTATTTCGACTGATCTGTTTGTTTTCTCCCCTGGTTCAGTGAGAATGAGAAGAGCGGATTCATCAGCCTCGTTTCTCGCTACCTCAGGTTCGTTTTTCTATTCATCGTTTCCAATTGTGAATTTGTGGATGCGTTTACCGATGGATTTGTTCTCTAGAATTTGCGATGATCAAAACAAACAATATTGCGTATATAGTTTCTCACCTTGTCGGTTATTATTGATTCTTTAGTCTGAACGTTTATTAGACCTTGGTTCGATCGGATCTGATCTGGATAGAGATCTGCATTGTCGTAGCCGTCTTACGTTATAACACTAGACTAATTGGTTTCTTTGCAGCGGTGAGGCACAGCACATTGAGTGGAGTAAGATCCAAACTCCTACTGATGAAACTGTTGTTCCCTACGAGAAAATGGTTCCCGTCTCTGAAGGTTTGATCCGTCTCTCCACTGATACGAACTTATTCTTGCAAGTTTTTTCTTGTTTTAATACGATAACAGTTTCTCACTGTGATACTAAAACTATGTTTAAATTTTAAATTGCTGTAGATGTTTCCGAGACCAAGAATCTGTTGGACAAACTTGTTGTGTTAAAGCTTAATGGAGGTCTTGGAACAACCATGGGTTGCACTGGCCCCAAGTAAGCTAGCTTATAATCCATTGCGAACTTTTTACATAGCAATCAGTCCAAGTTCCAGGAACTAAATAAATTTTTACTTGTTTCTGTGTAGGTCAGTTATCGAAGTTCGTGATGGTTTGACATTTCTTGATCTGATTGTTATCCAGATTGAGGTTTGTCATTTTCTTTTCTTTTTTTAATCTGCCCTACTGCCTCCTTAAGATTTGTTAATCTAAATGCCCAATATATTGCTCACTCACAGAATCTCAACAACAAGTATGGCTGCAAGGTTCCTTTGGTTCTTATGAACTCATTCAATACACATGATGACACACAAAAGGTACTTATTTCTTTTACTGGGGATCACATTTCTTCACTTCTTTATCTATGCTATTCTTTTTGGCTGACTGTTTTTTTCGTATTCAGATTGTGGAAAAGTACACCAACTCAAATGTTGACATTCACACTTTTAACCAGGTTTGTGATGTGGATGTATATCAAATTACCAAATGAAGTTCTCATTTATATGTAAAAACTGACATCAGATCTGCAACTACTAACGTTTACTTTGATATTTCAGAGCAAATATCCTCGTGTTGTGGCAGATGAGTTTGTTCCATGGCCCAGCAAGGGAAAGACCGACAAGGAGGGCTGGTATGAATTTCATTTTGTTACGTATTCAAAACTATTGAAATCTGTCACGCTGCAGTTTATATACCGAACACGAACAGGAACTGGAAACAGACTCTCAGAACAGTATTAAAGTTTACATAAATCTTGATACTTTAAATGGCTGTTGTTCTTGGTCATATTAAGTAGCATTATCTTCTTATATTAGAACTGGTTAATCTACCTACGTGATAAAAAATCACAACTGATTACTCTATAGTGATGCCTTATTGCCTTGTGGCTTGTGCTCTCTGCAGTCCATGATTGTAGAGAACAAGAAGTTGTGAATTTTCTACCATGCTATTCTGAAATCTATAAGATAATATGACATGTTCTCAATTATCATTAGCTTCATCTGTTTGCTGGTTGATCATATGATGTAGTCGTTCTTGATATTTTTGCCTTTATTTGCGTTTTCATTTGAGATTACATTGCATTTAGATAATACCTTCTGTTGTTGATCAGGTCGCTTACTAATAAATTGTCTTTGTGAAGGTATCCTCCCGGTCATGGTGATGTATTCCCAGCCCTCATGAACAGTGGAAAGCTCGATACGTTCTTATCGCAGGTTCTTTTTTTAGTGCAGTCAACTACTCCTTTCCCCGGCATTGGAGATTGATGTCCATGTTTATTGAAAATTTTGTTTTCTTGGTCTCCCAGGGTAAAGAATATGTGTTTGTTGCCAATTCAGACAACTTGGGTGCAATCGTTGACTTAAGTATGTCTTCTTTGTAGTTATGTCGTTCTTGTTTACACACAGTTATATGGTTAATCAGAAAGTTTTACATGAAAGTCTCATACTAACTTTCTTGCTTACCTTGTCTAATTGCTGCAGCAATCCTGAAGCATTTGATCCAAAACAAGAACGAATACTGTATGGAGGTTACACCCAAAACCTTAGCTGATGTAAAGGGAGGAACTCTCATTTCTTATGAAGGAAAAGTTCAGGTAAATTCTTAATTGTGTCATTTACCTTTTATTAAGCATGGCTATTTAAAAACAGCTAATCAGATTTAGTTTTTGTCTACTGTAGATTGATTTTTAATTCTGTAAATGCATTTTTATTATTTATTATTTATACGTCTATCAAGTTCCTGATTTAAAAACAAAATAATAATAAAAAAAATTCTAAACCTCTTTGCATCTCATGATCTTCTCTCTGCTACCATTTTTGAGGAACATAAGTATTTTTCTGACCTCTGAAATCGAATTTTTGGTTTATCCCAGCTTCTGGAGATTGCTCAGGTTCCTGATGAACATGTAAGTCTATACTTCTTTGTCTTCCTTCCTGTTACCGTTTGGATTTCAATATTTTAGGGATTGTTTTAGAAACTATTTAAGCACATTCATTCGAGATTGCTTGAAACTCTTTAGCATATATATTGGAGATTTAGGAAAGTTGGTATAAACGAGCTTGGTTTAGAGAATCTTTCCTTGGAAGCTCTGCAAAGCCATTTCTCCCTCCTCTCTCTCTGCCCCCACTTGTATCATCTGCTTGAACGAGTTATAACACTGTGTTTTTGATCCTCGTGGTAGGTCAATGAGTTCAAATCAATTGAGAAGTTCAAGATATTCAACACAAACAATCTGTAAGTAGATCACATCCCTGATGATATTTAAAACAATATAAACTTGTTTGTACACACTAACTATGTAAGCTTACAGATGGGTTAACTTGAAAGCCATCAAAAAGCTTGTGGAAGCTGAGGCACTTAAAATGGAGATCATTCCAAACCCAAAGGTTCCTGCGTGGCCTAATGCATTGTTATTTGTATCTTGCAATTTTCATTATTGTCTAACTGAAGAACGACTGCAAATTTTATTTAGGAAGTTGATGGAGTCAAAGTTCTTCAACTGGAAACTGCAGCTGGTGCTGCGATAAGGGTAACATGCCTGTCCTAGTGACATTTTGAAATATAGAATGCAAACTGTAATCTTTTCTGAACTCTTTTTTTTCTGTTATCCTGTTTGAAAACAGTTCTTTGACAACGCTATCGGTGTTAATGTACCTCGCTCACGATTCTTGCCAGTGAAGGCAAGTTCAGACTTGCTGCTCGTCCAGGTATGCTCTATCCACCACATCTAACAGTGAAACAGAGCAATACAGATATCTTTGAAACATTTGACTAATGATATTAGTTTTCATTCTTCCACAGTCTGATCTCTACACCTTGGTTGATGGCTTTGTGACCCGAAACAAAGCTAGAACTAACCCCTCAAACCCATCAATTGAATTGGGACCCGAGTTCAAGAAGGTAATAAAAGAAGAAAATAATATCCTGACAAAGTCCCATTTGTTTTTCTAAACATCGTATCATGACTTTTGAGCCTCACATAGTGTATCTTTCTAACAGGTGGCCAATTTTTTGGGCCGATTCAAGTCCATCCCTAGTATAGTCGAGCTGGATAGCCTTAAGGTTTCTGGTGATGTCTGGTTTGGCTCATCTGTTGTTCTCAAGGTATATATCTACATATATATGTAGTTTTTTCCCATAAGATCCCGAGGTGGTACTGAAAATGGTTTCTTTTTTTGGGGGGTTTAAAGGGCAAGGTTACTGTGACGGCAAAATCCGGCGAGAAGCTCGAAATTCCGGACGGGGCCGTGGTCGAGAACAAGGTAAGCTAATGTTTGTTTAATCCGGTTCCTAGTTTGGTTTATTTGTTTTATTTCATTTTTTTTGGTTGAGTTCGATAAGGTTATAGTTTTGGTCTGGCTTTAGTGGTTTCTAGGAACAGAATAATTAAGCTTGGTAAGGTTATGATTTTGGTTCGTTTCTTAGCATTTCCGCGAAGGAAAAAAATTAGGATTATTTTGAATTTTTGAGGTTTCATCTGGTTTAGCAAAACGCAAAACTGAATTGGCATTTCACATCTTTAGTTTAAACCTAAATTATGTTGGAATCTAATTTACCATGTGTTTTGTTTTTGGGTACAGAACATCAATGGTCCAGAGGATCTCTGAATAAGACAAATTCAAAGCCTTCTTCCCTCTCTCGTGGAAGAAACATCCTGAAAAGATAGATACTCTCTTTAAAAAAAATTGGTGTGAAAAAGATTACACTGTCACAGCAACGTTTTACGAAGAAAGAATAAATAATGTTTCCTTTTTGCAGCTTGGCAAAGCCTTTTCCAGTTTCCACTATGGACTTTATATAAAATTTTGATTCTTTGAATTTTACACCAAAACATAAGTATTAAGTTTGATTTATATTCTGGTTCTAATCAACTTATCATCATACTTTTGTAATAATCCACTCTTTTCTTTGCACAACCATACTGTTGCTTATAGTAATTAAGAGAAGTTAACACTAGTTGTGAAGGAAAATACAATAATGAATACTAACCGATTAGACGGATACAACTAGGCATGACCAAAAGCTAACCTTAACCGTATTTTTAACCGTAACCAGACCGTTTATCAACCGTAACCGGACCGTTTATCAACCGTAACCGGACCGTAACCGTATAAAATGGTTAAAAATTGTAACCGTTAACCGTAAAAGTAAATTAGTTACGGTTAAAAAATAATAATAACCGTAACCGTTAATTAACCGTAACCATAATTAACCGTAATTAATCGTCGGTTAACCGTACGGTTAAACGCTCGGTTAACCGCATATTTAAAATTTTAAAATAAATTATATTATAACTGTATACAATACCCATATTTAACTAATTCACTATAAATAATTGAAATCACATATATTTTTTACTTGTAAAATAAATTATATTTCATAAAATTTTATCTCCAATATTAATATTATAATAATCATCAAATAACCGTAACCGTATTTAACCGTAACCGTAATTAACCGTAACCGTATATAACCGTAACCGTCTTAACCGTATATATAATGATTAAGGTTATGGTTAAAAAATTATAACCGTTAACCGGTGGTTAATTAACCATAACCGCATTAACCGTAACCGTGATCATGCCTAGATACAACTGTTTTTAATAGCGTTCTCATTTGCCAACCAACTAATGTAATTACTAGTCATTCAATGTATTTCACTTTAGTTATAAAAATTGTGAATTCAAGTTATTTGTGTGGAAGAAGTAAATTCCATCTAATTCAATTTACTTATCCTCCTCCCCTGTCAAATTATTCCATAAGATCCTTATGTCTTCTGAAATGAAAAAAAAAAAGAGATCAAGTATGTAATAAATACGATGACATGTTTCGTAGTTTTGGTTATGAGTTTTAGAAACAAATAAATCTATCGGATCTTTTTCAAAAGTCTTGACTTCTTGTAAGTCAAGATTGAAAAACCACATACCGCATATATATATAGTAAGATATCAATTAGATTCATATGCAATTAGATATACATTTATTAAATCTTAATGGTGGTGGTTTCTTTTCTTCCTTTTTTCATTTTTTTTTCCTTCTTTTTTCCTCTAATACGTGTCACGATCTAAATGCATTACATAGATGTCGGTTATTTGAAAAAGTAAAAAAAAAAAAAAAACATATTATGTGTCATTAGACATGCATGTCACATACGCGTCCAATTGATTACCATGATCTAAACATATCTCAACAGATAAGCTCTTCTTTATTATTTTCATATTTATTCAAATCTATATAAATATTCACAAATTTTCTTTCCTTTTCTTATTTTTTTTAGTCTTAGTCTTTGTTTTGCATGCCTTGTCATCAGAACATTACAAAAAAAAAAAAAATATATCAAACTATAAAATAGTAATAAGTTGCTTGACCATCGATATCATCATCACTAAAAAGATTTCTACATTACCAAGCCATCGTCTCTCGAACTCCAATCATCAGGTCAGGTCAGTTTCTCTCTATGCCATATAGTTTAATGTTGCTAACTTGTTATTCCCTAGCTCATATAATATATATTACATACGCACAGATCAAATGATGTTGCTTGTAGTCGCGGCTCTTGGTTTAGTAGCCTTTTATGTCTACAAGTCCATAAAACCTCCTCCGCCGATTCCGTTGCCAGAGAATGTTTCTGAGATATCTCCAAGGATCAAGCTCAATGATGGCAGACATTTAGCCTACAGAGAATTAGGGTTCCCAAAAGACGAAGCCAAAAATAAAATAATCATTCTCCACGGATTCGCAAGTTCCAAGTTAGTCGATTTAAAAATCACAAAGGTATTACCATTAAGATTAAATTAGATGCTTATATTGCATACTCCTTGGTAGTTTCATATTATCTACAATGCTCCTCTCTGGCTTTCAGGAAATGATCGAAGAACACAAGATATACTTCTTGTTGTTCGATAGAGCTGGTTATGGAGAAAGCGACCCTTATCCATCAAGAACACTGAAAACGGATACTTACGATATTGAAGAACTTGCTGATAAATTGCAAATCGGTCCAAAGTTCCATGTCTTAGGAATGTCACTCGGGGCTTATCCAGTTTACGGCTGTCTCAAGTACATTCCTCATAGGTACATCTTGCGCAATTAACATCTAAGATAGAATAACATTTTTGGTCAGTACGTACATATCATTGGGCTAGTATAGTTTAATTTGAACTAAGACGACTGACTTGAATATATTTCGCATATATAAATAAAGATCATATATATACATTATACATATATGTGAATCAGTGAATGTCTCTCTCTAACCATATGTATAGATTAAGTGGAGCAACGTTGGTGGTTCCGATACTAAATTTTTGGTGGAGTTGTCTGCCTCTTAACTTGTCGATGTCAGCGTTCAAGAAACTGCCAATTCCAAACCAATTGACACTTGGCGTCGCACACTACTTTCCATGGTTGCTATATTGGTGGATGACTCAGAAATGGTTTGCACCATTTAGTCAGAATCCTAGAGAAACTATGACCGAGCGCGATATTGAACTCGCGGATAAGTATACAAAACACGCATATATCAAGGTACCTTCACTTTAACAACAATTATGTAGTTAATTTAGACTAATTAACCTGATGTTACCTGTAACATTGATGTATATAGCTTGAAACTAATTTTCTTGAACTTGATGATATATTCTTTTTAACGAAAAAACACTCATGAAAGCGATTGATTATATGCGTTTTAGGAATCCGCTCTACGACAAGGAGAATATGTGAGCATGCAACGAGACATCATTGCGGGTTACGAGAATTGGGAGTTTGATCCAACCGAACTGAGCAATCCATTTTCAGATGATAACAAAGGGTCGGTTCACATTTGGTGTGCTCTCGAAGACAAACAAATATCGCATGAAGTTTTACTCTACTTATGTGATAAGCTTCCATGGATAACGCTTCATGAAGTCCCTGAGGCTGGACATCTTATTATTCATGAGAAGCAGCATTTTGAAGACATTATTAAAGCCGCTTGTAGTTGAATGTGAAAACAAAATATAAAACCTTAATAATTTGTGTTTAATTGGAATGGAATTGATAAAATATATGGTTCATGTCACATATTCTTTAATTAGAAGTAATTTTATGATTTATTCTAAAACTACTCTAATAATATATTATCTAGAGTTAGTTTCTGTCTATATTATTTTTACTTTGGCTGGCGATACAATCATGGTTGATAGATTAATTATCACCGTACAAGATAGGTTCTTTTATCTTTCTTTTTTCTTGGTTTAAAAAACTGCTACTACCGTGCCACAACACTTGGATTAAAGTTAACAAAGCAAATTCTTAAAGTTGTTTACGATAAGCAGTTTGTTTTCCTTTTTACTTTATAAAAATTCAAAATCTGTGATAAATCCAAAAAAAAAACTTTAATATATATGCAGTATAAATGAGAGGAGTTACATAATTGAAAATAAATGCAAACGGACAATTATAGTAATGCAAAATAAGTTATCAAGACATGTGTAACAAAAAGAAAAAAGAATAAAGACATTTGTAACAAAAGAGGTCATGCTTGCCAACAAAAAAGAGATCAAAGATATATACCACTACACCACATTAACTTAGCCATCTCTTATATCATTAGGTCGGATCTCTCTCCATTTAACTGTTCAATATTCATATTACCAATGATTCTCACAAGATAAACTTAAGTTTTCTGTTTGTTTTTCTTGCAATTGTTATTGTCTATAGGTCAAATAATGTTGCTTCTACTTGTGATTGTGGGGTTGATATGCTATTATGTCTACAAGTCCATAGTACCGCCACCACCGATTCCACTGCCGGAAAATGTATCCGAGATAGCTCCAAGAATCAAGCTCAATGATGGCAGACATCTAGCCTACAAAGAACTAGGGTTTCCAAAGGACAAGGCCAAAAACAAAATAATAATCCTCCACGGAAATGGAAATTCTAAAGACGTCGATTTATATATCACACAGGTATATTATCAACATATATATAGAAGTGGTTCCATTATAATTTTTTTTAATTAGGTGGTTGTGGTTTCTTTTAATGATTAATAATGAACAATATATTTAATTTGCAACTATGTATATATACGTACGTGTTTTGGCTTTCAGGAAATGATCGAGGAATACAAGATATACTTTTTGTTCTTCGATAGAGCAGGTTATGGAGAGAGCGATCCTAATCCATCACGAACACTGAAAAGCGATACATACGACATAGAAGAAATTGCTGACAAATTGCAAATTGGTCCAAAGTTCCATGTTCTCGGCATGTCACTTGGAGCTTACCCTATTTACGGTTGCCTCAAATACATTCCACATAGGTAATATTTATTCAAATGGGATCATCTCTTCAGAATAATAAAATAACTATTATCTTTGGATCGTCACTTGTTAGGCTTAAGTGATTAATGTTTGTATTCCTAATATTTATAGGCTAAGTGGAGCTTCGTTGGTGGTTCCGCTAGTGAATTTTTGGTGGAGCCGTGTGCCTCAAAACTTGTTGAACGCCGCGATGAAGAGATTGCCAATAGGATTTCAGATGACGCTTGGAGTCGCACACTACTGTCCATGGTTGCTATATTGGTGGATGACTCAGAAATGGTACCCAAATAGTCGGGATCCCAAAGACACTATGACCGAACGAGACCTAGAACTCGCAGAGATGCATACAAAACACCCATATATCAAGGTATATACACATATATGGTATTAGATGAACCTTATTGAAAGAAAAAAATAACACTCATGCATGAATGCTATATTTACTATATAGGAGTCAGCTTTACGACAAGGTGAATATGTGAGCACACAACGAGACATCATCGCGGGTTACGGGAAATGGGAATTCGATCCAACGGAATTGAGGAATCCGTTTTCGGACAGTAACAAAGGATCGGTCCATATGTGGTGTGCACTCAAAGATAAACAAATTTCCCGAGATGTTTTGCTCTACATATGCGATAAGTTGCCTTGGATAAAGCTCCATGAGGTCCCTGATGGTGGACACTATATCATCCATGAGAAGCGGCATTTCGAAGCCATCATCAAAGCCGCTTGTACTGAATGAAACAAAAATATAAACTGAATAAGTTGTGTTTCGTATAGATTTGATAATATTATGGGCATGCATTGTTAAATTTTATAATGTATGGAGTAAATCTTAAATTTATCACATGATATTTTAGTCCTAGGACGTTTAAAACATGTCTGGCGTATAGATTTGATTTTGTACTTAAGCCGCTAAGTTGGAGGGTATTTTGGTCATATCAAGAAACCGACAAACCGGTAAAAGCAATATGTTTTCCCACTAAAGGAGTAAAAAGACTAACAAAAAGAGAAACCAAAAATCAAATCTCTCTCAAAAATCAAACGCTTTGTTGTACTTTACTCCTCTCTCGCCGGAGAGATGCAACGGTTGCTTCTACCTTTACTCTTCCTTACACTGTTACAGCCGGCGATTTCTCATTACTCTTCGTCAACCTCTTCACCTTCTTCTTCCTCCGTATCTTCCGACGCCTCAGAATGGCGGCCAGCTCGAGCCACCTACTACGCGGCGACGAATCCTCGGGACGCGGTGGGCGGTGCGTGTGGGTACGGAGATCTCGTCAAATCTGGATACGGAATGGCTACGGTTGGTGTGAGCGAGACTCTGTTTGAGCGTGGTCAGATCTGTGGTGCTTGTTACGAGCTCAGATGTGTTGATGATCTCCGTTGGTGTATCCCTGGAACTTCTATCATTCTCACCGCTACTAATTTTTGTGCTCCTAATTACGGATTTGATCCAGAAGCTGGTGGTCACTGTAATCCACCCAACAAACATTTCGTGCTTCCCATCGAAGCGTTTGAGAAGATCGCTATTTGGAAAGCTGGCAACATGCCGGTGCAGTATCGGAGGTGCGTTTTCTCTCTCTCTCATAACATTGTTTTGTTTTTTTTTTTAAATTTCCAATTTGTTTCGCGTTTTGGGAGAAAATGCGTTTGCGGTGGTGGGAACGCGCTTCTGCTTTTTCTTTGTTTGGCCCTCCTCTTTCGATTTAAAAATGGAGGCGAAGATGCCTCTTTTGCTTTTGTGTTTTCCGTCTTCTTCGATATCCGTGTGCTTTACATGAGCTGGGTTTACCCTAAGTGATGTCTCGAATCAGCCATTTACTTTTTTGCCCTTGATCGCTCTATTCGAGTAGTTTAGTGTTTACAGATTATTTATACAAGAGAAATTTGTATTGGATAGGTTTGATTGGATTGATGACAACATTGTAGTAAATCTGAATAGTATTGCCTCTCGTTTCAAATGCTAGGAAGGTTAGTCTGTATAATACAGGGGTGTAGATAAAATGTTTATTTTAGACATTTTCATCTTAACAATGAGATGAAGAAGAGAGGAAACCAAATGATATGACTGAAATTGATCGCTTTGGTAAAGTTTTAGTCATGAGGCGATAATCAACTCTTTAGGTTCATGATTGTCTGGATCGTTGGTTTGCCAATCGTTTGGAGCTGAACCTGTAAAGAGTAGTTGCATATTACTTCAAGTTATGGCTTGACAAAACATGTAACTATTATTCTTGTTGGTTTTACCAAAACAGGATCAACTGCAGAAGGGAAGGGAGCATGCGGTTTACAGTTGATGGTGGGGGCATTTTCATCTCGGTTCTTATCACCAATGTTGCGGGATCCGGTGATATAGCTGCTGTGAAGATCAAAGGGTCGAGAACCGGGTGGTTACCTATGGGTCGGAATTGGGGACAAAATTGGCATATCAATGCTGATCTCAAGAACCAAGCTCTCTCATTTGAGGTAACTTCTAGTGACAGGTCAACCGTGACATCTTACAATGTCTCTCCTAAAAACTGGAATTACGGACAGACCTTCGAAGGGAAACAATTCGAGACTCCGTGAGACAAACACGGGTTTATGGAGATATCTCGTGATTCTTTTTTCCTGGTCGGAATTTTTTTGATGGCAAGTATATCGATCTTGGTCTAAGGTTATCTTCTTAGGGTTGAAAAGGAAGGAACTTGGGTCAGACTTTTGCATTTCATCGTCTCTCTCTTTTCCCACGCATAGGTACAAATATCACCAATGTACTAAGAACAGTGATCACACAAACATCACTACTGTATCTATTTGTTTACAATACTAAAGGAGCTTAAGCTTCCTTTCAAATGCTTAAAGCTAATGATGAGCATTGAGTCTTGCAGTTTTCGTTTTCGATCAAACCACTGGTGTACTGTGTTTCGATTTTGTAAAAGTAGGCGATAATCAGATTAAACTGAAGAATATAAAACAGTGAATGCAAAAGGGTGTTGTGATGTATAACAAGAATCAGAATAACTAAAGGTTCAAAGTCAAAAGATATTAAACCTATTATAGCCAAGAATGTAAGTTCACTTACTTCCAATGTGAAGATCATTCAGGCCAAAAGGATCATCGTGTGTTGTAAAAAATTCCTATCAACATCAAACTGCTCTTAAAACTCTACAGAAGAACCGCAAAGAAAATGGAAAATAACAAAAGAAAACCGTGTCAAGAACTCATAAAGTTTGATGAGATTCGATAAGCAACGCATTGAGCATGACGTGAACAGCGGCGTCATAGACCGCAGAGTCATAATGCATTCCGTCAAGTGTACATTGCGGTCCACAATTCCATGTGAAGGACTGGATATCAAGCAAGATAAGCGGACCACCCATTTGGCGCAAGATCTTACTCTCCCCCAGTGATCTATCATACTCATGCCACACCGTATCACTCATCTTCTGCTTCTTCTCATCCGTATTCAACATCCCATTGATCAAAACTGGCATCCCGATCCAGAAGAGATGCATAGATCTACCAGAGGCCGATCCGCCTCCTTCTTGCTCCTTTGGCGTCAAGGGCACTAGAGACTCTACATGACTACTCAATTGCTTCAACCGGAAGCCGAAATCCGAAGCATTGTTCACATGAAGCATGTGCCATAACCCACTTCCCATAATCACAACATCTGGATACTTGTTCTTCTTCTTATACGATACCACAAGATCATCCAAATCTCTCTCGTAAGGAGCCCACACAAAATCAAGCTTCATCCCAATCTCCTTAACCACAATGCTGTAATCACTATGTCTCTTGAACAGATCATCTTTAACAGACTCCATAGCTTTTGAATCGGAACCCAAAACAAGATTCAACAAAGACAAAGCCACGAATCTCGCCTGAGAATCACCAGCGACAACAACCCAAGATCCATTCAACAAATCCGAAACATCGAATTTATCCAATTTCTGAAACTCACAGCTCAAAACTTTCCTCGATTTCATCCAATCCCAATTCTTCACGAAATAATCAAGCTTCGTTGAGCCATTATGCCTACGAACTGACTCGGGATTGGGAACCGGCTTAACATCCCAGACAATCTGATTCACCTCGTTAATACAAGAGATACGATGATCGTAGACGACAACAGACGAAACAGAGGCTACGATGTCCGAAACAGAAGGGAAATAAGGCGTGAGATGAACGCAAACCGCGAGTGAAATAAACAAAGCGCCACTAAAGAAGAGCATCTTGTTCCTGCTCAGATGCCAACCCGCCATAACCATGGGAACGAAGAGGACGAAACAAGCTGCTAATACTCCGAAATGGATCGCTCCTAGCATCTCTCTGATTACGGAATCAGTCACATCTATCTAGATTTCATCTAGACAAAACTAACTTCATCCAGATTCGATCGAATTAAACTCTTTTATTTATTATTTCCTTTAATTAAGAAGCTAGGGTTAAGAATTTGGTTTGGTGAAGAGAACACATCAGACAGAAAACAAAGATTGAAGGCGAAGATGATAATTTGGTGAGATTGAAAGGAACAGAACAACCGTAGGCTTCTTCTCTTCTTCGTTTCGGTTTTTTATTTTTTTCCTTTCTTAAATTTACATATAAGTAAGATCTCCATTAATTTATGATCTCATCTCAGAACGACATAGTTCGGTTCACTTTAGCCTGAAAATGGAACTGGGAAACTATTCTAACGTGCGCTCACCGCTGGGTATTACACTATCACGTGACCGCATGTTGTTGATTTTGATCATAAGTTTCTCGGCCCACGTAGAAGCCCATTTAGCTTCTTCCAAGCCCGACCCGTCAGTTTAACTCACCGATTTTACATAATTTTGTACTTATTTTGTTACTTTCTCATTTTCTGTAGAGGTGTATCAAATCAGAATAATTACGCCTAATTAGAAACATCTTATGATCGTATCATAAGGTAGGGCTAATCTATGTTATTAGTTTTATAGAGATGTGTGTGAACGTTAGCACTTAGCAGCTAGGAAGAAATAATTAAGTAAAGAACCAAAAGATGGATTCATGTGGGGGAAATGTGTCGAGAAGGGTATATAGGTATCTAGATATATATATTATATACATGTGTGTGTATAAAAATGGTGATGCAATTATACAAATAAGCAGGGGCGGGTCCAGCATAATATTTTAGTGGGTGAAAAATGTAGCTATAGGGAATCGAACCAGCAATCTCAAACTATTAGTGAATACAGTCTTAACCACTTTGCCATTACAACATTATTGTTCACTACTAAAATTTCTTTAATTTATACGTTAATGGGGGCAAGTGCCACCACCATCTATCACCTAGGTCCGCCCCTGCAAATAAGACGAAAGAACGAGAATATGGAATTAGGAATAATGAGAGAAAAAGGTTAAGACGATGATGAGAAAGGCTGAGAAGTGATGCTCCGAGGGGATGGCCCATGAATTACTTCCAAGGATTTATTCACATGTTCACATCTGCTGGATCCCACATGATGGATATATCCATCTCATTCTCATATGCTTTTCCGTGTTTTGTTTCTTCTTTCTCTTTTGATTCTGGTTTCATTAATTTATGCGAAATTTAGTTAAGTTGCATGATATACTAATCGCTACCAAATGTTCATATATACTCATAGAGAAGTTGTATAATAATCGATACCAAATGTGAACATGTTAAAATTAACATCATATATTATAATAAATACACTATATTAAATATAAGAACTTTGATTGAGCGGACAATAAAATGCCTTATAGACGACGAGCCATTTAAACTATCATTCATATATATGAATCTGAAAAAGACATATAAATGAAAAAAAAAAAGAAAAAAAAAAAGACAACTATGCTAATATTTATGTACGTAGATCAGATGGCAATGTGAAAAGAAGACAAAGGATTCGCATGCAAGTGGGTACAAAATAATTAAAAGATAGACAGTTATTTCAGTTAGAAGTGCCGCCGAAGAACCAAAAAAAGAGATTGCAACAGTTTTGGGTTAACCCAAGATTCGATCTTCCATGCAACCAATAGAACTCGAACACGTGCACAAATATTCTAGACCGACCACTCGCGGAGAAGCATGGGATAATATAATTGAGGATCGCCACTTGATGAAGAAACACGGTTAACCATTCATTTAGGGCGCCAATTTTTCTTTAATTATTCCGGTTTAGTACATAATTAATCTCCCTCGTGATCATGTTTTTCTTATACCATATTAGAATGCGTTATGCGTAAGACAATTTTTATATATATAAAAAAAGATGATGAAATTTTAATAATAATTTGTTTTAGTATTGGGATAGGGACCTTCCCTTTATTCACTTTTGTTTCTCCTTTTTCATTTCTTCTGTCTTTATATATATATATATATAATAACCCCCTTTGCTCTCCAAACCCTCAACGAAAACAAACCATTTCTATCTTCTTCTTCTCCTCGAGTCTCAATTCTCTCTAGCTCTCTCTTTCTTTCTTGAAATTGATTCAAACATCACAATTTCAAGAGATTATATTATATCTATGGCTCCTGTCTCGTTACCTCCAGGTTTCAGATTCCATCCAACGGACGAGGAACTAATTACTTACTATCTAAAAAGAAAGATCAACGGTCTAGAAATTGAACTTGAGGTTATCGCTGAAGTTGATCTCTACAAGTGTGAGCCATGGGACTTACCAGGTAATATTACTAATTTGATCTTCTTCCTTTATATATGCATGAGTTACTATAGCTATTATATATGATTTAAATCTTTTCTAGGATGTTCATATATATAGTTTATGATAAACATTGCTCGATGATAATTTTAGATTTCAAATTTCATTTGGATTAAAATCTTACAATTTCTACGATAAGAATTGTTTTTTAATTGGTCTATAAAACCCATAACAACAAGAGAGCTAGGTTGAAGAAAAGAATAAGAATATAATATGGATGAAGAAACCCTATCTATATACTTTAATTTTCTTCCGGAAAAATTCCACATGTACAAGCACATATATAAGCAGTATTTTTTATATAATTATTTTCTTAATTTGATTTGTTATTATTTCTATATATATATTTTAAAATTGTATAATTGTAAAAAACATGAATGCCGCGATCGAACTTAGTTGAGATATTCTTAACGTTTAGAATTTATTCATATACATACACATGCTTTGACAAATGACGCTGTCTAAAGTAGTCACTAATGAAATATAGGAAAATCTTTGCTTCCGAGCAAAGACCAAGAATGGTACTTCTTCAGCCCACGTGACCGGAAGTACCCTAACGGCTCAAGGACAAACCGCGCAACCAAAGGCGGTTATTGGAAGGCCACTGGCAAAGACCGTCGTGTGAGTTGGAGAGACCGAGCCATTGGAACCAAGAAGACACTGGTTTACTACCGTGGCCGTGCGCCACATGGTATTAGAACCGGTTGGGTCATGCACGAATATCGACTCGATGAAACCGAATGCGAGCCTTCTGCGTACGGCATGCAGGTTCGTAATTGGCTTACTATAACTGAATCGTCTAATTATTATTTTTCTTGTGTATATATCATATTTTTTTAAAATCGTCTAATTAAATTCTATGTGTGATCAGGATGCATATGCACTTTGTCGTGTGTTCAAAAAGATTGTGATTGAAGCTAAGCCAAGAGATCAGCATCGGTCATATGTCCACGCGATGCCGAATGTGAGCGGTAACGGCTCATCGAGTTTTGACAATTGTTCAGATCTCGAAATCAGTTCAGCTACTCATCAAGTTCAAAACACATTCCAACCGCGATTTGGCAACGAGCGTTTTAACTCCAACGCAATCAGCAACGAGGACTGGTCACAATTCTACGGCTCTTCTTATAGACCATTCCCTACTCCATATAAGGTATAACTAATATATTTCAAAGTTTTTTACATCCATCAACATATTAAATATTTTGAATGATGGATTTTCTATATGTACAGGTTAATACAGAGATCGAATGTTCAATGTTACGACACAATGTATCTCTACCACCGTTGCGTGTAGAGAACTCTGCGGTTAATGATTGCGATTTCTTCACGAGTATGACTCACAACAACGATCATGGCGTTTTTGACGACTTTACTTTCGTTGCAAGTAACTCCAACCACTATAATAGCGTTGGGGATCAAGTGATCCACGTTGGCAATTATGTTGACCAATTGATGACGTCTAATCATCATTTGAACCAGGTATGTATATATATCCGACTATTTAAAGATACTTATTTCAATGTTAATATTTAAGCCTAACATATGTATATTATTTATGCATTTGAAAAGGCCGGTTATTTAGAAGAGCAAAAGATCATACCGAGTTTGGATGATACTGATCACCAAAATCTTGGATTTCATGGTGAGCATGTTTTATAATTAGGTTTAAAATACAAGATTGTTATGGTGCTCTTCCTATCTAACGATGATTACAAATTGTTTAATTTACAGGGAACAATACCAATGAGGACCACATAGATATCGATGATTTTTTCTCATTTGATAAATATAACGAGGAAAACGTGAATAGAATAGAAGACAATAATGAACAGTTGGATACAAATGAAACACTTGATTCATCAGGATTCGAGGTGGTTGAAGAAGAAACTAGATTTAACAACCAAATGCTCATTTCGACATATCAAACAACGAAGATTCAATATCACCAAGTCGTGCCTTCTCACACGTTGAAAGTTCACGTCAATCACAATAATGTGGAAGAAAGAACATTGTTTATCGAAGAGGACAAAGATTCTTGGTTACAAAGAGCTGAGAAGATCACCAAGACAAAACTAACACTTTGTAGTTTAATGGCTCAGCAATACTACAAATGTCTTGCGATTTTTTTCTGATTCTTTTTTTATAAATTGTTGATTTATTTAATCCGATTTATTTAATCCCATTTGGATAACAGGGCATTTACATAATATACATGTATACTAATATTTAACATTTAATTATTGTATTTCCTACTATTTAAAAATATTTCTTATACGAATATTTCCATTAAGAGGATATATAGTTTTCTTTCGTTGTTATTTCTCTCAAGATTTCGCATTATTCACCTTTTTAATGGAAAATTCTAGCAATTGTGTCCCATAAATTAGACAATTAACATGAATTTAGTAGGTAGCCAATTCCATGAGCTTCTTCCAAGCCGGTCTAGCCGAAATCTCATTCCACCACCGGTTAACATTCTCTCGAGACGTAACCAAACCGCACAAACTGGTTTCATTCATGATATATCTCATACCGGGCATATGAGTCAAATCAGCCAATGTGAATTCATCACCGGCCAAGTACCGGTTCGTAGCTAACCGGTTCTCATACACATCCAGGACCTTGTCGAACTTGACCTTTAGCTCTTCAACCAAAGTGACGTCGCATGGCTCACCAAACTTGGGCTTAAAGACGACGTTCATAACTAAGGGTAGAGCCACAGCGTAGAGATAGTTATTCTCAACTTCCATCCACTGGTCAACAATGGCTCGTCTCTCCAATGTCTTGCCCAACAGGTCCGTTCCTTGGTCCGCATACTTTGTCGCGTAGTACCTCGCTATGGCTCGCGACTCTTGAAGCCACAAATCCAACACATAAATAGCTTCTTCTGTTTGTTTTTTCTTTATTTTACCATTACCATAAGAATATATAAAATAAGTTATAAAGGTTACCAAAAAGCTTTAGATCTCCATCTTCAATAGCTGGAACTTGACCAAACGGCTAATACAAGGGAAGAGTTACACAATGAATAATACGTTTTCTGTGATGATAATGTGCTATAACATAAAACTGCTCATACCTGACGGAGAAGATGTTGTGGTTTTTTCTGCTCAAGTTGATCGAGATCTACATGAACCACTTCAAACTCGATGCCTTTCTCCAAAAAACAGAGCAATACTCTCTGCGGATTAGCTGCTTTTATCTGCCCATACACTTTGACCACCATTTTCTGATTAAAATTTTATAACTTTATTCGTAACAATTGATATCAATTGTAAATACCGATAGAGAATGTGGATGTGTGTGTGCGTCTGTTTTATAGACCACAAAATGATATTTCAACCTTTAAATTAAAGAATCAGTTTGCCTGTGGATGGTAATCAGTGGAAATCCCCTGGACCGGTGAGTAGGTGAGAAATAGAAACGTGCTTTTATCATGGAATTATTGATTTTAATGTTTTTTTTTCTTTCTTTTCTATGGTGCAATTATGTCAGATATCATAAAAGAGAATGTATAAGAAGTTCTAAATACCATGTTAAGGAGCATTCATAATTGTACATTAGTCTCAACATAACAAGACAACGTTTGAGATGGTTCGATACAATAAACATGATCATAACTAAAAGCTATACAATTAGCTTAAGTGGTTGTACAAACGAAATCTCCATAAACAAATAGGAGAAGCTTTCAACAGGTGATAGATTGGACAATGATCAGGGAATCGAAAAGAGAGAAAAAGACACAAGACTACATTTCCCAATATTATTATTCACAAACCCAGTTCCAAGAACCATTTACAACGCATTAACGAGGAGAACAAGAGTGGTTTGTATATACATATGTACCTTTGTATCAACAGTGGTTTATGACGATATGTGTTTTTGTGCAAAGTGGGTTCAGACAGGGACACGCCTTCCACGGTAGCGATCCAGCAACTGATTCAATGACCAAATAGTTGGTAAAAGTTCGATTGGATCATAAGACAAATGTGTCTAAATAGTAAAACTGAGAGCAAGTGCAACGTACCGATCTTATGTATGGTTGATGCAAAAGCCAGCCCAATAGAGGTATCCTTTGAAGGAAGACGGCAAGTGTAGGCCAGAAACCACTTAACAAGTACAGAAGAATGGACAAAAGACATTAGTAAGCAAATCAACAACTAGAACATGAATTAGTAAAACCACAAATTTGTTAGGAGAAGTACACTTGAAAAAAAACCCACCTGAAGAGGACAAGGAAACCATAAGATTCTAGAAGCAAACCGAAGATAGGCCATCCAAACACAACAAACAAGAAACCCAATCCAAATGAAATAGTACCCTGTATATCAAGAAGTATAAAAGCAAGAAGATTTATTAACTACTATACTCTTCAAAAACACAAAGATATATCATGAGAGTTCTTCTCGCTTAGTCATAGCTTTAGTCTTTGCCTTGTGACCTTAGGAATCAGATTGAAAACAAAAGGGATAATGAAAGAAACAACCTTAAAATTCTGCCGTTTAGTAAAGAATTGGATAGCTGGGTGGATTCCAATGGTTAGAGTAACACCAGCTAGGAAGAGGATCTGTTCAAATAGACTACAGAGACTTAGAATTATATCTTGCTAAAATCGTAAGAGCACAAAGCTGGTAAATTCCTACATTTCCCATGGCTATGAGTCCCTTGTCAAACACAAATATCACTCCCAGGAATGTAAAGAAGACACCAAATCCAGTCAAACCTAGCCCAATCTCTGCCACATATATCACCATATCAGCAAATTTTCAATAATGTGACTAGTTCAAAATATTGAACTTTTGTATGACTCAACAATAATGATAACAAATTCCCAAGTGCAACATCATGAAGAATATAAAAAAAAAAATCAATTTTTTTTAGCCTCCATAGATCAATTTTTTTAGCCTCCATAGATACTACTAACACACAATGAAGCCATAGCCAAAGAGGCACAAAACAGAAGAAACCAGAATATGCCAATAAATTTCTCAACAATTCAGCCGTGGGTAAGGGTAGCAAACAATTTCAATCGACAAGGCAAATAGCTCAATTTGAAATCAATGGATACGAGTTCATTATGATCACATCCCAATTTAACGACTGTATCGGAACTTACTTTTTAGGTCGTTCATCTCCAAGGAAGCCATTGTTACCGTCGAATTAGACAATCAGAAAACGTAAGAAGACAATTCAAACAAGTTTCAGATCTGACACAGTGTATTTTATTTTAGTCTCTGAAATCAACCCAAGAGTTTGGATCTTCATCTTCTTGGAATTGGAACGTGGTGGTGGTGTCAAATGTCAACGACTTCCAGTAGAAGGAACCAAGCGCGAGTCAAAGCTTCGTCATCCTTGGGTCTCCACGTCATCTTGACAGCATGAGATATTTCAAAAGAACCCCCTCACTGTTAATCCCTTACGAACATACCCCAAAAGATTTCTGGCGTTCGGGGGTTAGGCCCATTAAAGGCCAATTAAACAAAAGACCCATATAAGGTCCACTATATATAACCGTGACTCCAGCCTAGCCCATTAAAGGCCAATTAAACTAAACTGTTGCATAATTTTAGATTTTTATTTTCTTAATTCATCGATTTTTCATTTTCAAGGTTCAGTCATAACAATAACAAGTAAAATTTTACTCCATACCATAGGACCATATCCTAAAAAGACTATTGATGAAATAAGAAAACTGGTCAGTTACTTATATTTATTTACTCTGTTAAGTGCATACTATTTAAACTGGAAAAATTACAAAATTATCGAAAGAGTCGAACACTTTTTTAAAGTAAACTTATACAAAAATTAGAAAGCAAAAAGAGCTTGAAACACATCATCGTCCCAAAACGAAACCCGGTTTAGGTTCGAGTGAGCAAAGCCGAAATATGAGCCGCCGAGAGCGTCTGGGCTCTAAGAGGCGGTCTGTTACCGGAAAGTCGCGGCGGCCTGTCAAGAAAAACGTCGTGACCACTTAGATTTCGCTCCGATGCGCCGCCACATCCGGATAATCTACGACAGTGAGGGCTTTCTCTTCGCTGCTTAAGCTTTGCGTTGAATGGATTCTCCGGCTTCGCGAGATCTTCCACGGTTAGCGCTTCGGCCAACGATGTGAAAGACTGTGATTTACCTTTGTAATATTTCGATAATCCTCTCCTGCAATATATTCGTAACAATTTCAAAAACTATTTCTCTAAACTCCCCAGAAATAAAATATTTCCGTATTGTACTCCTAAACTAGTATAAGATTATATATTAAGAAAACACCGTAATTATTTGGGGTCTGTTCGGACAATATTTAACATCAACAGAACATTAATTCTAATTCTCTTTACCTTGAGGAAGAAGAAGAAGAGCTTCGACGGTCCGAATCATCAGGAGAGTTTGGAAAAGAAGACTGAGAGTTAGCACCTTCATCTGCGTCAGCGTCAGCGTCAGCGTCTCTGACGTAGTTTCCGCGTCTGCGTTCTTCTCCCAGCATAAGAGACTCCATCTGTTCTTGATAGTGCATTTTTCTTCTTTTAAGCCGCTCCTAATTTATTACTAAAAGAGTTGAGAACAGGAACAGTGGCATTTATACGCTTATAAATATTTTTAATGAATGTGTTTTTATATATAGTCGGCCCGTAATTAAAACTGTTTACGTAGTGAATAATTCGAATTAAAAACATTATCTAATGAGCTCTGTTTCACAAATAACATGTCACGCCCATGAACATGGGTTCTGGTTTTGCGGTCTTTTAAATAAATAAACATGTCAGAGATAAGATATTTTTGGGAATGAATTGAACGAGATGAAGACACGTGGAAAGATTGAAGAAATGGACGGAGATTAGATACATGTTACGTGGTGGGTGGAAACAGATGGCACGAAGAACGATGTCATCGAGAATCTCTGTGTAACGAATCTAACGATACGTGTCGAACTGCGTTGAATAGATTCAACGACTTTTTGGGCCATGATTGATAAATGAACTTTTTTTTTAAGTATTTATGGACCGTTAAGGCCCGTAGCACATGATCGCCTTTTAAAAACATTATCAAGATGTGCGACTGGTAAGAAAGTAATCGATAGGATTAGAAGAATCTTTTACGTTTTCTTGACCGAAGAGCAAGTAGAATGTTTTCCTCGACTGTGCTGTGCTTGTTTTGCCTTTATTCCAGCTTAAAAGAAAGGTTCACTAATTTTCTACCGTTTTTATTCTAACTGGTACCATGCAGAGTCAGAATCAACTGTTCTTTACTCTAATTATATCCCTCCAACGAGGGCCAACCACCAATTTTCATCAGAAAAGACTGATAAAATAACTAAACTCAGTGTTTAACTTGAAGAAAAAACCTATTCCTAAATTATGCATCAGTACTCAGGGGCCTCTGTACAGAGTTCCCCCTAGTAAGATATTCAAAATGAATTTCAATTCCTACTTCAAGTACATTAAAAAGTTAGAGTCGCTAAAGTTTAAACATTTTCAGAGGTAAGTACTTGACTTAACTATCCTACATATCATTCTACAACAGAATACCTAGAAATTCGAGGACGAGTGATTACTCTAGACTACGCTAATCAGTCATTTTATACCGAATGTAGATTGTTTGGTATTGGTCAATCTAGGGTTCATGATCGGTTCTGGAGTCTAGCAAAGCATATCAAAAGCAGATACTACTACTGTACTACTTCAGATTCCATATGCATCATGAATTCATGATATTTGTATCTAGCAGTGGAATATGCACATATGAGACAGTTTGGATTTCTCTCGGAGATTAGAAACCAGAACACTACTATAAACAAAAGGGTTCCCTGATTACCAAATCCGTATTCACAAGCGCTAATTCATAGAATGCACAAGAAAAATCACAGTGTGTGGCATAGAATCAAATTCAATAAAACCATCAATGATGTGTCTGTGTGCCATCAATGCCTATCCTGAAGACTGAAGAGAGGATTATAGTCAATCTGGTAACGAATAACAATCTCAATCTGGTAACGAATAAGAATCCAAGCAAGAAAAGTATGACAAATCCTTCAATTTACGAAAGATAAAAGGCAAAGATTCGAAACGTTGAAACAGAGAAAACCTAACGAAATTAGGTGAGACGCTCGAAAACCCAACAAATAGGCATTACACTAATTGGACCTGAGACAGACAAGACGAGCCGATCAATCCTTGTTCCTGAGCCTCTCGATCCTCTGGTTAAGATGCTCGATCCTGACAACCAAATTGGTCACTGAGTAAAGGATCCAGTAGAAGACAAGGGCAGCCGCGATGAGAAGCGCGTTTCGCTGGGATTTCATCATGGATTTCTGGTGACGAAGATGCTCCGACGGTGTGCAGGAATCGCCTTCGCACGAAGGCATCGTCTCGTACTTCCAGTAGATGTCCATTAATAAGAAGAGGCAGAAAGGAACTATGGAGAGAAACGGTTTGAGGAGATTACGCGTGACGGCGACTAATCCCTTGCGGAGTCCGTCGAGTCCTGGCATCGTCAATAGCACCACCATGATCGCTTCAGCCGCCGCTGCGTAACCTAAAACAACCCATTCGAGCGCCATTATCACCGGATCAAGCTAGATCTGAAGAAGTCTCTTCTGAAATTTCTAATTTTCCGATCTTTTCTTTTCTGGGGGAAGAGAAGAAGATGTAAGGAACGTGGTACACGTGGCGGTAGACGCGTGTCACACGTCGGTTAAGAGGGAGAAGACTTTAAATGGGCTCATATGGACTGGGTTTTCTTAAATAAGGCCCAAATAGTTACACAAAGTAGCCGCTTCTTTAAAGCAGGCTTTTAGTTAGATTTACACACACCGTCTATTTGTCAAGTAGAAAAATAAATATAAAAACAAAAAAACGAAACGGCAACGTTTAGTAGGTGAGACACGTGGATCAGATTGTGTTTTGTCTCCTAATCACATCACTGTCAAAGCAGATACATAAATGGATATATATAAGCACACATTAAACGGAGTTGTAAACTCATACTGACTACAAGAACATCAAGAAGCAAAATCTTTACAGTAGAAACAAACATATTCTCATATCTCTTGTAATCTCCGCCAGAAAGGAAAACAAAGTTTGTATGGCAACCACCGGATCGAAGAGCTTTCAGTTGATCACCACCTGTTTCAGGAAGCACATCGTAAACACACGCGCTTCCCCACGCGCCACCGTCTCTGCCCTTTTCTCTCCACGGTATCTAACACTCTCTTTCCCTTTCTATTTTTTTCCTTCTTCTTTCAAATGGATCCATGTTTCTTTGAACCTAATATGTAACAAAAAGAAAAAGAAAATACATTGATGGCAAGAGAAAAAGAGAGAAACGACTACATTTGGTTTCTATGGAAATATAATTAGTTTTTATGAGATGGATAATAGTATATAGTATAACACCATCTTGATTATAATGAATCTGATATGAAAAGTCGTTAACGACAACATATTTGAGGGTTGTGATGTTTTGGTTATTTCTCAATGTGTTTGTTTATCAGTGTCTAGTTTTGGTCAAAACTCAAAACGATCCTTAGTTTTGCACTTTCTTGATTTGAAGATATGATTCCCAGATCTAGAAAGTTCAGATATCAGAGTTAGGTACGTACTAGGGTTCCAAATTAGTTTAATTATATATATCAGTTGTGTCTTTTAATACTGTCAATCTCTTTAATTTTTTTTTTCTTTTCTTCCAAATGTCGTATGTAGTATATGCTTAGTTTAAACGCAATGGATCCGAAAAGCTCCCTGTCATATTTGCACAAGTGTTTTGATTTTGAGTCTTAAAAAAGTGTTTTTTATTTATAAGAAAATCCTTTTTCATCAAATCTTAAAATAATAAATACATTTTCATGAAAATAAAATATATTCGTACAAAAAGCATAAGCAATGTACTACAGTGGTACATTGTAGAAAGATATGGCATATGCCATATGCCATTAGGCGTAAGTGGATAATACCAAAACAAATCCAATTCAGGATTTGACACGTGTCAGTAATGTTAATTTACATCCACACCGATGAAGAAGAATAAACTTTTCTTTTGGGTAGACAACTCGTAGTGTTGTGTAGTAGTTGGGGTCAAACTCAAAACCGTAAACCAAATTACAAGCCACATTTGATAGTTTTATTTGCTGTAGTCCATATCGTAAAGAAACACGTTATTTTCCATATAAATATATTGAGATGAGTAGACGTGATGTAGCCTGATGATTATCTCATATCGTTAAATGAAAGATAAGAATTGGACCGACAGCTTTGAAGATATTGAAATATTGATGGGAGCTGAGTCTGACTATGACATATTTTGACATTACTTGATTTTTTTATATCGATTTATAAGGAAAAAGGCATTTATGGGGGGGGGGGGGGGGTCACTTTTTACTGAAATACAAAACTTTCCATCTTTAATAATATACAATGACCGGATAAAATAGAAGAGACCGTCTTCGTATGACTCTGAATTCTTTTTTTTTTTTTTTTTTTTTGGTTGTTGTGTGTATTTTCTTTTTGTGTGGTGGCAATAACGTCTCATCTACCGAGCAAACAATCTCCCACCCAACTGGAAATTTGTTTTTTCTTATTTCCCTTGATATCGCAAAATTTATTTGATTCAATAATTTAGCATTGTTTTGTTTTTTTTTTTTTTTGTACATGCGACAAAATATCGTATCAGATAAAAAAAAAGTCTTCTAAAATATCATTTTTTCCCCCCTTTGAACGAACAGCAGGAGTGGTCATTCCTCGGCGTATGATAAGAACGTGGAGGATGAACTGCATGCAAGTGCAGTTCCTGACGAAGTCATAAAGCCAGATTCCGATCAATATTGGTCTCCTCATCCTCAGACTGGAGTTTTTGGCCCCTCCACCGCTGATCACAGCTCCGCCTCTGAAGGTGCTGCACGCCAGGACTCTGCGGTGCTGGAGGAGACTGCTTGGTTTCGCCCCACTAGTCTCGAGGACTCAGACAAGACTCACCATGTTTAAGTCTCTCTCTCCCTGTTTTTTTTTACTGGTGGTAATGTTGTAATAATGTTCTATAAGTAGACAAACTCTATGTCAAATAGTGTCCTAAAAACCTTTTAAGTCTGCTATGTTAATGTTCAATAACGAATCAAACCAATCAAAATGAAGTTTGGAAATTATTCGGTACGGTTAATCAAAGCCATGATGAGTGAAAAGACAACATCAGCTAATCGAATCTCTGAAGAACAAAATCAATTATATTTGTAAATTTGATTGACCAAGCGAAGATTCATATATCAAATCAACGAAAAAAACTCTCTTAAGGCTAAAATTAACTAAAACTGAGGCTAAAATCAAAGATACATAAAGCTTTCTGAAGAGAGAAAAATAAAAATATACAAAACGAACCAGTGGTATACTGTTCTACTTCTTCACCGATCTGTACCAATAAGTAACCAGAGCCTCTCTACGTAAATTCTTCTCCCTACGACTAATTTTCCCTCAGAATCATCACATAATAAAAGTCTGATGGTTGCTCAAAAAGACCCATCACCCCAGAATTTGTAATGCCCTAAATGTGATTCTCAATCTACGAAAAACCAGAGACTCAATAAATGGTTTATATGTTTAGTACCTGTAAATCTCTTTTTCACTTGAGTAGAGTTCTCGTTATTGATCTCTTCTTCTCTCGTTAAAGGATTTCGCAGTTGGCTTTGAAGGCGGTCTATTTATCTTCTCAAGTAATCTGCTAAATACTAGCTTGACCGGTATGCAGGCCACAGTTGGTGGTCCTGGTAATACCCGTCTGTTAGAGAGCTCGTGTGTCCGGTCTCGTAACACCTTCATCCCATTATGTCCTTGTTCGCTGCTGAATGACGATAGTGCCCTTGTCTTTTGACTAGCAGTAGCATTTGTGTTCTTCAGCAACTTCTTTTGCTGCTGCTGCTGCTGCTTTCTCTCTGCAGGGGGTCGTGGAATTCGCAGTGAACTGTTTCTCCTCACCGAGTTATCATCATTACTAAAATTTCCCAGACCGAGTTTCCTACCAAGTGGTTTTCTTGCCTGATCAACTGGAGAATGATCATAGTTTGCTTCATCATCCGCTTCAAGGGAAGATGAGAATGGCTGCAGCCGTGGAACCCGGGAATTACTCCTTCTTGCAGTCTTCCAAGCAGAGGGCAGAAGAAAGGTTTTGTCATGGTAAGTTGTTTCATTACCAAAGTAATCAATTGTCTGAATATATGACTCGGAGGAACCATCTGCTAAGACTTCAATTTCTACCGGATGTCCAATTATTGCTCTGCCATTTAACTTACTCATAAGGGAGACGATTGGTACAGGCCCTTTCTGATAGCTTCCTCGCACTTCTAAATCCACATCCATCAATGGAGAATACCTTTTTCTGCCTAAATGTCGTTGAGAAGCATCAAACTCCTGACCTAAACCTTCGAGTTTTTCCTCCCCTTGCTTTCTCATACCAATCCGGCCTTCCCAAGGATCATCATCCCAGTCCAGCATGTCATGGCTGTAGATGTTCTTACATCCAGGTGCAACCACAGTTGAGAGCTGATAATTATCACCTGGTCCAATCATTCTGTCCATGAACTGCCTTTCGCTGGGATCAGTGTCATCAGTTCCATCGCTCATATCATTTGTTCCATTAAAATCTAACCCATAACCCATATGCTTTTGGCCAAATGCTCTTCTCTTATATTCACAATATCTTCCATCTTCCAGACGATTACGGTGCATTTCTCTCTTACGTGCAGACCTTCTTGGAAGATTGCGCAAGTTTCTTTTTCCCTTGAGCTGCCACTTGGAAACCGTACTAGCATCATTATCGGGATTGTGGGAATAAAGGTAGGAAGAGTCGCCAGAAATGGATGACTCATAATGATCTTCCTCACTGCTAGTGCTTTCATCTTCTCCTGACATATGTCTACTAAAAGTATTGCGTCGCTCCGAATGACGCCCTGCTCCTGAAGGAGAATTCAAATAATAGTTAGGGAATAACTAACACCTATACTACACAGAGAAAATTGTGGTCTACATAATCAAAAAGTAATTATTTTTTATAGTTCAGAGGCTTGACACAAATTGAAACCGAACTTTCGGAAAAGTCGAAAAACATTTATATTGATAAGAAATTAGCTTTTAACATCCAGAAAAGCTTCACCTGACGGCAATGGAATGTCATCATCAGTATCCTCCTCCATATCAGAAGAATCAGTTTCAGATTCAGAATAATCAGATTCCATATCTTCCAAAAATTCAGGAGGGTCATAGTCTGAATAACGAGAATCACCACCGACAAAGGAAGAACGCATTGCCTCTCTATGGCTTAGTAAACTCTCATGCAGCTCTGAAACATCATTAGATTCATTTGGTGTAAACATATATTTAGGCCTTTTAGCCTCCGCCTTACTCCTAGTGTTCTCCTTTCCTGAAAGGGAGCCAACATTGCATATAAATTTTATGTCAAATAGAGTCAGAAGCCTGACGTATCCAACCATCTTGGAATTAAACTTGGACGTTTATAAATTCATCTTTACCGAGGGAATAACGGGGCCTCTCCATGCTATGATCTCCACTCGAAGAGGCTGAAGAGTTGCTTCTGGCAAGATACTTTAAGGAAGTATCAGGGCCATTGGAACTTGAAATCTTTCGTTTTGAAGAGGCAGTTCTAAGTCCAAAGTCCTGCAAGCCTCTCATTCGAGGCACAGCCTCATCCTCACAACTTGGTTGATCTTCCTCTTTATCTCTCAACAAATGCATCCCTAGAAAATCTTTGGATTCTCGTGTTCCATTAGAGATATCCTGAACCCTAACTATAGCCATTCTCTCCTTGGTTGCATCAGGAGAGCAATCTCTAGCCTTGTCGGGAACTAGTTTCCCTTCTTTTTTCAGCATTTCCTTTTCAAGTTCAAGGGCATGGAGAATGGCATCTTCCCTACGAGCATACTTCTCCCTCTTTCTTATTGTCAACGCTTGCGAAGATTCTACCCTTTCAATGCATTCATCAAAATCACCACACCGAAATGGCTTGACCCGCTTGGATTTCTCTAAATTATACCAATCCCTAACCACATTACAAGATTGAAACAAAACCGCTTTCAGTAATCAATCCAAAATAAAAAGAAAGTTTATACAGAGAAAAAAAAGAAGAGACTTACACACTTGCATCCTCTCTCCCGAGGAGCTTCACCGGAGTTCCAGATCGTGGCGAGGTGATATGCGTAGAGTCAAGATCTTCTTGTCCAAGTATCTTCCCTGGCCACCAAGAACCGTTCCTTCTCCTAACCCACACAATAGAACCCACCGTCCAATCCGCCGCAACTGATCCTGGACTTCCCATTCTTCTCTTCTCCCTCTTTACACTCAAGATCACACTTTCTCTCTCTATCTTCTATGTCACTACCACAAAAAGGCCTCAGAAGTCTACCATTCTCTCAGAAAAAAACAAATTTCTTCTACGGTTATGTATTGATCTACCTGCAAATCAGCTCTGCCGCCGGTAATACAGACGAATTCCGGCGGATCCAAGACTACAACTGAAACAAACGGAAGGTAGCGAAGTGAATACGGCGAGGACTAAGCTTTCCATTCAGATTTGGAAAATTCCCATAACCCTACGCTCTCTCTTTACGCAGGTTAGGTTAGGTTAAACCTTCCCTATCAGCTTTTTCCACCGTCCGTCTATAATAAACTATGTAAGCGAGTGCTCTCTCAGAAACCTCCGCGCCCTCGTCTCTCTCTCTATCTCTCTCTCGCTCCTCCGTGACTCCGTCTCTCTTTCGCCTTCTCTCTCTCTCTCCTCCGGGTGGTGATTGCTAGCTTCGCAGTTCAATGAGTTAACACGCGCTCCTGAAAAGCGCGTGCTTTCTACGTTACCGAATCATAGGCCCATTAACCATTCCAAACTATGGGCTTTACATCTCTTAGGCCCAACACAGTAAAATCTTGGGTTCTTTAGTTATTTTAAAATTCAAATTTGACGCTGCAACGGTCACCTGTGGCGAAGGGAGTTAGGGTTTTGTGTTCGCCTAATGGTATAAATATCCTTCGTCTTCGGATCTGTAGAGTCACATAGCAGAAACGTCTTGTTTTTTCAACTGTCATTTTTTCTCAACCAATCAAAGTTTTTTCATTTTTCTCTACATCGTCGCCATGGATTTCGACAGTCTTCCGAGAAGAGATCTTCAGTTTTTCTGTAAAAGGAACAAAATCCCAGCCAATATGACCAATATCGCCATGGCTGATGCTCTCAAAGCTCTTGAGATTGTAAGTTTTTTTTTTCCTTCCTTTTTCTTTAGATTTGTTCACATAGTCTTGCTTGTTCTCAGTAATATAGCAATCGATTTGAGATCCACATTTTTTTGTAGTTACAACTATAACGTGTCTTTGCTTACTGGAAATTGTTCTGAAAAGTTGAGAAATTTGGGGCGTATTTGATAGTGACGAATATGAAATTCTCAAGTGGTTTCAGATGGTGTTTAATTTCATTGGGATCGTATTCTTAGATCTGGTTACTAAAGCTATGTGTGTTTTTATTCTTGGGTAAATCTCCGAAATCAAGTTTTAAGTCTGATATATTTGATCTTAACATTTGATGGCTGATGGTTTTGTGATAGTATCACTAGCTGTGCTTGTGAGTTTATAACTGTTTTTAATTACTAGATCCATCAGAGCCTGACCATTATGATTTGGTAGGTTGAAGGTGTTGATGACTTCATGAATCAATCTCCAATGAGTGTAGCTCGAACTGCAGCTAGAACAACTCGAAAAAAGGCCTCCAAAGATGATACTCAGTCATCAGATTTGGTGACCCGTTCTTGTTATGTGGCGAGTAAGTCCCTTGCTGGAGAAATGGAGCAAGAAAACAGAGACACGAATATGCTCCTGAATCCACCAGTAAGCCGTACAAGTGCAGCAGCGACCTCTGTTGCTGTAAAGTTAGACGTCACCGATGACATGCCTGAGGTCAATGTGAGCAAAACTCCTGCGGTGAGAACCACAAGAAGGGCTCAAGCAGCTGCTTCTTGTAAGAAGGATGAGTCAGTCCAGAGGGTCTACAGCACCAGGAGGTCTGTCAGATTGCTAGAAGAATCCATGGCTGACCTGAGTTTGAAATCCAATGTACCTGCAAAGAAGCACGAAGTTGCTGAAAAAGAAGATTCACCCGCAGGTATGCCATAAACCATCTATCTCTCTCCCTCGTTATTAAAACAGATGATTTCCATGTTCACGTAATTTGGATGAGTTTGTAATCAACTTTATTTGTAAATTGCAGGTTCCAAATACCAGGCAAAATCAGATGAGAACTCAGAAAATGTAAAGGAGGTTGAAGTTGTGTCAGTGAGAGATTTGAATGATTCTTTGGAGAAGGAATGGGATGGTTCAAAGAATGATCCTGATCTTGACGTATTATATGGTGATCTTGGTGATATCACTTTCTTTGATGCGTCCACTAGTAAGGAACAGTTGAATGGAGCAGGTATACTCGCACTAGCTTACCAATCGATGTTGTCTGGTTCATTATTTTTTTGGTTGGATTTCTTAATTTCCATGGGGGGCTTTCTTTGCAGATTCCAGCACGCTTTCAGCTTCGGACAGTTTTGTTCTAGTCCAAGAACAAGAAACATCGGAGGAGAATGATTTTGTTGTTGTAGACCATGCTGCATCTACTACCACCACAAACACTCTGGTCTGCAACAAAGAATCAGAGTCTGAACAAATGAAGATTGATTCTGAATCTGAATCAGAAGAAACAGAAGATGAAACTGATCCAGGGGAGGGTGATGATTTCGGTGACACAAACCAAGAGGCATTTGAGTCTAGAGTCTCTGCTAGTGCGAATGTGAGTAAGGTAGACTCGGTCACCTCAGTTGTGATAGCTGAGGAGGAACTTGAAGTAGACAGCGATGAATGGTCCGATTATGAGATAGGCGAGGTAGAGTTGGAGGAAAACAGTTACGGATCCGAAGAGTCCATTGACATTGAATCAGAAGAAGCTCCTGTTTCAGATAAGAAGACTCCAGCTTCTTCTTCTTCTTCTTCTGAAGCAGAATCAATCTTAAAGAGCGACAAGAACAAGGAGGATGCTGTGGAGATGGATCTTAACAACAATGGAGATGGAGAAGGAGAGGCCGAGGCTAAGAAGAAGACAAAGAAGAAGAAGAAGATAGTTGCTGAAGAGAGCTTCAAAGACGTGAGCATGAGGCAACTAACGAAGATGGTGAGAGAACTTGCTATCAAGAATAAGCAACAACAACACAAGGGCGCCACAGCCACTGAGTAAAGAAGAAAAAACTATTTTTACCTTTTTGAAATAATTTCCTTTCTCTCTTGGAAAGATTATTTGATATTTCTTTTGTTTCCGTAAGATGTGATTTTCCTTTTTTAAGGAAACCCAAACATAATCTCTAATGAAATCTATTTCTTTTAATCTCATTCCTTCATTTCTCCATGGCTTTCCAAATCATCTCTATCTATCTGTGTATGTTTCATTTTCTCGCAAGAAACGAATATAACTTCCAAACTTATCTAAGTGAAAAACAAAGCTTGGCAGAGGAAGACAGAGACGCAAAAAGATCAATCATACGCTTCAAGGGACACTTGACGCCATGAGAATTTTGCAGATTTTTATACAATTATCCATCAGAATTTACATTGAAGCTCCAAAGTCATTATGCAAAAAGGGCCATGTGAGACAAAAGAAAACAAAAACAACTTCCATTACATAGTCTTGAGAGATTTTGATTGTGTGATATTACTACCATATCAGAGGCCTAGAAGAAGACTTTGGCCATGGCCTAAAAGTATATAATGGTGGATAGACTGAACACCATGAGCTTGATTTGGTACTTTTCGTATTTCAATTTAACTAGTCTGGGGATTTTTTTCTGCGGAGTGAGTTAAAACGAGGGACCAACGGATGAGTAACCAGCAGCTTTAACCTCTTTGAGCGTAGTTGATAACCAGTCTAAGCCTTCATAGAGCCCATCTCCTTGAAGAGCACATGTGCCTTGTATATGCCATTTCCTGTTCTTGAGGTCAAGTAAGCCAAGCCCTTCACATACTTCTCGAGGAGACATGGCTCCTCTCTGAGATTCATAAAGAGTGTGGATGAATATTGGTAGATGAGAAAGAAAACATATTCACACAAGGAAAGGTAGAGCTTTGAACTTTTACCATGTCTTGTTTGTTGGCAAACACTAGAATGACACTGTTGAGCATGAATGGATCTCTAATGATCTCCTGAATAAATCAATAAGCAGATGTTAGAAACTCCACAGAGACTAGTTTTACCCAATTGTTTGTGCAATTTTTCTTAAGGCACCTGAAATTCTTGCTTCGCTTTAACAATCCTCTCTCGGTCCAAGGAGTCAACCACGTATATCTGCAAAAATGTATCAACCAATATAAATCAGAGATAATTCGTTCGTTAAACAAAAAGAGGAAATACTCTGTCAAAAAATTCTCTTCTGCAGAATCAGAGCCCGAAAAGAGGAGAAGAGACCATATGATCTAACTACACGCAGAGACAAAAATAAGTAAAGACTTACAAGTCCATCGGTATTATTGAAGTAATGTCTCCACAAGGGCCTCAGTTTCTCTTGGCCACCAACATCCCAAACTGTGAACATCACATTCTTGTACTGAACTTTCTCAACATTGAAACCTGTGTAAGAAAGTTCAAATCCTCAGCAAACAAGTTGCAACATAAATCAGTAAACGCAGAGGCCGAATCTAAAACGATTTGAGCAATCTGACCTACCGATTGTGGGAACAGTCGAGAGAACTTCTCCAATGTGGAGCTTGTACAGTATCGTTGTTTTGCCAGCCGCATCAAGCCCCAGCATAACGACCTGGTATCTCCAAACGAAACACACAACACACAGATTAGTCATATATTAAGCCGAGCACCACAGAATCTGTAGCAGCACAAAATATGTAAAGAGTCATTGCACTTGATAGCTAGCAAGCTGGATCAATACACAAAACAATAGCTGGACTCAAATAAGATCATGTAATTCGTAACCACATCAAGATTCTAAACTGTTTACCATGGAATTCATACATAACCTTATAAGTAGTAGTATCAGACTAGATTGTATCAAGAGATTAGTGATATAGCACCAAATCACGAATGAGGTTTTTCATGTTTTTTTTCCAAACACCGAGGAAGGAGACAAGCTAGGTTAACGATGGGTAACACGCAAATCCGAAAAAAGAGGGAAGAACACAGTAAACAATCAAAAGCAAAAAACAAAGAGAAGGAGGAGAGAAAGAGAGTAGTACCCTCATCTCCTGGTTTCCGAAGAAAGTATCGAAAAGCTTGCGAAAAGTTTGACCCATCTCTCACCCACCAGAAGCTTAAACCACGCACAAACACGAAGAATGTTACAAGGTTTCTCTTATCGACCAACCAGAATAGAAGAAACTGAAGCTGAAGGAAACAGAGAGAATCAAAGCTTAAGGTGATCGATTTTCAGGATCTTCCCGAGAAAGCAAAGGTTGCGTTTTCGGTACAATGGATTCCAGGTGTTTTTGATTCGACTTGGTCTCCTTCTCTCTACTTTATTCACTTACAATCCGGTTTATTAAAAAAATGTCTAATCAATTTGGGCCGGTTTAAAGTAAAACGAGATGCTGGAGGGAATTGTTCCTCGCAGTGCCCATGGCCCAATAACTAGGCCTGTTAATTTTATTGAATGATAACATTTCTTTCATTTAAACAAGTTTTGTTTAATTATACTGAATCAGATCATCTTGTCTTACAAAAGAAGATGAATGCTAGAGAAGCTAAAAACTGCAATGTCGAAATCTACACCAAATCCAAACTCACCTAACCATTCTCTCATTTCTAAGCTTTCCATTTCTCAAAATCGAATAGGAAGCTCTCTATTCATAAAAAAAAAAAAAAAAAAACTCTTTAAAGCCTTCATCCCAGCCTTCTTCTAAGACACAACAAGACTTAAGAATCAGCCATATCGTCTTGAGTTTCGCTGGGAGCTATAAGTCCAGGAATTGAAAGCATTCTTTGTCTCTCTCTCTCCATTTGAGCAGCAGCTTCCTCGGCATACAAATCTTTGTTATCCTGAACCAATTCATTAAAATTTTAAATATGATATGTGGTCTAACCGAAGATACCAATTTGATCTGTAGCAAATCTTTATATACCTGAGCAGAAAATTCCTTGGACTGTACAAGGAAGTCACGTATGTTTTCCTTAAATCTGCCATCGTCGATTCTCGTCTCATGAAGTCCATTCACAAATTGTGTCACCTGTTTTGTTGTGTCTGTCATTTTTCTATTTCCAAGATAAGTGGCAATCAAAGAAAATAAAATCCTCTGGTTTAGTTTAGTTACCTCTGTCGTAGTCATGTTGGGGAATGATGAGCTTAGAAGCTTGATGGTGTATTCACGAACAAAGGCGGCATTATCTGGATAAGAATGAGGTATCGTTGCAGCATCCCACAATGGTTCCGTCAAAGAACCGCTATCAGCCTAAATATTATATGCATTTAATCCGTTAATTCTGCATAATAGCCAAGTGGCAGATACTTATGTAAGTTGTAATATGTGTACCAGGCAAAATAGATGCTGCAGCACCAACACATGCAACTTGAACCCTGGCTTATGGAAGGTATCGGTCAAGACAGCAAATACTTCTTGCTCAATTTGCAGAAAGTATGTTCGGTAGAATTTGTTACAGATGTCAGAGTTCTATCATAAATCAGAGAGAACATGTTAAATTAGGCTGACACACAAGGGGCTAAAAGTGTAACAGTTAACAAAACGCGAAAAAACCTGGAAGTTTCTCAGCATCTCGAGCAAGAGATTGAGCCCAGTTTCAGCGATATTTCTTTCAGTATGTCTAAATGCCCAGATAACTGAATCCATCACTAGCTTCAGTTGCTGATGATTAATTGGAAAGAGGTACAAAAAACAAGAAAAACTCAGGGATTACTAAAATACTATTAATATGGAAAGGGTGTTAATAGCTTTCAAAGATCATACAAAGAAAACTAATGCAAGAACATAATCACCAACCTCACTTGACAACTGTATCAAGGCACGGAAACAAAATGTAGCAATAGCGCGAAGTAACGAGAAAAACTTGAGGCGGTGCTCTGGGTAATCTTCAAAATTTTTAGTGATCATCTGCAAAATAAGAAGGAAAACGTATTGACTTTCATTAGTCACTTCCATGTATGCATGACTACGTTTGAGAATCACAGTACACTGTTTATACTATTTCCAAAGTGTGGACTGACTTAAAAAAGCACAAGTGGGAAGTATTCAATGGACCATAGAATCAGTTACCTCCAATGTGCACTGGAAAACAGCTTCAAATATGAGGGGAACGTCATCTTGCATTACAACCTTGTACCTACAGGAGCACATCAACAAGTTGCCAACTTAGAAGATAGCAGATTTCAGTTAATCCATGATGCATCAACTAATTCAATTAATCCATGATGATAATTAACATTCTTAAAAGAGAAGTCCGTAGACATCCTGGAATAATAAGGATGCTGAAATAGAGAAGATAAATACTTGTTTATTATCGTTGCAAAGAGTGATAAGACTTCTGATTCTCTGGCATCAGGAACATTTCTTGCATAGTCGCCAAGTACTTGATCCATCATTGGTGGGACAAACTGTTTTCCAATGTGTGGCTGGTTTTCAGCTTTGTCTAAAAATGTTTCTATCAGCTTAAGGATTTCCCTCTTAACAGACCTGTTCCGTGAAGCATAAAGATGTAATGTTCTTCCAGTTGGTTATATAGGGGAATCAAAATCTGTGACTTTAATTGGTATAAAATACCCTCCTACCTTAAAAGTTTAACAAGAGATGTTCTCGAAGCGTATGGTCCACCAGTAGCAATGCTGCTCGACACAAGTTCACTATACATTCTGGAGCAGAAGAGAAAGAACTAAGTCAATTATTACTAAATTATGTCTACCTCTTTTTTTTTTTTTGTCGATAAAATTATGTCTACCTCAATCCTCATAACTCTTAACTGCAGTAAAACTGTTGCATAAAGATTTTACCTGTAAACATTCAGCATATCCAAGAAGATCAACGAAATTTGAGATAAGAAGTATGTTCCTAGGGAAGTTGCAACGCGCGTATTTGTCTGCACATGTAAATAAATTAAACCATGTGACTAAACCAAGGTCTACCAATGAACCAGCTCAACCATAATGAATGCTAATTTATGTATGAAACTCTAATGTATTAATAAATAAATAAATAAATTCCAGCAAAACTCTGTAAAGATATCAGACCTGGAGTATATTAAGCACAGTACGTATCACATCTGGGTCCTTGAGAATATCTGCACTCTGGCGGGCTTGTCCTATAATTTCTGCCCATTTCTACATCATAGAAAAAATACCTTTAGCCAGCTATGTCAAAAAAAAAAAACTGAACAGTACCCTACCACTTACAGACCTGATTAGGGAGAGCCATCAACCTCTGGAGGTATTCACCCCTCTTCTGAGGATCTGATTCTGCCTGGATCATACTACCAACCTGGAAAAAGAGATAGAAACAAAGAATGCAATCACAATAAGAAATAGCTTTCCATCTCCATCAAAGAGACACGACTAAAAATACATACAGATTCATAAAATGTGTGAATCTGATGGGGCTCAAGATCTCCAACGATTGTAGCAAGGCCTGATAGAAGTTCAGACACAAATGGCTCACTTTCTCCAACCTGGAAAGCACAGAGTACCACTTTTTAGATGATAAAGTAAGAATTAAAGAGGTCTCTTAAACGGACCAGTACATACCTGAACAATAACAAATTTCCGCTTGCACTTTTGAACAATTTTCAAGAATGTGTCGCAAGCCATGTCCTAAAAAACATAGGATGTATTTTGTTAGATAAAACCAGACAACCAAAAGCGATGTCCGATAACTTGTTATGAATATTGAGATGTAATAAAACAATCAGATATAAAGGGATAGAAATGAAATCAAATTTTCAACTGGTTCTACTTAATCTGAACGATTCAGCCAAGAAACTGTAACTCCTGCAGGGATTCTAATTCCAACTTGAAGAAGGGAAGAATTACCTGAACACCAGGATGCGTCTCATGCATAAATTCAAACAACTTATGGACAACTGTCTTCAGAAACTTCCAGTGGGCTCTTAAGAATCTTGAATATTGTCCAACAACATACCTGAAGCAAATGTAAGAGCACATAGGTCAAATACTCAAACGGATCACGCATGAAACAAGTTAAGTTTTAGGATATATATATATATGATGCTAGCAGGTAACAAAAGATCCACTTCAACAATATAATGTATAGGTTTTATTTTTGATAAGATATAATGTATAGGTTTCAATACTAGGATCCATAATATATAGTATAATGTAAAATGTAAAATGTATATGTTTTGCTAGGTCTCTATACTCACATGATGTTGCTCGCAATAACGGCTTTATTGTCTTTTCCCTTAACAACTTCACATAAACTTAGCAAATCCCGGATAACCATCACTAGAAATCTGTTTTCCTGAAAGAAAAAAAAAACAGACGGAGTTGAGATGGTTAGTAAAGGACCCAAAATTTACAAAACAGTGGTGGTAGAACCAATGTAACACAAATCGACCATCAATCAATGAGAGACTACTGAAGAACACTAATAACAAAAAATACAATTAGACACTGAGAGTAGAGATCTTACCTGCTCTACTACCATGGAACCAGAAATAGACCCAATAGCCCAGCATAAAGTGTTCAGATTGTTCCATGCCCATTCCTCCCCAGTCAATTGTTTGCTTAGCTTACTCAACATCTTAGAAAAAACAACGAAAAAATGAAATCAATACAACAGGGTCAGTTTCAAGATATAGCACAATTTTTTTTCTTTTTTTTTTTTTATGAATGCAAGATACAGCACAATTATGAACACTTTTACGTATAAATTGTAGAACTCTCTACTAGTCTTCTGCTCTAAACAGAGGGATACCTTTTGTAGGCACTACACTTTATCATAATCCTCCAAAAATGCTAATACTCAATATATTGCAATGCATATACAACCAATCAACCATTAGCACACATAACTATCATAAAGAGCATAAAAGTATTTTTTTAAAAACTAAATCATTCTAAAGTCAAGAGGATAGGAAAATAAGTACCTGTTTTTCTGTATCTTCATGATCAAGGTGTGAGAGGTAGATTAATGTCTCCCGCATTATCTGCAACAGTGAAAATATGAAATGTCATACCATATAATTGAAACCCAAAAGTTGGAGCACATAATAGAACTTCCTTCTGAAATATTATAACACTATTGGTGTCCTATATCAGCCGGAGTAACTATGAGAGGAAAAGTTGAGTCAAATTTCCCTCTAAAATCATGTGTCAAGAAAAAAAGGATATCAAATAAAGCTTATTCAACATAGAAATTAATCAAAAGCCTACATAAAAGAAAAAATTGTGACTTTTTATATTTCTATTATATAGTAATTGTAAAAAATAGCTAATACTTCTTTACAACATTTAGTCATTTATATAACTGAAGATAGGTCATATGTACAGTTGGTACCTTATACTGGACAAGGACATCATTATCCTTCATAGTTTCACGGACAATGTTCCCATTTTCGTCCTCAACAATTAACACTTCTTCAGGCTTAGCCATGCGACTAATCATGAGCCCCCTTAATTTTGACATTGGATCTGAATAAAGTTTATGCCGCTCTGTGACTTCAGATTTAACACCATCAACCGTACAAGGAAGGAAAGTCATCTGACACTAGAAAAATAAAGACCGAGGTAAGTAAACACATCCAAAAAAAAAAATTCAACAATGCAATATATAATCCTGATTTCCGTTCTATAAAAGAATGAAAGAACTCATACTTGCATTCCAAACAGACTTGGAGTTAGTGCAGGGTGACCGGTATGATGTTGCGACCCAAACAGCTCCAAAACTAATGAATTCCAATAGTCCAAACAAACCTGTTCACTCATAAGCAAGCAAAAGATGTTAATTTCCAAAGACTGCATAATTAATATAAAATAAAATTGGAAACCTAATACTGCATCAACAGAAAAAAGTATAAAAAACTGTAATTCACATACCTTGAATACTTCAGTGTCATCAACGTACGATATGCTAATGAGATATCCTAGACCCGCAAGTAATAGAGATATATTTTCGGGGGCAGATTCTAGGATTTTTATATGTAACTGAAAACGAAAACATAGAGCACATTATTGTGTTTGAAATGATAAATTATGAAAGAAAAAAAGAGAAGAAAAGCAAACACAAACCATCATCTCTCAGTTACACATCCAAAATCTAAAATTCCAGCAAAAAACAACCTGACGTATCTAACTCAACAAAGAAAGAAATTACCTTGAAAAACGAAGTGAAAAACAGTGCCAAGTTCTGGATAAAAGCCTAGAGGTAAAGAAGATATACAGTCATTATCTCAAAATGTTACAGTAAAATTGGGAAGGCCAGAAACTAATGCACAAAAAAAACTCACCTGTTCTTCACTACTTCCACTTGAATATGCCTCAGGAATATTTAAATTTAAAGGGAGAATTGCCTGCAGATATGAAGCAAGTATGGGCATCAATCAAGCAGCCAACGTATCATGAAAGTCAATCAAAATAGTACAGAACCGGTAATGACCATAAAGAGTACATTAACTGAGACTATAGTAGGAAAATTAATAAACAAATAAAACCAACAAACAAAAATAACAGCACTACCTGCAACTGATTCATGAAGATGCTGTACATCTTGACATACTGCACATTGTAGACGTCCCCAAAATTAAGAGCTGCAACCTGCCAGAAATACACAAGTTAGATAATGACAGTAAAATAGTTATAGCGGAAAAATTTGAACTATAAACTGGCATACCTCTGACAGACATTGAAGTGTGAGATTCCTATATGCTGGAACAGGGAAGAAATTAAGTAGGGTCTCCAGCTGCGAATAACTAGGTCAGTAATGGGCGATTTTGTAGTTAAAGACTTGTAAACCTCTTTCATTCCACTTATTCCAAATAAATTACCAAAGGGGACTCAAATATATATCCCAAGGGAATCCAAGAAAGATAGGCATGCAATGCCGAGAGTGTTGCACGTATAAGCTCTTGTCTTTTGGAAGCTGAGAGGACATATAGGCATAGTTCGTGAATGAGTTGAAATTCGCTGCATAAGAAAGCAGAGTAAATCAGTAAAGTAAGCAAAAGAACATTAGCTACAAATTACGGACAGATACTTGAACATAGTTCGTTCTTATTTCTACTTTTTTTTCTATTAAAGTAAACTTCTTGAAAAGTATAACTTGCCTGTTTAGAGACTGTTTCAATTCTCTTATCTTTTGCTGAGTCATCTCTCCTTTTGAGAAATCAAAAACCTCTTCACTTAGGAGCTAAGAAAAGAAGGAATGTTCTTTAAGTACACCATGAATTTAATGAGTGCAAAGGTAATTAGGTTGTACTTACCTTCAAAATAGTCATGCAATTCTCACAGATACTTTCACTAGTTTTCGCAGCTTTAACTAGATCAGGAATAAAGCTTCTCCACTTTGCCGGCCACTCTTGTTTCACGATCTGTACACGCACCACATCACATATTATTCTCGAAGACTAAACAACGTTTTCAATAAATTGGCGGGAAAAATATCAACAGGCGAAGTTGGCTTCAGCAAAAGCCTTACCAGAGGTAAAAAGATAGTAACACAAACAAAAAGTATAGAAGAATCGAAGGTACCTGAACCAGGATGACATTTAACTTGTTCACATATAGCCTTTCCGCTCTGAAAGATGCTTCATCCCTTGTGAGCTACAAGGTAAATTCATCATCAAAACAATTCTGTAATATATTACCTTAGTTCTAACCAAAAAAACAACCTAATTCCTGTAAATATATACCAGCACAATGACTTCAGAGATGTAATTTTTCATTCCATCACGTTGTTCAACGGGTAGTGCGTTCCACCTATATTTTATAACACCTTCCAGGACCTGCAATTAACCCTTTCATTATTCTTGGGGCAGGATAGTAAACACTAGAATAAAGCAAATAGAATGCCAATGCTGTCAGCCATACATCTCTTTCTTTAGAATGGATGTTGGACATGTGTATATATCAATGTGAAAAAAGTCAGCAGGCAGCAGCTAGATAAAGAGAAGACTGAAACCTACCTGTAGAGCAAAAAATTTGGTATGCGTACTACTGGTGTTCTGTAGAATGTGAACCACTTGAAGCCAAGTATCAGGATTTGCTTTCAAATCCCGCAAGATATTATCCGCAGAAGTTCTCTGCAAGGTGTTTTCAAACAATTATTGTCTCACGGAAAGCAAACACTTGGATTACTTTGAACTAACGGGAAGATAGTAGCCACTATTCCAAAGCATCAAAGACACTTATCGGAACATCGTTTTCCAACACAAATTACATAAAACAGATTACAAGAACAATCGAAGTCATGAACCTAAAAGAATCTGCAACCCAATGAGAAATTAAGCAAACCTCATCGAATTCGTATCGGAAAATACTAAACCCTCGCATAAACCCCCAAATCGATAAAAGCGACGAGAAAGACGCATTAACAGTAATAATAGACCGGTTAATGCGGTGGCAATACTCGCTCACCGTTAAAATTATCCGAGAAACTATAATAAACAAAAGACTCACTTCTTCCTTAGATCCGGTAGCGTAAAAGGCGGCAACAGTGGCATCGAGTAAAGCGACGTCAATCGGCTGACTCAAGTCTCTTAACTTCTCAGCATCCATGGCGGAGAAGGTGCGCAGATTCTCGAAGAATCAGAAAGAGGAGACTCGATACACGAGAGTGAATCAATGGAGGAGAGAAACAAATTTCTCGAGTTTTTTTTTGTGTGTGTAGAGCGGTACGGAAGAGAGGCAGTTTAAATATAAGGGAGAGCAGAGGTTTGTTTTTGAAAGACAGCTTAAGATTGACGCTGGGGACGCTGGGAAAAAGGAAAGACTTGTAATTTTGTTTTCTTCTTATTTCCTTTTTATTTTTTCCTTGACCGGGTTTGAATTTGTATACTATACGCTACTCGAGTACAGTATTTTTATTTTTTTATTTTTTTTTTCTTACTCGAGTACAGTATTTACTTTCTTTTTATTTTATCTTTTGATAAATGGGAGTAATGTACGATAATGACGTGAATATTAACAATGTTTTACATTTTTTACAGTTTTCATGTTAGAAAACACATATGATAGTTTCATCGGACATTTGAAATATCAGTACGAAAATATATAATCTATTAGAATTGAATCTTGTAATTATTCAATCTACAAAAATCATAGTAGGAAAAAATGTTTCAGTTTCTTTTTTTTATTTTTTTTTTTGCCACAGCAGCATCATGCATGACCTTTGAGGCTCGAGTCAGGTAAATAAACACAAAGCATAACCCAACATTATCAAAACGGTGCGTTTTTGATAATCGTCCTTTTAATGTGTCCCTTGTTATTTTCGTCGACATCAAAATCAAATCCCGATTCCGAGAGAGAGAGAGAGAGAGAGAGAGATAGCGGAAGACGATGGCTTTGACGGTGGCAAAGAGTGCGTTGGAGTCGATTAGAGAGAAAGGTCTCGGCGGTTTCATGAGGATGCTGCGAGAAGAAGGCTTCGTGTTAGTTCTTCGCATCTCTTTTCGATTTCTCTTGTCTTCTTCCCTGCTTAATTTCTCTGAAATCTCCCCTGATTAGATTTGTTGGATCCCAAAAACCTAGGAATTCGAAAGATCTATCGGTTTTCTAAGACATTCTTTCATTTTTATTTGAATATTCTAGATGAGCACGCGTTATTGTCTCTGCTTATCTGCCTATAGAGTTATATAGCTGCGTGTAGGTTGTTTGCTATGGGTTTTTTTTCCCCAAAATGTTAAATCTTGCTTAATGGAAAAGAAAAAATTAACACTTAATGCTGGGTGAACATCAATTTTAGTCTGTTATGGTGATCTTAATAATGGCTCAGATGTGTCTGGCTGCCTATATTTTTCAAGATCTTATTGTTTTTATCCTGAGGTATTCTCTGGTTTATGACATTTTTCTTATTACTTGTTTCATTTTTTTTTCCTTTTCATTACAGGAGATGTCTAAAAGATGGGAACCTCTTGTAAGTATTTTATCTTTTAGATATTTTGTGCTTTGTGTCTCACTTATTTATAGATTACGTATATGATTCAAGTGATTGTTCAGGAATCCTTTGTCGGCTAAGTTCACTTTCATATTCTTATATGTGGCCGTTGCTGTATGAGCAAATATCATTACGTGAGATTTAATATACTGTGAAACAGAATCTTGCCAATTCTTGAACTGTTTATTGCTCTTCAACTTGGACTGCTGACTTTGGCATAATTCTGTCAATTCCCTCATAGATGTAATAATGTAAGTTGGCACGGAGCTCGGTAAAGAAACAGTGACAGTGAAGGATATTTGGTATTCCAGAGATAGTCTAGTTACATGTCTGAAGGAATTGACAGTATTATGCCAGAAGGCATTTTCAATTTGAAGAGGATGAAGAGTGGTGAGGTCTGTTTCACGATAGAGGTCGATGCTTCACTTGCATAGAATATGGCGTAGATTAGATAATGGTGACGATGTTTGCTTGCAAAATAGTCTTGATTCTTGTAAAAGCCAAACTTTTTGTGCTTCTTGACGAATTCTATTTACGTTGGATCTGTCATTCCTATAGGCTCTAGATAATTGGTGAATTTGACTAGAGCAGTTGCAAAGTACTATCATTAATTTCTAAATTCAGGATATTTTTCTACCATTATAGAGAATTTTGATTATATACAGATAATGTATTCTCTTTTCAGCAGAATATCCATCTTTTGTCTGCTCCTGATTTTGAATGTTAGTGGACCATACAGTATGCTTGAATATTGTCTAATTTATAGTTTCCCCAGTCTTTATATTTTAGCTTGCTGGTGGTGAGTCTCACTTTCTGATCAATGTCGTCTTGATGTCTCTATTTTATTCATTAAGGCAAACTAAGATACACAACATAGGAGCAACACTTGTTGGCGTTGACAAGTTCGGTAACAAATACTACCAGAAGCTGGGTGATACACAATACGGTACATGATTCTTTTCAATAGCTTGATGTGTTGCCTATTTAAAATTATGCTTTTACCAAAAAATGATGCCACTGTAGGATTCATGATATCAAATAGTATGTATTCCAAGAATACTGCTTGTAGTATTCACTTGAAATGTTTGTTTTGTCCTGAGTCCTAGCATTTAGTATAGTCATGGAAATTGTATCCACTCAATATTTGTTAATTACTAGCTCACAGCATGATTTAATGATTTAATTTAGTCAGAGCAAAGAAGACTGAGCATGTTAAAGTACTTCAACAGAGATTTGTATAGCCTTGTCCAGTACAGATAAATCTAATCTATATGATAGTTATTTTAGTAAGTATGTGCTCAACTTCTTGCTTAAAGGATCTTTATCTGTGAAAGATATAGTGGTGAGACAATACATGTATCTTTATAGAATGTTAAGTCAATAGGTTTTTACACTGTAATAAGCAATCGCTTTCTTAACAGGTAGGCACAGATGGGTAGAGTATGCTGCAAAGTATCGTTACAACGCATCTCAAGTACCAGCTGAATGGCATGGGTGGCTTCATTTCATCACTGATCACACTGGGGATGAGGTAAACCAAAAGCCATTTCTAATTCGCTATACTGTTCAATCAGTAAGGTAATAAATTGCGTCATAACTTGAAAATAAATATTGATGTGTCTCTCTGTTTCAAGCTGTTGAGTTTGAAACCAAAAAGGTATGGGCTTGAGCACAAAGAGAACTTCTCTGGAGAAGGTGATGAATACATTTACCATTCGAAGGGACATGCCTTGAACCCTGGGCAAAAGAACTGGACTCGATACCAATCATGGGTACCCACTAAGACTCAGTAAGAAGACGAGATCTGGTTGATGCTTTGTGAGAGATATTCTCTCGAGGGATTTGTTGTTTCTGTGTCTTTTTAATAAAAGCTGTTTGGATCTAAAGCTGAACAATTAAAAATGTGTTTTGGATTTGGAATTGTAATTGACGCTGCTTAATAATTTTCTGATCCTCATGTTTCTTCACCTCTGGATAGGAAATATTAATATATTTTCTCGTGTATTTGAAATATATTTTAATAAACTAACTTCAACGACAAGTATATCTGCATATAAAATTCAAAATACAGAATGTCTAAGTTGAAAACAAGGAAATTAATTTGTTCTTTTTGTTCAACAAGAAATGCATGCGTATCTACCATGAAAGAGGCTTGATAATATTTAAATACATCTGAACAGAACAGCCGACCAAAAAAAAAAAAAAACACCGGAAAGAGATATTTTTCCCAAAAGGGATATATATCATCATAAGAAGGTAAATGGTACGCATTACTGGAAATTTATTTATTTTTAAAATATGATTGCCAGCCAAAAACATGTTTTTATATGGGAATCAAATTTTTTAAAAAAATCAGCACCTCTGTACCCACCTTGTTTTTTTTTTTTTTTTGGATCTTTCTCTTTCATTTTGTCGTTTTTCTGGTCAACGTTGTCACTTTTGTTTCTAACTTTTCTAAACAGGAAAATCGGAAATTGGAATTTGATTAACAGAAACATCCAATATCATCAATCAATACATTGGTATCACAAGTTTTTATCCTCTCTAATTATGCTAATCTCGTACCAAAACGTGTGAAATAAATAATTTTAAATTAGGAAAAGTATGTTTAATTTGAAATTAAGGTGGACTATTTAAAGGTCGACCACTGTCCCGTTAACATTTATTATCACCCTGGCATACTTGTCCTCTCCTCTCCCTTCCCTTCCCTTCCTCACGTTTCTCTCCTCTGCAAATTCAAAGCTCGTTGAGCTCAAACCGTACAACTTAATACGTTCGAACCCAGAGCGATATCTCCTTTAGCAAAACCACACTCACGGGATCCATATCAAGCTTCCGTAACCATGGGGTTTGATCCCGAGAGGCAATCGATCTCCTTCGCTGGACAGGTTTCGCAACTCTTGTTTCACATCTTCTTTTGATTTATTCCCCCTTTTCATCTTCCTTGTTCGGTTTAGGTTCTGAGAGCAAATTGTAATAAGGTTTTTGTTTGTTTGACTCTTCCCCTGGTCGATATAAGGGCTTTAGAGAGTTTTTGATGCAATGGTATCGGTTAGGGTTTGAATTGACTTTGGAATCGAAGAGATTGTGTGGAAATTGATTTCGTTATCTCTGTAGTGTGTCTAGCTGGAATAGTATTGGGATTTTAATTGAAGCATGAGATTTTGACCTTAGCTTCTGGGTTTGAAATAACGATTTTATCAATCCTGCATGAATCCTAACTCTATTTAATTGGTGTCGTCACATTTTCTGATGCAAACTATGTTTTCTGTAGATTGGTGATTCTTCTTCAGGTGGGATTAGTGCTGAAAAGGAACCTCTGATAAAGGAGAACCACAGCCCAGAAAACTACTCTGTTCTTGCAGCCATTCCTCCGTGAGTCTCTCTTTCCTTTTTCCTTGTTTGTTAGTCATCAAATACAAATTAATAAAGTTGTGGTCCCAGTTTTTTTTGTTTATTTCCTATTCATCGTATGTTGCCAATATGTTTTGCTGAAAGCAAGTGGCAATCTTTTTGGATATGCATATCACACAGATTTGTCTAAAAGCAAGCTAAGAACTAAAACAAGTCATTTATTGCAGGTTTCTCTTTCCAGCTCTTGGAGCTTTGCTTTTTGGTTATGAAATTGGTGCTACATCTTGTGCAACCATTTCTATTAAGGTAATGCTTTAACCTTGTCTAAGCCTGTGCACTGGTTCTCATGTTTGACTTTTCTAGCTTTCTCAAGTCTTTTAACTGTTGGTGTTCCCAAGCTTACATATCATAGAGCTGTCTACGTTGGACTGTAGTATCTCAGTTAAAGAACGCTATTTCGTAGTTCACACCTGCACTTACAGTGTCATTGTGTTTCCCTTGGATATCTCCTGCATAATCGTTATGCATGTATATTTGTTCGATTGTCTAAGCCTTTCAAAATTATGTCAACTACTCTGCTTTTGCCTCCTGTACAGTCGCCTACCCTAAGTGGAATTTCATGGTACGACTTGTCTTCAGTGGATGTTGGTATAATGGTGAGTCTATATTTCACCTTTCTTGAGTCTTCGACATGTGGATTACCGCATTATTTTTTTGTTCTTATTCCCTCCCTACTGGAGTGCGCTCTTTCTTGTAGATAAGATAAACAACTTTTTTACAATGTTTTAAAATGTTTGTACAGACTAGTGGCTCGCTGTATGGTGCCTTAATTGGCTCCATGGTCGCATTTAGTGTTGCCGACACTATAGGTTGGTTTTTCTCGACTTTCTTCATCTGGATATGTAGCAGTCTATCCAGCTAAAAGAAAGTGAATTGTTGTATTGAATTTTCAAGGAAGAAGAAAGGAGCTGATTTTGGCTGCATTCGTGTATCTTGTTGGAGCCATTGTGACTTCAGTAGCACCTGTCTTTTCCGTACTGATAATTGGTCGAGTTTTGTATGGCATCGGGATTGGACTGGTAAGATAGGTCACATCTTTAGTTTTTTTGCCTGTTAAAACTTGCATGCCCATGTGATCTTCCAATGTGCATCATACATTTGACTAACTAATCAATCAAAGTCAACCTCTACAATTTAGCTATTTAATTTGGTAGAATTATGCTTCCCTTTATTTCTGAGCATGTGCTATCCAATGATCCAACCTGGCTCACTTCTAGAAATTCATTAATTAGTGGAATTTGGGAACGAGTATGCACCTACAGCGATTCTTCTTTTCCTGTCTCATTCTGTTTCATGAGCCATTTTTTATTAATCTAGTTTAACGTTGAAATTAAGATGTTTGTACTCCTGTGTACCATGCTGTTATTGAGTACAGTTTTTAGCATTCTTTTTAACTTGAAAGTTCATATCTTCCCTTGCATTTAGACAATGCACGCGGCTCCAATGTACATTGCAGAGACTGCTCCAAGTCAGATACGTGGACGGATGATATCGCTAAAGGAATTCTCCACTGTCCTTGGGATGGTTGTAAGTTCTCGAAGCTCTGAAGATTTTGGAAATTTATTGCTCAGTAAAAAGTTATAGTATTGCGTCGATCCATTTTGAAACCTTTCTGTCCACCAAGTTAAACCTGAGACATAAAATTTTGTGAAGGGAGGTTACGGAATCGGTAGCCTTTGGGTTACGGTTATTTCTGGTTGGCGTTACATGTACGCAACAATTCTCCCTGTGCCAGTTATTATGGGAATTGGAATGTGTTGGCTACCAGCTTCTCCTAGGTGGCTTTTATTGCGCGCTCTCCAGGGAAAAGGTAATGGGGAGAATCTTCAACAGGCTGCAATTAAGTCTCTTCGGCGTCTAAGAGGCCCTGCCATAGCTGACTCAGCAGCTGAACAAGTAAACGAGATATTGGCTGAACTTTCCTCTGTGGGTGAGGACAAAGAAGCTACATTTGCTGATTTATTTCGAGGCAAATGCTTGAAAGCTCTCACTATAGCAGGAGGGTTAGTCTTGTTCCAACAGGTTGGTGCAGTCAATTCATCAAATTTTCCTCAAGAAAATGAACAATAACTAAATATGTCTGCTTTGCAAATGGCAGATAACTGGACAACCAAGTGTACTTTATTATGCACCATCAATACTGCAGGTTTTTTATTTCATTCCTACATAATTTGGATTTTATTCATTAGGAGGAAACTCTTGAGAGAATCTTAACTTCGTTTTTCCTCTGACATTACCTGTTAGACTGCCGGCTTTTCTGCTGCAGCTGATGCAACTCGGATCTCAATTCTGCTTGGTGTATTGAAGGTATTCATTTTTGTCCATCAGGTTTGACATGTGAAATCCTTTAGCAATTCTATCAAAGGATTGATATGCTTTGTAGTACAACTGATACAATGTTAGAAGTAGTTAGTATAAATGCTTAGCACAATTTAAACTGTTTTATCCTTGTGAGCTAACTTTTTCTGCTGCAAAGCTATTTTGAATTTTTCCTTTCGAAGACTTGATGCGATCCTTTACTGTTGCAGTTGGTTATGACAGGAGTTTCTGTTATAGTGATTGACAGGCTTGGAAGGAGACCTTTACTTCTTGGTGGTGTTAGTGGCATGGTATGTCCTCTGACTTCCTATGTTTGTTCTTTTTAATTGTATGTTCCACTAAATTCCAGGTGTTCATTGTCTTTTCGATTACAAGAGGCCGAATCTAATCGATCCAGAGATTTACTCTTGTGTATATTCAATTGTGTAACAGGTGGTCTCATTGTTCCTCCTGGGGTCCTATTACATCTTTTATAATACTGCACCAGCTGTTGCTGTAGCTGCGTTGCTACTCTATGTGGGCTGTTACCAGGTTAAATTTTCTTACAGATTTGTCTGGTCAAAGTTCAATTGCTGGCAATGTATTCTATTTTGATACAAAAAATTGGATACGACCTTAAGAGACTTTCCACTAATCTTGCAGCTATCCTTTGGTCCTATTGGTTGGCTGATGATTTCGGAGATATTTCCCTTAAAACTAAGAGGTCGAGGAATCAGTCTTGCAGTGCTTATTAATTTCGGTGCAAACGCACTTGTGACATTCGCGTTCTCACCTCTTAAGGTAAAGGAACTCCTTCTTTATAAGTATATATATCTTCAATAGAACTAAGCTATAACTTCAGGAAAAACATGTGTAACGAGAGATTCCCCAGTTAGCTCACATATATCTTGTTCTGTTTTTTTCTCCCAAGAGATTATCGAACTTTTGAGGTTCTAGCTCACCTAGTATTGCTTTGCAGGATCTGTTAGGAGCTGGAGTGTTGTTCTGTGGATTTGGAGTGATATGCCTACTGTCTCTCTTCTTCATCTACTTCATTGTGCCTGAGACAAAGGGTCTCACTCTTGAAGAAATCGAAGCCAAATGTCTCTAAAAGGTTTCTCATCTAAGCTCCATTTTCTCTGCTGCTTCATTGCTTGAGGCTATGGATCACAAATGCAGCAACCGCAGGTCGGAAAGTGGCGGGCGGAATTTTCACTGTATGGATAAAAAGAATTGGTGCAGCTCGCGGCAAAACTTTAATAGATGCTTTGGACAAAATGTTTGCTTAATTTTGTATTTTAAAATGTAAGAAGATACACACACATTTAAAATTTTGTTCTATAGCATTTTTGTTTGGTCTACATAAGCTGCTTCTAATCCGAAACAAAACAAAAACAAACTATCATGATTCATACAGCCTAGGATTAAGACCAAGAATTATGAAATATGAAAGGAAATATAACTGTTGCAAAAGAGAATGGATAACGTGACTGTATGAAAACAACGTGAGACTCAAAAGTGTGTTTTTTTTTTGTAGTGAAATTTGTGTAATTATAATAATCACGTCACTGACAAAACATCATAAAATTACAATATAACGCCATAACAAGAAAAGATGATACGAGAATCGTATTCTTTCAGCGGTTGTGTGGGTCTTGTGGCTATAATCGCACGATCCGCAAAGCCTATAAATACAGAACGCATCAGGGAAGAACACGAAAATAAACTTTTGTTGTAAGGAAACAAAATCAGGGAGAGATGGCAACCACATGCAACGAGACAGCGACCAACAAGCGGGTCATACTGCGAGATTACGTCACCGGTTTCCCCAAGGAATCTGACCTCATCTTCACCGACTCCACCATCGATCTAAAGATTCCAGCGGGATCCAAGACTGTATTGGTGAAGAATCTCTACCTTTCTTGCGATCCTTACATGCGCATTCGCATGGGGAAGCCCGATCCCGGCACTGCTTCGCTCGCTCAAGCTTACAACCCTGGCGAGGTACATTACATAACGACGTTTATTATAGTTTCCGGCAACAATTTCATTATGGAAGCATATATGGATTTGGAAACATTATTTTTAAAAGTTAGAAACATTATTATATTCTACGACCGCTACAGCGTCTCTTATGGTCTCGAAGGGCCCTGAAGAGAAATTATAATATGAATCGTGTAACATGTTCCTACTCCATGTGTTGCTTGCAGCCAATCTATGGGTTTTCAGTGTCTAAAGTGATAGACTCTGGCCACCCGGATTTCAAAAAGGGAGACTTAATTTGGGGATTAGTTGGATGGGAGGAGTACAGTGTTATAACTCCAGATTTTTCACATTCCAAGATCCAACACACTGATGTTCCGTTATCATACTACACTGGACTTCTCGGTGTGTTATCTCTGTTTCTCTTTAGGGACATTTTCAACTTTCATAGTGAGAAAGCTGGCTATACAATTGCCATATTAGTCTGGTCTTTGATTATAATGCATGCTGCATTGCACACAAGCTCCAAATCATGTCGAATAGTCTCTTTTATCGTGAACAAATCTGAAAACAGTTTACAAAACACTTCAAGTTTCAATAGTTTACTAGTGTGTCTTAGAAGCATTCCTCTGTTTATGTCAGGTATGCCCGGCATGACTGCCTATGCTGGGTTTTATGAAATCTGTTCTCCTAAGAAAGGAGAAACCGTCTTCGTGTCAGCTGCATCTGGTGCAGTTGGTCAGCTCGTGGGACAATTTGCAAAGATTATGGGCTGCTATGTCGTTGGAAGTGCAGGCAGTAAAGAAAAGGTAGTCAGATTTTTCTTGGAGTATAGCTGCTGATCCATTTCCTTATCAAACAATAACATAGGTTTGATTGGTTAATTATGTCTTGTCTTTCGATAAAGAGAGTCACTTGTCCCTCTTCTTTCTTACATGTTATAGGTTGATCTTCTCAAGAACAAGTTCGGGTTTGATGAAGCTTTCAATTACAAAGAAGAGCAAGACCTTAGTGCTGCCCTGAAGAGGTCACTAGATCATTCTTCTTATCGTATTGGTATACATATCTATCGCTTCGTGATGAGATATAGAGATCTGACTCAGAACTATATGATATATTATTGTGAACAGGTGTTTCCCAGAAGGAATCGACATATACTTTGAGAACGTAGGAGGCAAAATGCTAGACGCAGTGCTCCTAAACATGAAGTTACACGGCCGTATCGCTGTATGTGGTATGATCTCGCAGTACAATCTGGAGGACCAAGAAGGCGTACACAACCTAGCAACTGTTCTCTACAAGCGGGTTCGGATTCAAGGGTTTGTGGTCTCTGACTACTTCGACAAACACTCCAAGTTCCTAGATTTTGTGCTTCCCTATATAAGAGATGGGAAGATAACTTATGTTGAGGATGTAGTCGAAGGGCTCGAGAACGGACCTTCAGCTTTGCTTGGCCTATTTCATGGTAAGAACGTCGGGAAACAACTCATCGTGGTTGCTCGTGAATGAATCAGGCGTTTGAGTTTTTCCTCGAAAATAAAGCCTTCTCGTAGGCGTATTTTTTACGATTGCTTTTTGGATTTTTGTTTGTTTAATTCTTTGATTGGTTACTAATTAGCCAAATAATAATTGTTTTTTTCTTTTACTAAAAAGCCAAATTACAATTTTGTACCACTGCCTAAGCCCTACAAGTCTACAACACCACAATCATATAGTAGATTGACAATCTTCTGATGTTTTATTGACAAGTAAAAATATTAGTATTTTCGATCAGAATTAAATTTATATAAAACATGTTCATTTGTAATTTGTTTTGCAAGAATTTTTTTAAAAAACGAAGAACACAAGGGCCTTTATATGCTTCAAATACGTGGGCCTGTGTTTATGAGTAAAAGCCCAATTAAATGCGTTGTTCTTGGTAAACGATTCTCCTCTCCCCTGTCTCTCTCTCTCTCTCTCTCTCTCGATAGACTTCTTCACCTCTGAATTTCTCGGTGTTGGAGCAATGGCGTCGAATCTCCTGAAAGCCCTAATCCGATCGCAGATTCTCCCAGCTTCGAGGAGGAATTTTAGTGTGGCCACCACTCAACTCGGCATCCCGACAGACGATCTAGTCGGCAACCACACCGCCAAATGGATGCAGGTACTTGGCGATCATGAATGAGTCTTTACCGTCTTTAGTTTTCTAGCTCTTTCGTATCCCGGATTAATCTTTCCCAGACTTAGATCTTGAATTAATTTAAGCTGCGTGAAATTACTCTGGGATTTAATCTCGGTCATTTCCCCTAGGGTTAGATCGTGATTTGGCATTTTGTTTTTACGGTACTTGATTCATTGTGCTGAAGGTACCTCATAATTTTGACGTGTCTGAAATTGTAGCTGAATATTGTTTGCTACAGTCTCTACTCTGTAGAGATTGTTTTTGATGTTGGATCATTGTTCATAGAGGCATGATCTATGTTTGAAACTTCTTCCAAGTTGTTTAGAATTTTTGAGAACATTACGTTTATTTTTCACAGGTATTACTGTTTTTCTTTTATTATTTTTTCATGGCGAATTTGTGGTATAAGATGCTTCTGTCATGACATAGTTTACACTAGTTCAATCGTCATAGCCATTACCTTCATAGCTATGGTCTTGGAGTTAGTTCCTTCGTTGATGAATTTTGGGAGGTAGATTACGTTTGCATTTTCACTGTTTACTTTTAAATTTTTTAGTCAGATCGAGAAGTTGGTTTGAGCGTTTCCTTTATGCTATCACTACCCTAAGTACCCTTTGACACCAGATTGACTTGCCCTTGATTTTGTGTTCATCACATAGTGTTCCTAGTTAAATATGGCATCTCTGCGTTCATAAAAACTTAATTAGTAACCAGGGCAAGTCATCTTTATCTAGGAACAGTATGTGATAAACCATCTAGTGGAGTTTTATGTTTGGTTCAATTTTCAAATCCGTATAGATTGCATAGGCTCTATATTAGTTCTTCTTTCTGGTAAAGTATGAAGTTTGCTCATCATATATATATATATATATATATATATATACAGTATATTGTTTTTGTCACTCTCCTAGTAATTAACGTGGCTAAGGAACTAATGTTTACAGGATAGAAGCAAGAAGTCACCAATGGAACTGATCAATGAGGTTCCACCTATCAAAGTTGATGGAAGGATTGCTGCTTGTGAAGGAGGTTTGTCTCCTCTTCACATCAGTGGCCCAATATATTGAGTAAATTTCTAAATGAGCAAAAACAGATACTGATGTATAAATTGTATTCTACAAAACTTGCAGACACCAATCCAGCCCTTGGTCATCCAATTGAGTTCATATGCCTAGACCAAGATGAGCCTGCGATTTGCAAGTACTGTGGCCTTCGTTACGTCCAAGATCATCATCACTAAGGCAAATTCTGAAAGAGAAATCACTAGTCTCACTCCCTTTTATTATTGCATTTTCAAAGTTTGTGTATTGTTTTCCTGGTGTGTCGACATCTTCAGCTATAACATATAATAAAGGATTCGATTGAAGTCGGGTATTGTTTCATCCTCACTTCAGCATTCATCATTTTGTAACATCCAAGATCTGATATCACTATTGTATTTTCCATGCTTCTGAGCTCATAAAAAGCTTTGGGGTTTGCACTAGTGACGAGTTGGCTCTCCTTTTCCAACTCTTGTAATGCGTTTAGATCATTTTCCTCACCTACTTAATACGTTTTTAGTGGTTATAATTTTCACTATGGGATGGTGAGCAATTCACATAATTTAAGTTAAAACTGATTGAATTTGCGCGAAAGTATGCGCGAGGAAAAATAAACAAAGTATGCACGAGCCCAAGAAGATTCTTACTAAGCCCACTAATAGGCCTTTGGAACCGGATTGCACTTGAGGCGAATGTGTCGACGTGAACTTAAATAATCCTACGCGCACCTATGGCGCGTCATTAACACGGAGGCAAACCGGGTGGTCTATAGTCCAGGGATTTCGTCGTTTTTACATAATTTTAAAAGAAAGGCGCGTGGAGACAATGGCAAATAAACTTTTTGTTAAAGCAACTCATCGATTGTATTGTATACATAAACTAGCTGAGACTGAGAGTGCGTTACTGAAACTTTCAGGTGAACGAACATCTGTAACTACAATTTGATTTGGATTACACATTTACCATTACGACGCACTTCATCTCGAAAATAACCCGCTGAGTTGCAGATTTGTGTGAACAAAAAGATGATCAATCATCGCAAGTAATAGAAAAATGGTGATACTCTCGCACAAGCCACATAAAATTTTCTCAGATTCCAATTTGAACGAAGTATATATAGATATTTCTCAATTTTATTTCAACCAGTTTGATTTGCGCTTGGTCAGAGAGATAAAAATTTAAAGCGATAAGACAAGTACAAAACCTCTCCTTAACCAAAAAAGAAGAAGGAGAAAACAATAGGAATCAAGTCTCTGCCTAAACCTCGGAACCAACATCAGAGATTCTGTGCCTCTTGGCTAAAGTGTGTGAAGATGACACCACTGGATTGAACTTTTGGTATATATCTCATCATTTCAAATCTGTTCCAGCCAATTTTCTTCTCTGTTGATGCTCTGCAACTTTTTCATCAACAACCTCTCTGAAAAGCTTAGCGTCCAACACACACTCCTCACTTCCATAAACATTTGCTTGAACACTTGCCATCAGTTTCGCAATCTCTCTACCTGAAAACCCTTCGGTTTTTGCAGCCGCTTCCTTTAAGAGCTCCTCAGTGACACCCTTTATCTCGATTTTCTGCTGTTCTTTCCTGAATAGGCGGTGGAACAAACTCCGCTTTCTTGGACCAGCCTCAGCTATGTACTTTTCTAAATAGAGGTTTAAAAGCTTGAACCGCTCTTCTTCTCCAGGTAAGGGGAATTCGAGAACTTCATCGACACGGTCAGCCACAGCTGAGTCTAGGTCACCAGGTCGGTTTGTGGCAAGTGCTAAGACTATGTCTTTGGACTGATCACCCGTGCGGAAGAGAAGAGCATTTAGAGCACTTCTTTGGGCTTCACTCATGTATGTTTTGTTCCTCCTGTTAGATTCCCGTGAACATAACAAAGCCATTAACAAAAAAGTGTTGAAATGATCAACTTCTAAAAAGATACCAGTACTAGCACTTACTCGCACAAAAATGCATCGGCTTCATCAATGAAGAGCAATAAACCTCTCTTAGACTTTTTGCCCCAATCAAACAGTTGGTGAATCTTTGTAACAGCCTGAGATCCAAGGGGAGCAACATCTCCACCCGTCATCAATGCATAATCCAAACCCTACACGAATTATGAACATTAGGAAAATAAGAATAGATGGATGAACAAAACTCTGCGACTCCCACGAACAATCTAAAATTAAGAGCCAAATTCAACTTTCAGATGTTATTTCTGTGATCATGGAAATCAGCAACTAACATCTTCGGCACTACTGAACTAACTCCATCTGCTAGAGTTTCCATTGCCCATTTGGGTGTCTTCTATAACGATTTTTGTAATAACTTAAATATATATGGGTGAAGAAATCATACAGATTTACGAGCAAGCTCTCTGGCAGCCATTGTTTTTCCTGTGCCTGGAGGACCATAGAAAAGCACATTTCGGAAAGGAGCCTGGTGGATTTTTGTGTTGGCGGTTGCATTAGCTAGCTGTTCAATTCTCTTGTGCAGTGGAGGATGCAAAATAACATCACCAAATCCTTTTCCATTTTTGGAAGCATCCTTACCACGCAATGTGGACACTACACGAGAAAGCGAGCCAGACCAAGGGTACTTGCCTCTTGATGATTCTCGAATTAAGGATGGTTGTCCTAATATTCTGTCCACATAGCTCCAGATAACTTTTGCACCTTCTCTGCAACAAGTAATAAAAAATCCGGCTAAGTTTGCATTTCAATATTTGTAGAAAAGTTGACTGGCAGGTAACATAATCTAGAAATGTAAAAATATAATTTTGTTAATCAATAATATATAAACATTTCCATAACCTTTCAACCTGATAACGGCAAAGTCTTTTTCAATATTTGGTCTACATATGTAGTCTTTACCTCGTTGTGTAGATTCCCGCTGCGAGAGCAGTGACACCCCCAACAGCAACAACCAACTTATTTTGATCTGTCAGAATTGCTCGCAAACCGCCTAGGAAAACAAGAGTAAAATGTGAACACCTTTAACAACCAGAATTTCCATTGATTAGAGCTATGCATACATTCCGAGGTCACACGTCTATTCTAATCACTAATTCATTGAACTACACAGGGATTTTTCCATGGCTAGTTAAACCTGCCAAACAAAATCTAGACAACAGAGAGACCATGTATGGATTTAAATCTCACACCTCCAATATGGTCAAACGTTGTGTTTATGGCCGCAACCCATTTCTCTCTTTCTGCATTTGCACGATCCACAAGCATTCTCCTATTTACATCTTCAGCAAGCCTAGCTTCATGGGCCCTTCCTTCTGCTTCTGCTATTGCTTTGACTCTGATGGTCTCACGTTCAATCTCAGCCTTCTCCCTCTCAGTTTGTCGTCTCTGTGCCTGGATCTGTTCCTCAGTAGCACGTCGAGCTGATTCCTGTCTAATGGCTGAATCTTCTTGCATTTTCACAAGTTCTTGATTTCTTGCTCTGTGGAACTCATTCTCAGCCTGTAAAACAATTTACACAGCAGAAGCTGTTAGAAAGAAGAAAAGAAACTCCCAGTGTTGTAAAATTGTTTTGAGAATTACATGCCTGCATCCTCTTTCTTGCCAAGTCATCTTCATAACGAGCCATCTGCGATTTTGTCTGCGCTTGGTGTTGAGCAAGTTTTTTCTGTTCATCATATATAACCTTATGCCTCTCCTGTAAAATGGAAAATATGAGACACAAAACTTTGCCTCCAAGAAGCAGCTAATCCGAATAATGAAATGATGCAGAAAATATGTCTGATATTGATCACTTGTAGCAGGTTTTGTCATAAGATACAACTTTACTAAGACAACAGTATAAGTCATTGTGTGTAGCAGTTGCTAACTCATTTCTATTAGGTCGCCATTAGTTGTAACGCCATAATCCAATAATATTATAAACAGACCAAGTATCAAAATATTGAATAATGAACTTAAAAGTTAGTTGAACTCACAGTTTCAGCTTGGGCTTGCATAGCTTTAAACTCTTGCGCCTTTGATGCAAACTCAGTTTGCTTTGTCTCTTCTTGCTGCTTAATGCTCTCAAAAACCTAGAATAAACCAAATAAACAACAACTGTGAGCTCAAACACAACTGATAAAACACAGAAAGAGAACACTACAGAAATCCAACACAGAATGCTAGCATTTTAAGCTCAAACCTATCTCTTTAAGCTTTATCATACAAATTATAACAAAAAGAATCCATTTCTAAAGCTTTCACTTCCCTAAACGAAGCTGCAGGGAAGATAGTAACCCGTATAGAAACCTTCCTATGTAGCCTTTCCTAAACCTAAGCATATGATTCGATAGGTTTTTAGAGTGAGAAGTTCGAACACACAAATTCCTAATTACACAAAGAAAACAAGGTCCCAGACCTTTTTCGCGTAAGAAGAGTTGTTAATCTCCTTCAAGGCCTTAGCTCCTCGCTCCAGAGCCTCTGGATCAAAACCACCGGAACTCGTCCTGGGATTATCATTCCGAGCTCGCGGAGGAGCAGAAGACTCTTTACCAGCAGGAGTCGACGGTAGCCTCTGAGTTTGCGAAGCCGGAGGAGAAGTCTGCTGCTGCTGCTGAGGATTCGAAGAAGTAGAGAATCCAGAGAAATTGAAAGGACCATCTGCAGAAGCGACTTTAGATTGCGCAAGAGAAGCCGAAGCTGCTAGGGCTGAAATCAATCCAATCGCACATTTCTGAGCCATTAATTTTCTGTGAAACGAGACTTAGGATTCTTCAAGATTCGAGAATGCTGTACGAAAAAGAGAAATAATGACTTATGAAGAAGAAATTGGCTTGGAGAAGAAGAAATTCGAAGCCGAAATATATGTTGCCATTACAAAGTTCCGACGAGGAGAAGAAGGTTCTCAAGGTTTTCGTAGGGTTTATGCGGGACAAGTGTTTTGGGATATTTTACGGGTTTTAGCTTATGGGTCGGTTTCCGGATATTTAACCCGATAGCCCGACCCGTTTTATGAAGCAAATTAATGGGAGGAGATGAGTAAATTAAAAAACTCTGGCACTTGAATTGAATAAATTATACATTAACTGTAGCAAAATAAATACTTCCATCAAGAGATCAAAGATTACAAAATTTAAAAAGACAAGTAAAAAAATGTCCTTTTCCAACCAACAAAAAAAAGAAGACAATGAGAGAAGTTCTTGACTTGCTATACTTTTTGTGTGTTCTTTGCCAATCTCTGTCTCTCTATCTTTATAAAGGACCAAAGAGAGAAAACTTTTGAGAAACCAAACCAACGAATCATGGGAAAGTGAAAGATCCTCCGATTTGAGTGGAGCCAGCAGGTGGATTAATGGCGACCCAAAGCAGAGAAATGGTGATGGCAACAAGTCCAGACCAAACATAAACAATGGTTGGAGTCCTTCCTCTTCTTCCCATAAGCCCTTTAGCGAATGGATAAAGATGAGCCAGTACCCAGAAACTGAAGAACACTCCTCCAATCAACTTACTCCACTGCGGAATCACACTGTATATCGTCCTGCTAAACCCTACCGCGATGGCTATTAGATTCACCATCATGATTGTGATCGGTGGGATCATGAGTGATGTCCATTTCACAATGTAAAGATCAGCGAACTCGTCGTCCACATCGTCTCCTCCGGATTTAGATGTCAATGTGAATGAGATTTCGATTCCGGCAACAACTTTGAGCAGTCCTTGGATAACCGCGGCTAAATGAGCGCTTGTTCCTCCAATGAGCCAGAACTGTTCGTTTCTCCACCATTCCTCGAGTGAGATTCCTGACCATTTGATCTCGAGCAGAGCGAGCAAGCAGAGTGTAATGGAGATGATTAAGAGGTAGACAAGGAATGTGACGTTGAGTGTTTGGACTATAAATTGGCCTGAGAAGAGGGAGAGCGCAGGGAGGAAGCAATAGACAATGAGGAAGATCGATGTGAACGGGTAGATTCCGACGTTTAGGTAAGCAATTCTCTGTAGGATTTTCATTCTCGGGCTTGCGAGGAAGGCGTTGTTTCTCGAGAAGAAGATCTCGACCGAGCCAGTAGCCCATCGGAGAACCTGGTGCAGCCTATCCGTCAAGTTGATTGGAGCTGTGCCTCGGAAAGCATCCCGTTTTGTCACACAGTAAACCGATTTCCAACCTCGGTTATGCATTCTATAACCTGTGACCACATCTTCCGTGACAGATCCATAAATCCAACCGATTCGAGATCCCCACTCGGTTTTATCCTCGTACCAGCAAGAGATGACAGCTATGGCTTCTGCCACGGTTGATGCATCCAGAAGCTCACGAGGAATCGTGAGAGCGCCAGGAGGTCGTCCGTTTTGCACAGCTGGGTGATCTGCAAGAGGACGGCCTTGGAACTCTGCTACCGGGATTGAATCGATAAGGAATGTCGAGTTTCCGAATTTCTTTGGAACCAAAGAAAGATTCATCTCTTCATCATCATCCGAGTCACCACCCATTCTTAAAGACCGGTTTTCTTCTGGGACACGGCTTTTCTTCTTCTTGCGAGGGAAGCAACAACTGCAGAATCCAGGATGGTGTTCTTTAGCCCGAGGCGGATCGAATCCGTACAATGCAATTCTTCTAAAGAGACAACCCGTTCCGACGTAAACCGGACCCATCAAACCATCAAGAGCTCTCATGTTCACATCAAAGAAGACAGTGTTGTGATTCGCATACCGATCTGATGGGTCAATACCTTCAAACCGTTGTGGAAACTGAACATAGCAAAGCCGGTCACCACCTCGATCCATCATGAAACACATTCCTTCTCTCAACGCCTGAGAGTTGTATATGTAATGATCACAATCAAGATTCAGAATGAATGGACCGTTGGACATAATTGCAGAAGCTCGGACCAGCGCATTCATGGCTCCTGCTTTCTTGTTATGGTCATAACCCGGTCGCTTCTCACGCGAAACATAGACAAGAAGCGGAAGACGAATGTCAACATCTGTAAGATCCAAGAACCCTTCAGATACTCCATGTAATGGTTCATCACTTGGCGGCTTCAACATCACCTGCATTTATCAAAATTTTGAAAAACATTGATCTTAGAGGTGACCAAGAAACTGAACCAAACCAAAAATATTAAACCTAGCAAAAAATTTATCGAACTAAATTGACCGAAAACGTTGTCAAACACAATCAAACCAAACTCCAGCTTTAGTTCAGTTATGAATGAACTGAATGCTTCAAACCAAATTAATACCAAAAAACTGAAATGAACCGAAATGTACCTGAATGATACCGGCATGGTCACTACGGGAATGATCAGGACCAGAATTTATCCAAGTTCCAGGCCAATGAGTACCATCAGCCATCCAAGTAGCTTTAGGAATTTTGACTGGCTCTACTATCTCATCATCCCTGTTCTGTCTCTGCAGCTTCATGGCCTTAATCTCTTCCCTTGCGTGATAAGCATCAGAACGGCGCCTGATTGAGTCAGGCAAGCTGTTGATCCTAACCTTAAACTCATCATACTCACGCTTCACCCGTCTTCGATCTTTAACAAAATCAGCCTTCACCTTGTTTTTGTAAGGATCTCTTTTCAGACTAAAGTATGAATCCGGATTCCTTGGCTCGATATTGTGTTTACGACAGAAAGGAACCCATATGTTTGCAAAACTCGCTGCTTCAGCCATGGCTTCAAATGTCAAAAGCGCTCCTCCATCATCTGAAACATAGCAAGCAAGCTTTTCGACAGGATAGTCAGCAGCGAGAATCGATAAAATGGTGTTGGAAGTGACAAGAGGAGGTTCTTTCTCCGGATCTGCTGTGGATACAAACATATCGAGTCCCGGGAGATCAGATTTCCCAGTTGGGTTGCTCGGTGTAGGTGTTTCAAATTTTTCTTTAAGAACATTGAGATCTGTAGCTCGGTTAATCGGACACAGCTTTGGAAGCTGATCAAGAAGCCAAGAAAAGGCGAACCATAACTCACAAACCACAGACATTCCCCAAAGCCATAATGCATCTTGGTTTTTGTGCTTAATCCTCCACATCAAGAACAACGCAAGAACAACAATTCGGATAAATATCAAAAGCCTGCAAGAGAAAATCAAATGTGTCAGCAAAAGTTTGAACAAATATAAGCGGTCTGAATAAATATTTTGAAATAAGAGGAAACTTTTTGGATGTCTGGATAAAATTTTTGAAATAAGAACAAACTTTCCCACCTGTAAGGACTAATAACAGCTGCAGGAATTTGCAGTTTCCGAGTAAGCGGTCTCCACGGTCTGCTCATCAGATCCTGCGGTCCCATACCCTGTCCATTCCCATCTTTGTCACTCCCGAAATTCCCATCTTTGGTCCAGAATGCATTTCCATAACCGTAAGTCCCACTAGTCTCAAACAACCACCTGTTGTGATCGAAATCCCCGGTTTGACTCCTCATCAAACCAGACTTAGTCGACTTCATCAGTGACAATCTTCTATCCATCTTCGATCCACCCGCTGGTGGCGGAAGCATAGGCCGTTGCTGCTGCTGCCCCTTGTTATCAGCAAAATCCGCCAAATCCGTGTTCCTGTAAGGCTCCTTACACCCGGGACACATACCGCCTGTTTTCACAGCATCCACAAAGCAATCCCTACAGATTTTGAAATCACACTCACAAGGAAGAAGATCTTGACCTCTCTCATCACTCATCACCTTCACATCACAGCCAGGAATGGCGCATGACGAGCCTTTTGCACCGGCCATCTGTGGGTGGCTGGTCGTTGTCTCGATCACTTTGTCCATAAGATGAGCCCGAGTCACGCTGTTAAAACCGCCTGTAAACAAGGAACTGGACACGTACTGCTCCTCAACCTTCTGAGAAATGGAGGGGTCCATGGGTTGGTTATCGGGAGTTGGCGGAATCTGGACGGTATAATTAGTGAAGTCGACACTACCGAGCTCGCTATCGAGATCATCTCTAGAGTAGTTGACAAAGCGTCCAGAAGAAGTCCTGCGGGCAAATGTGACAGAGTTTGGCATAGGCTGCTGGTTCCTCCCAGCTTCAGCAGCATCAGAGTTTGTTGATAGATTGGATCTACTATTGGTGAAATGATTATTAGACGCCATTGTCTAATAATAACAATATCCACCGGACTTCGTAGCCGGCAGATCCCTGAAAGAAAGCAAAAGTAATAATGGTCAAATCTCCTAGTCATTGTTACAAATCACAAGAATTTTCACATGATCTTGAAGTGGATGACTATCAATAGATCTAAGCTAAAAGAAGAACAAAACTCATAGTAATGTTCCATAAAGACATGAAAAAGGCATTGATCATTTGTTTCACAACCCCACCAAAAGAGGAGAAGCTTAAATCTGAAGCTAAAGAGGGAAAATCTAAATGACTAGCTCTATTTCAAACTCTCAACACACCCATGTTCCCACAAATATAGCTTGCCATCAAAGTCTCAAGAATCGAACTGGATCCTTCCACATTACAACTATAAGAAGATCTCACACACAAACTAAACAAGAAAGCAAGGATGTACCAAGAGTACCTGAGAGGCTGTAACAGAGCAACGTTAAGCTTCAGATCTTCTCCACCCGAGAGGTACTTAGAGAGAAAACGCTTTATTTAATTTAACAAAATCGATACGAAGGAATCAATGTGAACGTGTTGCCCAAACTAGTTAAGGAGGAGAAAGGAGAAGAGGAAGAAGAAGAGACGAGGAAGGGACTTAGTCGTGAGCAAATACATCAGCACTACTACCTGCTTTACTAATACACGTTATGATGGCAACGATAACCCCAATTTTTTAATTCTGGAGATCTTTAAATTAAAATAACAATAAAATTCGGAGAAGGAAGAAGATAGGATGAAAGAAGAAGATCCAAAGATCTCAGCTCTATTGAGTTCTTTTTCTTTTAACTTAAAGAAAAAAATAGTAAGCTTTTGAGACGGTAACAGTGACTACGACTGTCAAAACGCCGGTGAGAGAAGAAACCGGCGGAGATTTTTTATTTTAACCTTTTGGAATCCTTTTTGAGTTGAGGTTTTCGGACAAGGTGGCGAATTAAAAGGTCTCATTTTTTTTTTGTTATATATTTTAAAATAACGCGTTCGATTCCATGTATAGAAAAATTGAAAAGGTGAAAAAAGGGGAACGGAAGGGTATTTTGGGGAATGCAAGGGATTAAGGGAACGCGGAAGCAGCTTTAGGGGTATTTTGGAGATTTAGGTTGATTTAACGTGTGTCTGTGTGTATGTGAATTTTGTTTTTTTTTTTGTAAATACACGGTCTTGTCAAAAACGTCAATCACGCATGTGTTATGGGGAAGGGGAAGCAAAGAAAACACACCACCAAATAATTCTCAGTTTAATTAAAGATTAATTAAAATCAACTAAACAAGGACGAAGTGAACGTCACGCGGTTCTCTCAGTTCCATTATTCATGGTTTCGACTTTCGAGAGATGAAAAGAAAAAACTATAAAGACGTGCCTCCTGATCGTTAACGAAGAAGGAAACTAAACAATGTTGCAAGTCTTCGTCCCCTTCAAGTAACATCATTACAAATCGGTTAACTGAAAGAAAACAAATTATTGTTGAGAAATCACTTTCAAACCATTCCCAGACAAGAGTTGGCAAGATACAGAAGACAATTGAGGAAAAACAGATTCAGGTTTTGGCCATTTGAGACGGTTTTCAAGACGATTAGACCAAGTGAGATTCCGAGGAGGCTCTCTTCTTCAGAGATTTCTAATCGACTTCTTATCCAAGTATAGCTTGAAGTTGCAGCTATATAAGTCGTTGTACTCTTCCATCTCATCCAAGACAAGTTTAGACACTTCAGGGTTGTTCATAATCTGTGTAATTCCATCCTCTTCAACGTAGATCTTCATCTCCTTCAAACACGAAAAGTAGTCCAAGAAATGCTCTATCATGTGCTTTTCTTTCATTGTTACTCCAAAATCTTTAATCTCCACCACTTTCACTGGACAAGATCTGAGTGAACGGCCTTTTTCCTTGCGATATATGCAGTCACAAGCATCCCCGCATTTATCCGTCACATGGTGCACGATACCCTGAAAGCAGAAACAAGACAGCAGGGTTATTTCTGCTACCTGGACTGCATGCTTTGTCCAACTAGTTTCATGGTTCGTACTCCCACCTCAAAAATCAGAATTTCTAAATGTGGACAATTCCTTAGAAGAACTGGCACTGCTTGCCATCCTCGACCCTTATCACTGTAAATAAGTAACTTTTTGACGTTGTGGAACACTGGCATCGAGTCACAGCATAGAGAAAGCACCTGAAAACAAACAAGTAAGGAAATACCGCAACCAGACATATTCCAATCAATTAGCAGTCCAGAAAGAATAAAAACAGAAAACTCACCTCGAGTATATCAGGACACAAGTGAAGTTCCTGAACATTTTGTATGCCATTCATGAGCTTCACCACATTACCAAAGTGGAGAACGACATCATGCTCTAACAAATCATTATTTTGCGCTCTCACTCGCTTGATTTGATAGTCATCTACTCTAAGGGCGATTCGAGCGAAAGATAAGTTTTTCATATTAACTAATGGATAGTCCTCCGCAACATAATCAGAGTAGACAAAGGAAAGCAGATTTGGAGTATCAAAAGAAATGCTCTTTGGATTTTCAGAGCGGATGCAGGTAATATGGAGCGTTGTGAGAGTAGAACTTGACACGGTTTCATCAGAATCTATCCACTGAATATTAGACATTTGAAGATCCTCAAGCACAGGAAAAGAAGGAAGAAACTCCTCAAGCTTATCATCACAAAAAAACCTCGGCGAGTAAACACAAAGAGTCTTAAGCATTGGTAAAGAAGTGCCTTCAGCTCCAGTCCACCAGTGAATACCAAATGCACTTTTTAATTTCAGATTGACTAGTGTCTCACTCACAAACAAATCTTGAGGCATGTAATAACCATACCCCAAATCAACAGTGAGATCAAGCTCCAAAACACCACGCTGCAGCACTTCACATAACCAACGATTCACATGAGCTGGCGAAACACCAGTTTCACACTTGAGAGAGAACTTACGAATGGGAGAATTGCCCTGCAAAGACAGTACTCTATCCACAAAATCCATGAAGCTTTCTAGAACACCGTCTCTTTCCCGTTTATCCTCTTCCGGATGAAGAAACTCAGAGTCATCCAAGTCAAGACTAGGGAGTAGGGACAAGTGCAAACAGATTGCGCCACTTCTTTGAGAGAAGAGACGTCGAAGCAGCCTCCTTTGTGGTAAGGAAGGACAATATGTGACAACGAACCTCGTCTGGTAAACTGCTCAACGGATCCATCTTCTCTGCAGAGAAAAACATAACACTACGCAAATTAATTTTACCAAACCAAACACAGTTCCACTGGTAGTAGAGCGATTGAGACTAAGAACAAAAAGTCATAGCCAAAAGATATGAGTCTACTTCGGCACCAACCTTTTCTACAGAGGCCAATCTCCAAGACCAACAGTGAAATTGCAAATTTTCGCAGCTGTGAATCACCTCAAATTAGGGCAATGAGGCGTCGGTGAGAGAAGAACACTGACTGACTGAGAGAAGAACACTTCAAATTAAGTGCGGAATATACATTATTTAATTTTGCTGGTTGTGATTTGACGTGTTACTGTTTTGTTTTGGAAACACCAATGATTTGACGTACATTACTCTCCTGTTTTAATTTTAACATAAACTAATAACGTAAAAAACCCACTTAACAAAGTAAAACCCATTTAAAAAAGTAAAAAAACCCACTTAACGACTTGCTCTAACCATCATGTAAACAAAGTTAACAACATCACGCGGGCGCGGCTAAGACAAGGCATGAGTCAAAAGATTGGAGACTGTGGAGTTTGGTCACCAACAATCGCATCTGCAAATTCTCCGACTTAAAAGTTCACCATTTGCTGTGACCTCCTCGTATTGAAGGAAGCTTCATGTTCACCAATTTCTCCTGATGTCTGCTCGTTCAAACAACATCAAGATTTACTCAAGTGATGATCAAATGCAAAGACTGTTATATGCACACAAGACTGAGTCACAGGTTGAAAATCATTAACCTAAAACAATCAGAAAGTTTTACGAGGACTTAAGCAAAACAGGCAATCAGTCTGGCCTAGCCGAGGATAATGTGCCACCAGCAGGATATGCTAATTAAAAGATTACACATAGCTAATAATGAAAACAAAGCAAGGATCTGATCAGTCAAATTCCGAGGGGCTTTGTTCAAAGACTTCATTGTTCAGTCCACTTCGCACTTGTCACATGGCTCGTAGAGTTGGACATTGCAACTATATAAATCCTCGTACTCGTCTATCATGTCCAAGATGAGATCAAACACTTCAGGGTCGTGCATAAGCTGCGAAGGACCATACTCTTCTCTACAGATCTTCATCTCCTTCAAACATGGAAAATTGTCCAAGAAATGCTCTATCAGGTGCATCTCTTTCATTGTTACTCTAAACTCTTTGATCTCTACCACTTTTACTGGACAAGATTTGAGCGACCGGCCTTTTTCCTTTCGGAATATGCAGTCACAAGCATCCCCACATTTATCTGTCACATCGTGCACCAGACCCTGAAAGCAGAAACGAGAAAATAAGGTTATCGCAACTATGAACTGCATGTTTTGACCAAGTAGTTCAGTGGTTTATAGTTTCACCTCAAAGGTTAGGATTTCCAGATGTGGACAATTCCTTAGAAGAGCAGGCACTGCTTGCCATCCTCGGTCGTCGTCACTCTTAATGCCCAACGTTTTGACGTTGTTGAACACAGGCATCCATTCACAGCAGAGAGAAAGCACCTGAAACAAGTAAAACATCCCAACTATAACATCTTGCAAAACCAATATACCTCAAGTAGACCAGAAAGAAGAAAGTAGAAAACTGACCTCGAGGGTATCAGAATGCAAGTGAAGTTGCTGGACATTTTGTATGCCCTTCATGAGCTTTACCACATTGCCAAACCGGAGAACAACATCATCATCTGACAAATAGTTATTTGGGGCTCGTATTTGCTCGATTTGGTCTTCATCTACCGCAAGGATGATACGAGCCTTGAATAGACTTTTCATATTAACCAATGGATAGTCCTCAGCAACAGAATCAGAGTAGGCTAAGGAAAGCAGATTTGGGGTATCAAAAGAAACGCTTTTTGGTTTTCGAGAGGCTTCAGAGCCGGTGGCGCTAAGAAGTAGCTTAGTGAGGGTCGCACTTGACACGGTTTCATCAGAATCTTTCCACTCCGTACCTACCAATCGTAATTCCTCGAGCACAGGGAAAGAAGCAAGCAGCGTCTCAATCTTCTCATCGCATAAAAACCTCCAAGAGTCTATATCAAGACTTTTAAGCATTGGTAAGAAAGTGCCATCAGCACCAGTACACCAACGGATACCACCAAATTCGGTTTTTAATCTCAGATTGACTAATGTCTCACAGAGGAACATCTCTTGAGGCAGACAAAAATCATCTTCGAACTCGATGGTGAGATCAAGGTCCGATACACCACGCTGCAGCACTTGGCATAACCAACGATTGACACAAGCTTGAGAAACCCCACCAGTTTGACACTTGAGGGAGAACTTACGAATGGGAGACGTACCTTGCAAAGCCAATACTATATCGACAAAACCCATGAAGCTCTGAAGCATACTATCACTTTCCCACTTAGCCTCTTCCGGATGAAGAAACTCAGAGTCATCCAAGTCAAGATTAGGGACAAGTGCAAACACATTGCGCCACTTCTTTGAGAGGAGCGATGTCAAAGCAGCCTCCTTTGTGGTGAGGAAGGACAATATATGACCACGAACATCTTCTGGTAAACTGCTCAACAGATCCATCTTCTCCGTTGAGAAAGAAGTACGCTACGCTCGCTCGCTCCTAAGCAAACCAATATTACCAAACAGTTCCACTATAGTACTAGAGATGTTAAATCAAACCAAACAGTTAAAAACAACGCGAATGGGAAACCCGTCCTCAGAGCAAACTGATTCTGAGATTGTAGCTCCCCTAAAGATGATAATTTTGAGACTGCGAAGTAGAAAAGACTGAAACTGTTAATTTTCGCTGCACTTCAAATTAGGGCAATTCACGTCTAGTGAAGAGAAGAAAGACGTTGTACGGAATTTAGGGGTATTTCGGAGATTCGGCCAATGAAATTGATATATTAACGTCTAATTCTTCTTGGTCATAAACTAACATAAAAATGATTGTCACCGAGAACAGAGAATGCAACACACTGAACCTTGTAACAAAGTATGCCAAGACAAGACTGTTACTGCATGAATAGTAAGATCAACTCAATGGTACTAACAAAGTGGCTTCTAATTCATAAGCATCAATGCTATTATTAACAGATGTACAACCACAAAAGCTATCCAACGAAGTGGAGTGGACTTTATAGAGATTATAAATAATACAACCAAAGAAACGTAATACCGTGGCAGATCGATAGCATTAACCCATCACAGGAGGTGCACAAGGTTGTAGTTTACTCACATAAAAACTGTTCAATCATGTTCCTAAAAGACAAAACACCAATTCACTAGAGTTTTCTCACTAAGAAGAAAAAACACACATATCAGAAGCGGATGAGATCATCGTTTTTGGATGGCTGCTGCTTCTTGGGGTCATTTCCAGAAGCAGTATTAGCATCAGATGAAGAATGACCCAAACCTTTCTTACCAAATATCATCTCATCCAAGTCATCCATCATCATGTCATCGCTGCTGCTTCCGCTACCATGAGTAGTCCCTTCTTCTTTTGCATGAATGTGAGAGTCATCAGGTTCTGCAGCAACTGGAATCATGGCTGGCTCAGGTGCAGCTAATGGTGCAGACGGTTTCTTCAACTCTTCATATTTTGACAACGTCTTCACAAGCTCGTCGTTTACATTCAAGGCTTCGAATAAAAGGGCTTCGTCTTCTCCAGATGTCTCGATGATTCTTTGTACTGTGGTTTGGGATTGGCTGCACTGTTGTACAAGTGTAATTGTCAAGTCATCCTGCAAAAGAAAAAAATTTCATCAGCCATGAATTTGACACCAGGTTTAAAAATAAACAATATGATCTGGACAGATATTATATCTAGTGCTTAGACTTGGATTACATGTAACACGTCCTGATGAGGTGAAGATGACAAAACTGTAGTAAGAAGTTCAATGATGTTCCTTGCAACATCAAAAGCTTCCTTTGTCTCCTCTGCAGTAAAGGTTCGAACAGGAGGAGCATTGTACTGCACATGTGGATGCTCGTTGACATGCTGAGCAATACCAGTGTCGGCTTCTGGTATTGAAGAAGACCTAGGAGGGGTGAAAATAGGCGCTAAGCTTTCGTTGTCCCGCCCAGGGAAGCGGATACCTCTGGATTTTAAGCTCTATATAGCATTGAAATAGATTCAAAGGTATTAAAAAACATAATCACCAGAGTAAAAACCAATACAATTCAAGCTATCAATGTAAAAGGCTCTTAATTATCTAATATAACTTTGGCAACTTGGTAGAGTGATAAAGTATATTAACTAAGTTCGTAAAGAACATAAACCTTGTAAGTTTCTTCAAAAACTGGTAAGTAGCAGAGTTCGCTGGTTGACTCTCCCCAAGCTTCAATCAATGTCAAAGCTTTGTTCCGGTTATTCACAACGGTCTGCGGATCATCAATCAGCTTAACCATTTCATCAAGAACTCTTTCAGCAGCAATCTCAGAGAAGGCTTTCTCGCAATTCTTAACACAAGCCTCAAGCAAAACCAAGGCAAGGTACTGAATCATCGGCTGTTTCATCATAATCCTCTTCTTGATTCCGCGGATCAAATCAACGCTATTAATCTTTTCCTGATTGATCATATCACATAGTTCCAAGTTCATAGCCCAATCAGGTTCCTGCAGATTCTCAGAAGTAGCTTCCTCGACTAGTTTGTCAGTTGGGTTAGGTCCTTGGAAAAGCTCCTTCACTTTGAAACTCATAGAGCTCACACCAGCAGTCACTTTCTTGCTAACCTCAGAACCACCAATCTTGAGACGCTCACTAAAGGAGCTAACTTTGTCCATTAAATTGTCACCCATCTTTTTTTCAGGAACTCAAAAAAAAAAAAAACCTGGAGAAATACAAAAAAAAAGAAGCCAGTATGAAGCCACAAAAATCACCATAATGTCTAATTGAAGAAGCTTATCTGAAATAACCGTTACACCAAAGTCCACAGAATTGAGAAATCAGATTAGGGTCAAAAGTAGATCAACAAGAACTAAAAAAATGTAAAGGGGAAGCAGTCAATAACATTACCAAGAGAGAAGAAACACAGAATATTTCGAGAGTAATCATAACTCAAAACGATGAAATTTGCTAGAAATTACCTTTAGAAAGGTGCGTAACGGGAAGTGAAGGTTGATGAACAAAAGAAGAAGGGAGAGGCTAATTTCAGAAGACTAACCGGGTCAACGCCGTACGGGAGAGAAGTTGGACTTTAGTAAAGGTCCTTAGGACTTTGTTTATCTCCCAACTAGTCTTTGGATTTGTTGATTTGTTGGTTTTGTACAAAAACAATATTGATTTAAGAAAGAAAAAAAATAGTAATAACCATATTTATTTTTGTCAAACAGTAATAACCAACCATATAAGAAAGAAAAGTATATTTGTTGCTTTCGCAATTCGAAGAGTTCGGGACTTCAAAAAAAAAAAAAAAAGCTTTTTCTTTGGTTGAGTTTATGAAAGATTTTTAATTTTTAAGCTTTGAATTTTCTGAAAGAAATAAACGTTGCAACAAATACTATTTTTTAAAAAAAATTTTGACTAGAATCTCAAATTTAATCGACTGAGATGATAAATTTTCCAAAACAAAAAATCACTTTTTGGGAAATAAAAAAAGTAAACTTAAAAAAGGAAATAGCTTATAAAAAAGGAAAATTCCCCAAAACTGTATAAATAAATAAAAATCAGTATAGATGTTAAGACTTAAGAAGAGATATATCGGTGTGCCCAAACACCATTCTATCGCCAAAATCGTTGAAACTCGAAAGAAGAAGAAGAAACAGACTTTGTCAGTGCTCAGGCCGCCGGAACCATAAGGTAACGTATCTTCGGCTAATCGTCGGTCCCTTGTTTTCTGAAATTCCCAATTGGTAGGTAGAATCGTAAACCGTTGATCGGTCTCATGTTTCATTATGTCTTGATGAAACGATGTAGCTCTATCGAATCAAATTGCTCCGGCACAGCTTTTGTGTCAGGTTTAATGTCAAACTAGCATATGTTTTACTGATTGCTAGAGAAACCAGTAATGCACTTGTTGTATAAATCAACTTGAGACAACTTTATTATTTCACCCCTTTTAGTTTCTCTCTAATTTTCTTAAGTTGTTTTGTTTTCCACATTGATTCAACATCGTTTGAGTTAATGAAAGTTCTGTGTCTATGTTTTTCTTTTTTCAATAATTCTTCTCCAAGGATGGTGGATTGGATGTGGTTAATGAGTGTTTTACTTCTTGGAGCTGCACTTGGATTTTACATCAGCACTTTACCACAAACCCGCAGAATCTTTGTCTCCTCCAAATCTGTCTCCACAAATGCAGGTTCCAGCGGAAATAAGAAGACTAAATCCAAGGAACCTCTCGAGATTGAGAAACTCGCTGATTTTCGCAAAAATTTCAAAATGGTTTCTTGGCTCACTCTCTCTCTCTCTCTCTCTCTCTCTCTCTCTCTCTCTCTCTCTGCCTCCTTTGCCTTTTGCATTGTATACCACAGACACCAGAAGTTGATATTAATGTTTGTTGTTGTTGTCTGTATAGGTTTTGGTTGTGAGGAATGATCTTAGAATGGGTAAAGGGAAGATTGCAGCTCAATGCAGGTGAGTATCATCAATTCTCTTATCAGTTTTCTATAACATTTATTATATTCGATTAACAACTTCTTTTCTGGTCTGCCATTATATATAGTCATGCAACTTTAGGTTTATACAAAAAACTCCTTCAACGGGCGCCAAGAGCCTTGAATAGGTACATCACACCATGTCATTAGTCTACTACAACTTTTCATGTTCTTCATAGGCTACCGATGAAATGAACATTTTTTTTGGTTCTGTTCTCTTCCTATTTAAAAAAGTGATTGCTATTGCAGATGGGAATATTGTGCTCAGCCAAAAGTTGTTGTCAAAATCGAGAGTGAGGGAGAGATGCTAGTTCTGCAAGTGAGTGTACTAGAGAAATATTGCAAACTCTGCAGTTTCATATGATATTATGTTGACTGTCTTACATTATTGTTCTTAACGACAGGAAAGAGCAAAGTCCCTTAAATTACCAACCCATATCACCGTTGATGCCGGAAAAACACAGATCGCTCCAAGTGAGTTTCCCATAGTTACTGTCATTTAGAATTCAAGAGACTCTCAATCTTTAAATCCTACTTAACCATTAGTCTGACAGTAGAAGAATCTAATATGCTACTTGTTCTGTTCTTTTTCCAGATTCAAGAACAGTAATGGCTATTCTTGGTAAGAATGATCATCTATTAGAAGAGATGACTCAAATAGTAGCAAAATATCACATATTGTAGATACAATTGCAATAGTTTAATAAGCGAGTGTTACTTGTGCAGGACCGGTTGATAGTGTTGATGAAGTAACAGGTGGACTAAAGCTTATGTAATAACTCTGGGATTCGACATTACCAGAATTCTCCGAATTTTTGCTGGTGACAAATCTGTTTTCCCTTCTTCCTAACCATTATTTGGAACCGTTTTCGAGTAGATAACTCAACTTCTTACATGGAACTGTACAATTGTCTTAATAGAAGATAATCATATGCCAATGCTTGCTGATTATCTAATACATTTAAAGATAGAGAGTCAGTTTTGATGTCTCCTTTTGTTTTGTCTATTGAGATACCTTTATCTGTAAACTAAAGCGGTTAAAGCGACGGACTGATTCTGACTCGAGCATAGCTCAGTGGCTTTTGCCCAAATGAGGCTCTCGTTCCCTCGCAACATCTAATTAAAATAAACAGTATAAGTGTTATACTTCTTGCTATAGTTAATATTGTTATATTCTTTTGCTCAAATACTGAATACTGCTTGTAAGATCCATTTCAGATGTTTGAGTATTCTGAGTTGTAGCATTTAGCATAGTCAATGTATACACTCAAATATTGCTATTTGTTAGCTCACAGCATGATTAGATGACTCGGTCGAGTTAGAGTAAGAGGTTTGTTCAGTGAATGTCCAAGTTGTTATCGTAAGAAAAATCGTTTAAGGAAAGTAATTAAGGGTTTTTCTGTTAACGATGTAGTGGTGAAACTAGGTACGTATATACACTCACCGTCTCTATAAAATATAAATTTTTCTGTTATTTTTACATTGAAACATGCAATCACTTTGTTAGAGTATGCTTCAAAGGATCATTTAAACGCATCTCGAGTACCAGCAGCGGAATGGCACGCCCGGATGGGTTCATATCATCACTGATCACACTGGAGAAAAAGCCATTTCAATTTCGCTACCTTGTTCGATCGGTAGGTAATGAATTTGCTTCATAATTTGAGATTAGACATCAACGTGTCTCTGAGTCAAGCTCGTGAGTTTGAAACCAAAAAGGTCCCCAGGAGGACACTACTCCAATAACAAATCACAAAATATTTAGATATCAGACACGACACGATACTCGACAATGACAATTTTGATGGATTTCATGTGAAATCAAACAGCGTTACCATAGCTGGTAATAAGAGGTGGTGAAGAGAAATTGGGAGGTCTTCCTCTGCGGTAAACCTGCGCAAAGACGTATCTCAGATAGTTCTGCATCGTACGTAAAAGTTAGGGTTCATGGAGGTTTTTTTTAATAATGTTTTTTAGCTTTTGAATTTTCTGAACACATATATATAAATAAATAGCTGATATCCAAAAACACACTTTGATTATTCTAGGCCCAAATAATGGGAAAACGGCAGGCCCATATGGTGAAGACCATACATATATTTTCCCAAATTATGTAGTAGACTCCGGAGAGAACGTCACAAGGAACTGCTATGAATTTTTATTTTGTTTTCGTTAGCTCAAAACACACAATACTAAACTAGAATCTACAATCTGTGTTTTTCTCTGATTTCACTCCCTCAGTTAGTCTTTAAATCCTACTTAACCATACAAGTCTGAACATATATAGAAGAATCTAATGCATGTGCTACTTGTTCTCTTCTTTTTTTCATATTCAAGGATCTTGTTAAGTTTTAATATATGCTTTCTAATTATGTTTTGCCTATTGAGAGGAGACCTTTAATTATCTCTATAAACTAAAGTGGTTAAAGCTAGCGACGGATTGCTTTCTGACTCACACAGTCACACACATATCAAAGTATTTGTTTTGCCCTAATTAAAGTTGGAACCCAACAATGATAGCTTTCTCTTCAAGTTATCAAAATTTCGTCAAAGAATATATGAAACAGAGTAAATAACACACAAATATCTTCCATTAATTGGTATTATCACACGCCTACATACAAACATATACTTACAAATGTCGGATGAAGCCAACAAAAAAAAAATACAAATATTTCAAACTATAGATATACCTTTTTAGTTTCTTCAACCCCAAGCATTATCAAATGCAGCTGAAGTGATCGCCTGAACAAACTCTTGGAAATCGATACAACCGTCGCCGTCTCGATCTGCTTCCTTGATCATCCCGGTTAGCTCCTCCGCCGTCAACGCGTGACCTAGCTTCGCCATCGAGTGCGCCAACTCAGCAGCCGTTATGTAACCGTTTCCGTCGCGATCGAACATTTTGAAGATGGCTTTAAGCTGCTCATCCGTGTAAGGACACTTGACAAGATCCGGCTCGACGAGGGCGACGAACTCGGAGAACTCGACGAGCCCGTTGTTGTTCCGATCAGCTTTATGGATCAAGGTGTCGAGCTGGTCTTGACTCGGCTTTAAACCGAGAGATCTTAGAAGTGAGCCTAACTCGAGCTCCGTCAAGCTCCCATCTTTGTTCTGGTCAAATGATCTGAATATCTCCCGAAGCTCCGCCAGCTGTTCGTCGCCTAGTTTCGCCGGCGCCGGTTTCTCTCCGTCGCCGCTCATCTCGAATCTGATTTTGAGTTCGGTCAAAGCTTCTTCGATCGATGAACAACAACAGATTTATTTTTATTTTTTTTCTTGGTTTAGTTTTTAGATTGATTTGTTCCTTCTTGACAGAGTCAACGAGCGAACGACAGGTATGAATGAGATTATGAATTTTAAACAAGTAAAAGATTTATTTCTTATTTATTAATACTTTATTGTGCCTTTTAAAACCAAATAATATTATTTTTATTTATTTTAAAATCAAACAGTAGATCAGATATGTGATTGAGGATGGAATACAAAATTATTTGAAATGATTATCAAACCTACTATTTGAAACGGTCAACGGTTGTTCTGTGGAGGCAAAACAGTCGTGCTAACTGCTAATATATACGTTGTTTACTTGTTTTGCACTTTGGTACGTGATGCATTTATTACGACAATATATACAAGAATGTTTTGTTTCGTTTTTTAATTCGACATTTTATAAGAAGAAGTTAAATATGACTTACGAATCATCATCATTAACATTCAATTACTCTTCTTCTTCTCTCTTTTTTTTCCTTGTCTTTTAAAGACTTCAAGTCATTATATTCGACCTAGATGATGCTTATGCATTTTTAATTACCTTTAATTATACTACAGTATATGGGTTATCTGATATATATTGTTAATTTCTCTCTATCGCCAAAAAGTTTTCTTATACTATAAGATATCAAAAATTATTTGGAAGTTTTCAGATTCTTTTTCTTTACCTTGAGCAATTATGGATATTTCTTGTCACTCAAAATCCTCTGCAAATTTAATAACGAACCATCAATAAACTTTTAAGTTTATACTTCAACAAGCTTTTATAATCATTATAATATATTTAATATAAATTCATTAAAATCCACCAAATATGTGGCACCAAAAAAAAACAAAAAAAAATCTTACAAATCTAAAATGGACAAAAATATAGAAATACTCATAAATACTAACAGATATTTTTTTTAAAACACATATTAATTTTCAACCATTTATAGAAAAAGCAACAAAAATATATCTTATACAACACATGTTCTTATTGTATTTACTGTATAATATATAATTATAAATCATCTAGAATAAATCTATACATAAACAGAAATAGTTATATGTATTTAATGGATATAAAAATTAGAGTTCCTTGCAAAAATATTGTAGCATAATCTTATGCATATTAATACATAATCTCAAGATTTTTAAGTAGAATATAATTAGATCCACAAATCTTATGCATTTATTGTCTACTGATTTTAGTGGGGTATAAATCTCAACAGTCGTAGCTTCATACCTTATAAATATCCCAAACCATTTGGACGAATTTTTAAACATTCTTCGAAGGCTGACCAAAAAAAAAAAAACACTCTTCGAAATTGTAGAATTTTGGTAACTGTCAGTGGTTTGAACTTGGAAATGTCTCTCCCAAGTCAGAAATTTATGTCAATCGAGAGTCATGAAGAGGGGTTTGGAAATGTTCCGAGGTGGGAAAATATGAATAAAGACATACTTTCCAACATTTTCAAGAAGCTCGATCTAGTGGATGTTATCATGGGAGCATCACGAGTGTGCATCAATTGGTTCCTTGCCTCTCACAACAAAACTTTGTGGAAAACAATCAAACTTAACGAGCTTGATTCGATCATCTTGGATAACCCAAAAGAGCCAAGTATGCAAGATAGTGTTATAGAGAAACGTCGATACCATCTTATGAATATCTTGATTGAGATAAACAATTTCAGCCGTAATGTCCCCATAAATTTATTCTTCAACAGATACACCATTATACTAGAAGAGGATCTAACGTTCATTTCTGAGAGGTAAAATATGTCTGTTCTTTCTCACTTGAATCCACTATTCAATTTACGTGTAGGCTATAAATCATTATTTCAATGAAAATTCACATATTTATCAAAAAAGAATTTTAAAAACTACTTATAATTTAATCTTCTTAACTGTTTTTTTTAAGGATGCCAAACATCAATAGACTTGCGTTACCAATGTGGAAACCTCTAAGTCAAAATTCATTTCGGTCAGCTTTTAGTAAATGGAAGAATCTCAAAACGTTGATCTTAGGACCATTTCAACCCCTAAATGATTCCTCCACCGCCAGAGATCAATTTGAGCTTCAAACTATCGGAGAAACCTGTAGAAATCTTACCACCATAAAACTGTTTAGAATGTTGAGCAAAATCAGAGCCAATGATTTTATTCGTTACCTTCCTAACCTTGAGAGAGTGAGCTTTCGGCGCCAGAATGTCTGTAGAGAAGCAGCTACATCGCTTATCATCGGCCTTCCAAACCTCAAGATTCTTAATCTCACACATTGTAGATTCTCGGAACTACAGAGAGGTGAGAATTACGAATCAGATATGACACCTAGTGAGGAACTTATAAGAATTGGCACTGAGAAGCTTGACAAATTGATAGTGTGTTGTTCGGACTGCCCAATTTGCCAAGATATCTGGAAACACAGGTTTCGTCAGCGTGACCCTTATAAGGATCACAACTCTAAGGAGAAGTTGTGGAAAAGTGATGAGATAGAGGAACTTGCATATTAAACGTAAAGAGAAAAAAGAAAAGAAAAGTTTTTTTTTTTTTTTTGTGCTACTTTGCTCCCCCATTTCTTATTGTAACATGTAAAATTATACTCCTATATAAAATTTATTAAAATATGATTTCATTAAAAAGATATCGAGAGTTAGAAAAATAAAGATACGAGAGTTTAATATTTAAAATAAATATAAGTCCGCAGTAGAAACTAGAAAACAATTAAAAGAATTCTGGTAACTAAATCAGTAATAAATAATGGGTAACACGAGAGTAGCCGAGTCGTTTTGTCTTTATTTTTATTTTTATTTTTTTTGAAAGGTTAAATTAGTTTTGCCTATCTATATTAACATTTTTGAAATACATTTTGTGTTTTACCATTTTATTTTGTAATATTTGCATAATACCCTTGCCATTTGATTAAATAGAAAAATTTTAAGATAAATTTTGTAATTAAATCATAATAAATTTGCAAAATTAAAAATCAATATTTATAACATTTAACAAAATTTCCTAAAATCTCTCCCTAATAAATCAAAGATTTCTCCAACATCTTTATATGATCTTATTTGTTTTTAAATTTATATTATTACATAAACATATGTATAATAAAAATATAGTTTTTTTTGCATATGTTGTAATTTGAATTTTTAGAAACGGATGCATATTACTCAAATGATACAAAAATGTATAACCTAAAGTATTATTGATAATTGTATAGCACGGGTCATGTGATGGAACGGATTATAATATACATAATTATGATTATAGATATTTTTACGAGTTGTCTACTATAGTATAACTCACAAAAATATTTTAATATGAAATTATATTATGTAAACGAATATTATGTCAGTATCATTTCATTATTTTCAATATTATACTTATTTAATTAATTTAACCAAATTACGATTATATAAAAAAGAAATTATCATATAATATTCTACGGGTTAAATCATAAAATTAACAATCAAAATATAGTAGTACACTCTTATATACCAAACAAAAATAATAAAAAGAATATATTTTAGAATGTCGTGCCGCGGTATACCGCGGGTTAAAATCTAGTTTGAGAGTAAAACTGAACATATATATTAACATTTTTGAAATAAATTTTGGGTTATAATATTTTATTTTGTATTATTTGCATAATTAACTTTTAGCCATTTGAATAAATAACAAAACTTTAAGTTAAATGTTGTAACTAAATCATAATAAAATTGTAAAATTGGAAATAAATATTTATTACATATTTGAAACTATCAAACTAGAGTATTTGTAATTTTTTGATCTATGAATTTTATGACAAGTTAAATTATTTTTACATGTTCCAAATTAAAATATTAAAAGTTAACTGCAATATACTGTATAAAGCTATATATTTTATTTGAGTGTTGTCCCATTACTTAGTCAAAATTTCGTGGAATATATTTTTTACACAAAGTAAATCTATTACTCAAGTTTGAATTTTTGATCCGCTATAATTTATTTTATTAATTAAAAAATTATATTCGTTTTAAAAAAAATCAAATCATGGCATATATGGAAAATTTTACATTTTTATTATTATATGAATGATATGAGTTATTTGAAATTATATATCAAATCTTCTTTGTTTATTTTTGGTATCAGTGTGAAGTAAATTTAAATGAGTTGTAAATTTAATATAATTGGTAGTGACATTGTATTATAATTAAATATTATTTTTGAAGTTGTGTACTATGTATATATATATTTTTCTTTTGGTAAAAGACTGAACATACATTTGCTCAAGAGCAGTCAATATCTAGCACTCACAACGAAACACAATACCGATATACGTATATACAATACCGAGTATATATATATATACATAATTACGTAATATATTCAGTATACATAATCAGTATTGTTGAAAGAAATATATATATATATATATGTATATACGTAATTACGTATAATCTTGCTTATATCCTCCGATTACCGGAAAACTTAGTGTTACTCGTCTATGAACATTAGAAGCCATCTTATTAAATTACTCGTCTATGAACATTAGAAGCCACGTACGTACACATACTCATGCATGCATGTTCAACGAGTGAACTCGACACTCGTATGTATGCAGGCCGACTAATAAAATAGTCTTATACTATCTGTATACATATATGCGTCAAACTTCTTATACCAGACAATTAAGTCCAAGTCGTCGTCCAAGTAGAAGCCAACCCTAGGTTCAATTAAAGTAAAAAAAAAAAAATTAAAATAGTAAAATATTGAAGTATTTCTTTTACAGATTTTAAAATATGTAAATCTCGCCACTGTCACTAGCGATACGTACGATTCATGAATTCGTTTCCTGTTTATTTTATTTTTCTTGTTTGAAAAAGAGTTTAACATAATAAATTACAAATTGCAACATTTGACCAGAGATGAAGAACGAAGAAGAAATAACTTTGATTAGCATCAAAAATAAATCAGACATTAATTGAATAAGAATGTTAATTTTCAGTTGATTAAATACAATGATTTCTCAAATAGTTTAATATTATTATTTAACTTCTTTTTTGTCGGTTTTATAATATTTCTCACTTTTTCAACGCATTTTTCAAGTTAGGGATTTTCGTAATATGTTATTATATATTTAACAGCAACAAAAAAAAAAAAACAAGTGTGTGCCAAACTCAAGTGTGTGCATGGTAGATTATTGTGACTATGACTAATTGACAATGGCAGTATGAGTCAAACGATTGCGTGTAATTGCACACTTTTACCGTTTAAGAAAGAGAAAAACACTAATGAATATTTTGAAATCTGTTTTCTTCAATACATGTTTTCGGCAAACGAACAATAAATGAGTTATTAACAAGTCATATTATTCTTTACTTTTACTTATGAAGAAATCAAAGATTGTGATCGAGATTGTACCGATTAAGAGATTCAAAAACAAGAAAAGGGAAGCAAAGATGTTAAAGAAATAGAAAAACTCAGAGATTGCTCACGAACACGTACGAGTTGAAGAACCAGCAAAGTAAAAAAGAGACGAGAACTCCAAAAGAAAAGAAATCAGATGAATGAGAATAAGATGGATTGAGGAAGCACTCAATCCAGATGAAGAAGATGAAGTAGAGAGAGAAAGAGTAAAGAAGAGAGAGAGAGAGAGAGAGAGAGAGAGAGAGAGAGAGAGAGAGAGA